AACGGGGAGACATTGAGCAGCTTCTAAGCAGCGGAACTGGTCCAGCTGAATTCTTTCGTAAAGAATTGGGGGCAAAGGACACCCAGAATGCGGAGGTTATGCCTTATTTATCAGACTGTTGGGGGTTTTTTTTAAAGAGAAAAATAAACCAAGCACAGTCTTGCAGAGAGGATCAGACAAAATAAAGCGTAAGTTGCGGGGAGGAAGATCATGTAAAAGAAAAAGACATATCACAGAAGTGTGAAAGTAAATCGCCCATGTTCGTGATGGCAAGTTTGGTGACTTAAGAGCATCATTTTGTGACGGAGTCTTGCCTTTTTGCATTCAGAGAAAACATTGGCCTAGCCACAATCTCACATGGAATGATGTCTGGGAAAAGGGGAAAAAAACATGGTAAAAAGTGAGACTTTCCAATGTGATTTCTCCCCCATGGAGACTGGTGCTGAGAGATCAGACTTCTTATAAGCTCTGCCAAAGAGTAACTCAATGACAAAAAAAGCAAGCAGTGTGAAGGGCAGGAGTGAGTGAATGTTTGTGCACTAGGACGTTCTCCTTTCTACCTTTTTCATATTATTAAGTGCAATCATTTTTGAGTTGTCTTTATATTATTTAGAGGGAAGTTTTTTTTTCTCCTAGAAACTACAATATTTATACCTGCCTGAGAAAAGAGAATGTGTGTGTTTGTGTGTGTGTGTGTGTGTGTGCATGTGTTAAAATGAAACAGAAATGAATACAGACAAGGATTTGGGGAAATGGTGACTAAATGTGACGTAAGTTTTCAGCTCTTGGAATCTTTTGTTTTTCCTCACCACAGTAAATTCCAATGTAAATCCTGAAGATCAAGCTCCTTGATTATCCTGTAACCAATGAAAGGGACATAGGACTTGCGCAGAATATTTCTAGTGACTTGGAAATTATGTTTTGGCCACAAGCAGCTCTTGAGAGTAAATTCAATTCAATATCAAGAATGCATATTAGGGATCACATATTGGAATGCATCCCTGTGTTAAAGTCTTCTAGCATTTGCAAAGTGTCATCTAACCTTCACTCTTTCTGACAAGTTAGCTTTGCACGGGCAGGGAGGTTTTGATATATTTGAACCTGAGGTTCCCCATTTAGATATTGAGGTGGTATAGTTCATTTTCTGAATGTTTCAGTAGGCTCTTATTTCTTAAGAGGTGCTGGGGCTCAAGTTTCCTGGGAATTTGCATCGTCCACCTGAAGGCTCTTTCCCCTAAACTCAGAGCTGTAGCCATGAATTCTCAGTGAGAAGGGGTTGCTCTCTGCCCCTGCTCAGAGGCACTGTAATGTTCCCTTTTTCAAAGCCTGAGTTCAGCACTGAACTCAGGTTTTGAGATGAGCTGTAGTGAGCCCTAACTTGAAAACTGAAGTATGCCATTGTCAGTTTAATTCTTCCCTCTGTAGGGTCACTTGTCAGTCACTGATCCATAATCCAGTGCAAATACTAGTGATGAAATCCCAACTTCTATGGGTGAAATTGTTGCCTTCTCTGAGCCATGACCTGAAACTAACAATTGGAAATGTGTCTTAAAAAGCTGCAAGGCTGCACTTGGATCAGATCATCTCTGTTTCCTGTAGTGGTATTGAAGCTTTTCTGCCTGAGTGTTAATAGTTTGCTTTTCTTCTCTTTCGGATCCAGAATTGGAATTTGCCCCATTAAATTTACTCTAATCATCTCAGCATTGAAGTTGAATTGCCTCTGATGTGAGCATTTTTGCAGTACTTCAGCAGGACATATGGCATCATAGGAACACCTAAGAATTCATATCTGGCTCTGATGTCATCATATTCAGCAATTTCTTATGGCATATAAGCATTTGTTTATCTGGGGAGGGGAGGGGGAGATGCTCAAGTCCAATTGCTTACTGTAGGCAAAAGGCCAGCTCTGAAGGAAAAACTTGTATTGAATTTGGCTTAGAAATTCTACCTGATTTCCTTCTAGCTAGATCCCTTGTTTTTCCATTCTATCCTTAATGAAATGTAGAAAATCTAAAGGTTTGAAAAGCTGAAAATTCCATCTTAACATAGGAAATATAACAATTTAAAACAACAAAGCTGAAATATTTATAAATTCATTGTGCAGTAATCCACAGTCCAGTATCTCCTATAAAGTAATGATTAAATGATGAAAAAGGTGTAGTCCATAAAGTTATTTGCACTTGATAAAAGAAATTGTATCTGAACTTGTAAAAAGAAAAGTTTGCATTTCATATTGTCTTTTTTTAATTATTAAATGGAATTTCTTGGTGTTGTGTTGATCTTTCAGAAGTGCTTTCCACTGCTCTTATTTGTAAATTCCAAATTCATAGCATTGCTACTGCTTAGAGTTTTGTTCTGTTCCTTTCTCTCTCTTTCATTCCCCTCTGGAAACTGACTGATTTTGGCACTACAGTATAAGGCTGTAAGATACCAACAGTTCTTTGAGCTTCAAAACCTCAAAAAAATGAGTATTTTGGTATGGCCCATAATTATGCCAGATGAAGTAAAATAAAGCCTTAAAAAGGTAAATGACCCCTGACAGTTTAGTCCAGTCGCAAATGACTCTGGGGTTGTGGTGCTCATCTCACTTTACTGGCCGAGGGAACCTTAGTTTGCTTTAAAACTTGGGCTAATAGCAAAGAGGACCATACCCAGAATGGATCCTGTTAGGATTGGTGCTTAGAATTACTGTTGCTTGCACATCGTTGTTGCTGTCCTTGCATGTAGTGCTGATCCTGCAAGTATATTTTGATTAGTGGCAGGCAGTCCACAGACACAGCTGATGTCTGGCTTTTTGATGGGCAGCATATACACACACCAATCATCCACAAAAGCACTATTACAATCTTTGGAGAAATGAAACATTTGCCAGTATTTTTAGCAACTAATGGTCCCTGTCAATAAAAGGATATTTTCACTCCTGCGAAGCATAATCCACCAGCAATTATTTCCATTCTGTAGTCCTCTCACAACTCTCATTCAGGGTAAAACTAGATGTTGTGGAGAAGGGGTTCTTAAACTTTCTTTTCCCAATGTTCACCTGAGACAGCTGAAAATTACTGAAGCTCGCTTACCACAAAATGGTGTAGGGGCAGAGCCAGTCAAAAATTGGAGGCAGTGTCTGGCAAGTCAGCTGGAAATCCCAGACATCGCTTTCTTCTTTGTCAGGTCAAAGGAGTTGCACAGCTAAGACGACCTCAGGAGGCTCTTGCTCAGGCTTCCTCAAATTCAGCCCTCCAGGTGTTTTGAGACTACAATTCTCATCATCCCTGACCACTGGTCCTGCTTAGATAGGGATCATGGGAGTTGTAGGCCAAAAACATCTGGAGGGCTGAGGTTGAGGAAGTCTGCTCTAGCTAAAGAAGCCTTTTTCTTTTGTATTTTTCCCTTCCCACCCCCATGTGCCTCTCAGAGAATTTTTGCCCATCTTCTTAATTTCTTCTCCCATTTTCCAACCTGTGCCTTGCACTGGCACAAGCAGGTCAAGGGAGCCGTAGCCCTGTCCCACAATGTTCCGCAGCAGCTGGCATTTAGAGGAATCCCACCAGTGAACCTTTATGTACCATATAGCCATCATGACTAGTAGCCATCAAGAAAAAAATAAAAGGTCTGGGGAAACAATGGGGCTGTGTGTGGAAGAGAAAGATAGTTTTTCTAATGCTTGACACATGGTTCATTTAAAGGGCTGGAGAAGACCCCCACCACTTTAATCAGAGCTGTCTCCAGGATTTGGGGGGGCAGGGGCTGTTGGTTCTGGTACCCTCAACAGAGCACTCCCTAACTTGAAAAGGTGGAACACGCTGAGAATTATTTTGATCTTTTTGAATACTCTGTGTACACTGAAATAGTAGCACTGTTAAGACCATGGGTAGGCAAACTAAGGCCCAGGGGCCAGATGCGGCCCAATCGCCTTCTCAATCTGGCCTGCGGATGGTCCTAGAATCAGCATTTTTACATGAGTAGAATGTGTCCTTTTATTTTAAATGCATCTCTGGGTTATTTGTGGGGTACAGGAATTCGTTCATTTTTCTTCTTCAAAATATAGTCCGGCTCCCCACAAGGTTTGAGGGACAGTGGACCGGCCCCCAGCTGAAAAAGTTTGCTGACCCCTGGTTAAGACACTACAAGTGGTTTGTAGTGAGGTTTACAGTGAGGAAAGCGCTTCTTTCAGTAGAATAAATGAATCTAAAAGGTACACAAAACAGTACATGCATGGAAAGGGAGAGGAGTAGAGCCACTTGTCACCAGTGGCACTTATCTCATGAGTGCCCATGGCACTTAGAACTGTAGTTGGAAAGGACCCCGAAGGGTAATCTAGTCCAACCCCCTGCAATGCAGGAATCTCAACTAAAGCTTGACTGCTTAGAGTCCACCATACAGCTCTCTCAAAAAATAAAAGTCATTTGGGAAGGAAAATCAATTTTTTCCAACAAAAATACTTTGTGGCTTGAAGAAGATTTCTTTGCAACACAATCACTACCTTAAACTAAGCCCAGGGTTGAGCGCTGAGGTGGTCAAACTTCCTGACAGCACCAAATAATTCAGGGTGGTAAAAACAAGAAAGGAATTCTGAGCTGCTCCAGGGGCATCTTCACCAAATCAGGTGAATGGGCATTAAAATGTGAAATGGCAAATGCCTCTTCAATAATTTCTCCTTTAATACCACTTTGCACCATATGATGTGAACTAATTGAAAATAAAATTACAAGAGCAAATTTCTGGTGCGATGTCCGCTGTGCGGCCCTAAGGATATATTCTTGCCGTTTGCGTTCTACCAAGACAGAGGAACTCGATCTGTGGTTTTCGGTACGTGGCCAGCAGAGGGAGCCGCTCGCCCATGACTTCGCTTCCTTTCGAGGCCTCGTTTGTTTTTGTCGCACCTGCAAAGGCGGGTATATAAATAGAAGGGCAGATGCTTCGCCGGGATATCTGCGCATGCCGAAGAATCCGGGGCATGCGCACTAGCAAGCACCGTGGCGTCTTTGCTTTCCTTTTCCGGGATTTGGAAGCGACCTTGGCGGGGCCCCGGAACCTGGATCACAAAAAGGACGAGCAGGTTGGGGAAGCTAGATAGAGCTTCGTCATACAGGTTGCAGGGCAGGTGGCTGCGGGCGAGGCCTGGTGCATGGCGGTCAGGCGGCGGACTCGGCCCTCCACAGGTCGGTGCCGGCAGGGAGGCGGGGATGAGATGGGGAGATGCTCATGTGGGGGGTGGATTTCCATCTGTTCCGCCGATACGCTGCACCCTGGGAGAGAAAGAGGGGGCGCCCCCGGGTCCCCTCCACCAGCAGAGCCCCCATTGCCCCCTCCTACGTCCCAGAGCCCTCCTTTTTTGCACGACTTACCCCTCAGATTCCTGCCCCGCTTTCTTTTTTTTCCTTCCCGGACGCCTTGCAACAGCTGCTTGGCAGGCAGAAATTCGAGTGGAGATCTCCCCGACTGTGTGGGGAAGCTGTACCTGTTGGGTTTCTGCCTGCCTAAATCAGAGGAGATCTTTCTCCATGGAGGGGACTATAGATGACGTTGGGGACCCCTTTCCAACTCTGCCATTCCGTGGGGAAAGGTGGCTGGCTCCCTTTTCTGCGAGGGCTCTTGCGGGCAAGCAGAGATGAAGTGACCTGATCATTTCCCATCAAGCATGCTGCGTACTGGTAAAATGTATGGCCAGGGGAAAAAAAGAGAAAAGTGACCACAGATGGTTTTCTGTGGAATATCTCCCAGCTCCTTTCCCGATTGGTAAAATCTCTCCCAGTTCAGCATCCCTCACTTACGTGGAGCCCCAGTTATATCTCCTCAATCCAAATGCTAACACTTCATCCGTGACTTAGGTTTGGTTGCTGAACCTTCATCTATAACCCTTGGTTTGTTAATGTGCAATACCATTTGTACCACAAGACCCCTGCTAGTAAAAATTTAGAGAATACATTGGTCAACAGAATTCACCAAAATCGGTTCTGTCATTTCCCTCTTTCCTAAAGCTTTTCACAAAAAAGTAAAGCTTCCTTACAAGTTCTGTTGATCTTATTCTATGTTTAAGCAAAGAATATGGAATGATGCCCTTCAGGAGGCTACTTAGCAAATGCCAGTTATTTTCCTGGCAACAGGAAAGGGGAGAGGAACACAAATGTATAAAAAGCACACAAAAAGGTTTCTGTAGCTCCATGGCAGATCATGCAGAATGTTCCAGGTTCAATCAATATATGGCATCACTCTATAGGCCTGGGGAAGACCTCAGCCCCTGAAACCCATGGAGAGCCACTGCCAGTCAATTTAGAAAATCCAGAGCAAGATGGTCAGACTCTTTAAGGCAGCTTTTTGTGTCCCAAATTATGGAACAGTAACAGAAAGGAGACTACCTTCAATGCTAGCCCAAGTTTCTTCCAGTTGTATGATGAAGGTTTCACCACAGGAGGTGTGGGGGTAGTTGAAATGGCTTAATTGACCAGATTCAGTTTGCAGACTGCCAGTTCATCACTCCAGACTGAAGCTGGTGCTATGCAGTTATTGTCTTTCATGGGTCTAAGGGTGTAGTTGTGCCAGTTTATGGACCAAGAGATTTTGACAAGTCAGCAAAGCTGCAGTCTCATGTTTACAACATTGGCCAGCCAGATATCTTTGGGGAAAACCACAAGTAGGACATGAAGCTAACAGTACTCCTGTTATTTGACCCATATCAGAGGTAGGCTGTCTCCGAACATGGAGATTTGTCATGACGAAGAGCCTTTGGTAGACTTACATTCTAATCCTGTCCAAAGAATTCTACTTGGATTACTTTTCATATAAATGTGAAGAAGAAATTTATATATAACTTGCTGTTTATGTTTTAGTTCTAATATGGAGAACCATCTTATATGTGGAATACATGTCTAAGGAGCCACCACCAGAGCACAATGGAGAGCTTTGGCTTACAGGAAACGACCCTTTCTGATGGAACAACAGCCTATGTTCAGCAAGATGCTAATGGTGAGTAACTTTGGTGCTGTAGTGGCTGCCTTTTTTGTGGCTTGTGAGATTGGGACTGATCCAACCATATGATTAATGTTCAAAGCACTATACATGTAGGAAGATCTTTGGACATATACACTAGGTTAAAATATTTTGTTGGACAAAATTATAGTGGACAAATTGTTCATGTTTTTCAATTTAAATAAATTAAAGATAAAAACAGAGTAGAGTTTAATGTGGTTTTAATGGTGAGCTTTTAGAAAGAAGAATGTGATCTGTGAGTCCTGATTGACCACAGTATGTGTTTGAATAACCAATATAGTACAGATGCAACAAACAAAGCAATGTGACACCTAACTGCCACACTGAATTGGATGGATATATGCTACAGAAGCAAGAGTGGAGTAAAAATGTTCAATTTTAAGGATGTCTCAGTTGGAATGTGGTTTCTGACTAAGTGATTATAAAGTGTTTCCCAAGGAATCTCTATTTAACCAAATGAGGCAAAGGAGAACTCTCATTTCCTTGTTTTAAACCATTACAATATCTTTTTTAAATGATGTGCATAATTGATTGCAAAAGGCTATTGGCAGAAGAGTTCTGATTTTTATTTTTATTTTTTTAAAGTAATGTTTGGGTTTCTCTATACTTACTGACACGCCAATTCTTGTGCCCAAATATCTTATAATGTAGGTATATATTGGCTATGGTTGCAGTTTTATATATACATACCTGGGCATAAGTCTCATATAACTCATTAAGACTTATTTCTGAGACCATATACTTAGATTGCACTGTGAGGCTGCAGTTAATTCATGTTGCTTTTGAAATTACCTTGCTTCTGAATAAACATGCAAAGACTGAGCTTCCGAAAAGCACTTTGCTTTGTAATTATTTTCCTTGATAAGAGATTGTCAGGTGAGCCTGGGTGAACATGTTGAATCTTGTTAACCTGGAGGGCTTTTTCAATGCTGTAACAAATTCTCTTGTCATCTGTTTCAGGAGAGAAGTTAATTGAAGGGCAAGTGATTGAACTTGAAGATGGATCCACAGCTTTTGTCCAACAAGTAACATTGCAGAAAGGTTAGGAGTAATAGATGTATACCTATTTCAGAAATTTGGGGAGCTTTCACTGTTTTTTTCTGTTTGCAATTTTCTCTGTGAGTGAACCTCTTGTGGAATTTTCACCAAGCAGTAGTGCACTTCTCACAGTTAGAGATGCATATTTCAGGTAGAAACTGTAAATCAGCAGGAGGCACACTCTCATGTAGAGAAGATAAAATGTGCTGGGTTTCAACAGGGCTGCTAATGAGTAAATTTGCCTAAGGGCATCTGTTTTGGACCTACTTGATACTAATCTTCCGCAAGAATAATATTATGTGTGTAAGCTGCTGTAGCATTGCAGTGCAATCCTGTTCATGATTACTTAGAACTGAGATTCATTGAGTTCAGTGGGCTAACTCCCATTTTGGTGTGCCTAGAGTTGCAATCCTATTCATACTGTCATGTGTGTACATACCATTGTTTCCATGAGAAAACATGCATTGAATTGAGCTGTTAGCTTGATCAAATATACATCACAACTTAAATACTCCGAATTTCTTATCTGAGACTCATGTTACACATCATGAGGTAGACAGGTTGTAGATTTCAGCTTGTAGAAATCTGGACTGTACTAATTCTGGTTGGAAGCTGTGTGTCGTTTTCCTTTAATGCCCAGAAGGCAGGAGGCTTCTGAATGCCAGTTGCTGGAAAGTGAAGGAGCGAGTGGTCTTGTGCTCACATCCTGCTTGTAGGCTTCCCATAGACACCTGGTTGGCCACTGTGATAACATAATGCTGGACTAGATGAGCCACTGACCTGATCCGACAATATATTCTTACACCTCCATGTAAAAACAGATACCTTGCATGTAGTCATGTTATAAAGAAGGGAGAAAGGTTCCTCTCCCTGGTGTCATCATTCATCACATGGAAGAAGCTTTGCAGTGGGAGGAGCACTGAATACTAGCTGTGATATAGGCTGCATTGCTGCCTTTTTATGCAATTAGATTTTTTTCCCCACTCGTGTCATTGAACTGACATGGACTGGCTTCTCTTCAAGGATTATAGAGCAAGGGCCCTGTAGGCCTTTGAGCAAACCATGGCTAGAATTCTTGAGTTGTTCTTGTCAAGTCAGCTTTGTTTACTTTCTGTTGCATAACAACCTTACAATGCATGGGGTTTATTTTTGTGTATGTTCTGATTTGTTCTGTAGAGTCCATCACATTTGAAGATGGTCAGCCAGTAGCGTTGGAAGACGGCACTATGGCTTTTATACATCATGCTCCGCAAGGTAACGATCAGTCTTTGAACCTTCCTTTCCACATACTAGGTAACATAATTCATACACAGTGGGTAGTATTCAAGGATAACAAGTCGCTTGATTAAAGTTAATAAATATTACTAACTTCAGTTAATTCATTTCAGTGCATCAACTCTGAGTATAACTTAGTTGAATGCAACCCAGTACTCTAATACAGTGGTGCCTCGCAAGACGAAAAGAATCCGTTCTGGGAGTCTCTTCGTCTAGCGGTTTTTTCGTCTTGCGAAGCAAGCCCATTGACGGGATTAGCGGATTAGCGCTATTAGCGGCTTTTAGCGGCTTTTAGCAGCTTATCAGCTTATCAGATAAGCAGATAAGCGGCTTAGCGACTTAGAAAAGAGGGGAAAAGGAAAAAAAAAACCAGGAACTCGCAAGACATTTTCGTCTTGCGAAGCAAGCCCATTGCAGATTCGTTTTGCGAGGCACCTCCAAAACGGAAAACTCTTTCGTCTAGCGAGTTTTCCGTCTTGCGAGGCATTCGTCTTGCGGGGCACCACTGTAAATGTGATCACAGCTGTGTGTGTAGCTATTGGGCTGGACTCAACTAAATTGTTGCACTAGCAGGAGCCAGTGCAACAAGTCCCACTAGCACAATGGGACTTCATCCTCCCCATATGCCTCCCAGTTGGCTCTGGGGGTTTGGGAAAACTTCAGAACAGTGCATGGGGGGAGGAGACGGGAGCTCATGCTGGGAAGCAGAAATGCTTGTGCTGACAGAACGATCATAATACCGTGACACTGAATTCCTCCCATAGTATTTTTAAACTTAAACCTCCGTGACTTAGAATATTTATTGTTACCTCACCCTGAGTCAAGTCATAAAACAATTCAGGTTAGTGATGAAGAGAGAGAGCTCTGAAGGAAACTCTCAGGGGGGGGGAATCAGATGTGCAGAGAGATGGTGTGGCTCTTTGCATCACTGCCAAACCTTGAGTTGGAGAACAGAAAGAGTCGGCTTAAGAGCTCTCTTCTCCCCTCTCTCAGGATCAATCCTGATTTGGAGAGATAATTGAAGGACTACCCTTGACTGGTTTGGATATCATGGTAAATGGTGGTTTAAGGAAACTAGGTAACTTTCTGTTAAGAGTTGGAAGGGCAAGTGCTTGAGCATATCACTCACTCTTGATGCTTCACAGTATGGTTTGGTAACAGGGAATGTGGTCTGTTTCAGTATCTTATCAAATCCTTTCCCTGTAGCCATACAAAATCGTCCTATCCAGATTGACAAATAACTACCAAGCAAGTAGATTGTTCCTTATTGCTCTGCAAACAATTCAAGGATGTGTGGAAATCATTCTGTGGTGATTGTATAATGATTCCACACAGCTTTTGATTGTGGAATGTGTTTCATGTTGCAATTTTCAGCCATAAATAGAGTTGGATTCTATTGGTGTTTGCAATGATTGAATTTTGAACTGCCGTGAAGATTTTGCCATTGATGCTTTTAACTCTTCATCTTTTTGCCAGCTCTAAATGATCAAGAGGTAGATAAGTAGCAATTAGAGCTGACATGTGCTACTACAGTGTTTGTGGTCCCCTCCAGAGGGTTATGACCCCAACACCTTAGAAGCAATCCAGCTGGAAGATGGATCCACAGCTTTCATTCATCGTCCTGTCTCCCTGTCAGTGGGCAGCACCACACTGACAGTGCAAGCAGATGTGGCACTGGAGGAATTGGCTGTAGGAGAGAAAGATGATTCCTTTGAACTTGATTCCATTACTGCCCTCAAAGACTATGCCAGTAAGGTGAGGATATTATTCTGCTTCTGTGGAAGATTCAAATCATCCTGCTTTGTGATTCTGCAAACAGAATGAAATACCAAGTTTCTAGAATGATATAAAAGTATTAAATGTGTTTATTTGAAGCATTTATATTTTGCCTCTCCATCAGTATTGGCCCCCAATATCTGGCACTCGTGGCATCAATTCTTCTTGTCTGGTGACATGACTCCACTTTTAGAGTATGTGTGTTTATAGCAGATGGGATGGTGACTTGCAGGACTTGTTCAAGTTTAACTACTTCTTTATGTTGCTTCGCAGGGCTTCCACGAGGAGGAAGTGGAGAGCAATGGGAAGGAACCAAAGGTTCCTGATAGAGTTTACCGCTGTGGTTACAGTGGTTGTAGCCGCCTCTTTACCACATCTCATCATTTGAAGGTAAGTCATCGTCGTAAGCTCACAATGTTGCCTTCTAGAGGACTAAAAGCTCTGCTGTACCTATAATGGGAAACCATTGATGCTGTGGAAGAGACAGTAATTCACCAGTGCAAGCTTAAAAAAAAATTTCTTTTGGAATAGTTTTGAAGAGGCTGGATCTGATGCAGTGATGCCAGAGAGAGCCTGGGTACAAACCTCTTCTCAGCCTCTATATTTTAAATTTTAATCCGTTTTAGTATTTTTACTTTTTGTACGTTTTAAGGTAATGCTGTATTTCCCCTGTTTTTCTTGTTTCACCTTTTCGTAAACAGCTTAGGTTTTTTCAGTCAAGTGGTGTATACATTTTATGAAATAATTAAAGATAAATATTCCAAATTGGAATCGCCCCATTCAGTTCACCTGAGCTTTCGCTGTCTTCACAGGTGCATGAGCGGGTTCATACAGGTGATCGTCCATACAGATGTGACTTCTCAAGCTGTGGGAAAACCTTTACTACAGGTAATGTGTATCAAGAACAAAAGATGATCTTGTTCAAGTGGAGTTATGCAGGTCTGAGAAGGAAGATCCAAATGTAGCAAGCTGAGGACTATTGAGCCTAAATGGATAACGAAATTGAACTAAGTACAAGGTATAGTTCCTGGTGACTCAAGCTACTTAGCTTACCCGAAACTTCTAAAATCAGTGTGCTGCATTTTGGGTAGTCTCTTGGAGTTGCTGTGCTGCTTGCGCCATCTTGCCACGCTGCTAACCTTGCATAACCTTTTCCCTTGCAGGTTATAGCCTGAAGAGTCATGTGAGAACCCACACGGGTGAGAAGCCATACAAGTGTCCAGAAGATTTATGCACCAAAGCCTTCAAGACTTCTGGAGACCTGCAAAAACATATCCGGACGCATACTGGTATGTCCCAAAGTGTTTATTATTTTATTTTGGGGCTATTCCAGAGCAGAAATCTAAACCGGGGGAGGGAGGTGAGACAAACCCAAATACTCTAGAAAGAGGCAAAAGGGCTACTAATATTTTTTTTGTCCAGATTCTGTACCAAATAATTCCATAATTTTAATCTAGAATAAATTGTGTAGACTTATATAAGTGTATTTCTGTGTATAATTTTTAGTATGGGATTTGCAGGCACCATTTTATCAGCTCATTTCCCATGCTCAGCACTTTCCAAGTATAACAGTTAGCTGATTGGCATACACTTTTCTTTTCTTTTTTTGCCCACATGGTTTGATTTCAAACTGTGTGGGCGAAAATAGGTCACCGAATGTCATGTGACCTGAAGTGACTGATACCCACCTGCCAAACCTGTCCCTCGGGTGTATGTGGATCCAGCTTCCCACCCCTGATCTAGAATGAGGCACTATTCAGTTTGTAGCTGCCTAAGGGAAAATGATGGAGGGCCTTTCAAGCTGTCATGCTCATACTAGCTTCACATACGGCAGTTGGCTCTTTGACACTATAATGAAGATGGAAGACCTCTGCCCAGCCTGGCAAGGTAGCATTTTCACAATTACAGGCAAGAGGGGCAAGAGTGTCTTAAAATGTCAGTGCTATCACAGGCTTGCTAAGGATGCCTTCTCTCTCTTCACCTGAAGGTGAGAGGCCTTTCAGGTGCCCTTTTGAGGGCTGTGGCCGCTCATTCACCACCTCAAATATACGGAAGGTCCACATCCGGACACACACTGGTGAGCGACCATATATGTGCCCAGAGCACAACTGTGGGAGAGGGTTCACTAGTGCCACCAACTTCAAAAACCACATGAGAATCCATACAGGTAATATGTGTGTGTGTGTGTGTGTGTGTGTGTGTGTGTGTGTATCTTAATTTTCATATTTCATTAACGGGAAACACCATACAGGCAATCCTCAGCATGGTATACTTTCACAATCTGTGGAGGTGGTGTCACTTGGTTGAACTTTATTATGTGTAACACACCATCCCAGTGACACATTACTGCATTGGGGGGATCAACATGGAAACTATAGTGTGCTTGCTTGCTTGAACCAGTTGTCATCTGTAAGATGGCCAGTTAAAAGAAAATGTGTATTGAACTACTAAAAACAAGTAGAGTGAGATTTGAAGCGCCCTTCCCAATTGCTTAAAGTACTCTTGCAGTGTAATCCTATACCTTTTTGAAAGTAAACCCCACTACAGTGGTATCTCGGGTTACATACGCTTCAGGTTACATACGCTTCAGGTTACAGACTCCGCTAACCCAGAAATAGTGCTTCAGGTTAAGAACTTTGCTTCAGGATAAGAACAGAAATCGTGGTCCGGTGGCGCGGCAGCAGCAGGAGGCCCCATTAGCTAAAGTGGTGCTTCAGGTTAAGAACAGTTTCAGGTTAAGAACAGACCTCAGGAACGAATTAAGTACTTAACCCGAGGTACCACTGTATATTCAATGGGGCTTATTACCTAGCACATGTGTTTTGGGATTGCAGCCTTTGCTTTATGCCACAAAGTGAGAGATACCCATTCCTCTATATTTCCTCCTTCTTATTTCCCAGGGGAGAAGCCATATGCATGCCTGGTGCCAGGCTGTGGGAAGCGCTTCACTGAATATTCTAGCCTTTACAAACACCACGTGGTTCACACACACTGCAAGCCATACACCTGCAACACCTGCAGCAAAACTTACCGCCAGACCTCTACGTTGGCTATGCACAAGCGCACTGCGCATGGAGAGCTGGAAGCTACAGAAGAGAGTGAACAGGCCCTCTATGAGCAGCAGATGAGAAGTGAGTAGGCACTAGAGTTTTGTGGGAAGCTTCATACCTTGAGCCTATATATTCTTGTCGTTTCCTGGCTCATTGCCATGCTTCCTTGTGCTTCCTAGTCCTTAAATCAGGCTTCCTCAACCTTGGCCCTCCACATGTTTTGAGACTACAATTCCCATCATCCCTGACCACTGGTCCTGCTAGCTAGGGATCATGGGAGTTGTAGGCCAAAAAACATCTGGAGGGCCGAGGTTGAGGAAGCCTGCCTTAAATGCTCCCTTCTGCTGTTCCTGCCTTACCTTCAGATAACTTTTTCAAGGCTGTTTCAATGCACTCTGCTGCTCAAGTAGAGCACTCTGCTGAATCTCCTTTCCTTGTTCTCCCAGTTGCCACGTTTGATATGCCTTCACTGAAACACCAGTGTATTGTTTCTGTGAAGGTGGAACATGAGGAGGAGCAGGAGGATTGCAGGGCTGTGCCAGTGACTCTCGTATCTCAGGATGGAGCAGAGCAGGTATGGAGTCTGCAGAACTTGAAACTAAATCCACAGAGGTAACAACTCTCTGGTTTTGTTACCTAGGACAGGTCAGATAATCTTTACCCTGAAAATGCCCTAATCCTAAACATTGGCTATAGTACATCTGCATGCAACATCTACTTAAATCATGTTAGCCCCATCCTTGGTACTTAGTCGGACAAGGGTTCTAATCACACCAGTTTGGTGAACATTGCAGAGCAGGGTTTTATTTATCTGTTTGTTTCATAAAATACATATACCATACACTTGATTGTAAAATAAACCCCTCAAAATGGTGAATATCACAGAGCCTGGGATAGCCCCACATTGGACAAAAGATTCCTGCATTGCAAGGGGTTGACTAGATACCCCTCATGGTCCCTTTCAGCATTACAATTCTATTACTCTATTACCATATCTTCCTATTAGTGGTGATGTAACCCAATTTTTCACCATTTGCGTATGCAAGGAACGTTATGATTTCAGGTGAAGAACATGCCCGTGTGAATGAGCTTTTTCTCACTTTACTACTTCTATTTCCCATGCTCCCAGCCCATGAATCGGCTTGAATCTTTTCTTCTTAATCTGTAGCCTTCAATTTGGCCTGACTCCTTTTTCACCTGCTCTTTGCAGGTCTGTCTGTCTCCTGAAGACTTGCAAGTACTTGGCTGTGATATTACCATGCTAACACAGAATGGCACAGCAGTATCAGTACCCCAGGAAGATATTTCAGCAAGTGGTACAAATGTGCTGACTATGATTGGCGCCGATGGGACTGAAATACATCCGGTACTCATTTCTTCTAAATCCTTTGACATAGTACGGGAAAGTGTGTGTGTTTTTTAAAATGTAATGGTTGTGCTGATGTGATACTTTTCAGGTTACAATAGTCACTTCTGGGACAAAGGCATCTGAGGATTTGCCCACAGCATCCATCCACCACCAGCAGCTGACAGTGCTAGCAACAGCAAAGGACACTTATATTGCAGTTCAGGTACTTGGTATACACATCTTGCTTAGAGTTTGCAGGCACAGGTGTTTTTGTCATGTTGGAAGAGAGCCTCTTGTCCCCCTCCCCAAGGATGCATATAGGTGATGAGTCTGACCTCATACTGTCTTACCACTATGCAGCAGAAGCCACATTTTTAGGGCATTGATTGACACAGAGACCATCCAATCATGAAACTAACTACTACTCCTTGGCAGCCCTTGTTTCAGTCACACAGAGCAGGTTTTTAAGTGTAAAAATAACTGAGCACCAAACAAATATTTGAGCAGAGAACAATGCAGGCTCTTGAAAAGCTAATCAAACGGGACAGCCAGTCTGAAGCATCAGGTGAAGGAGCAACTATTAAAATTCAGTTTGAAACCAGGTACTTGTGTTCTTTGAGGAGTGAAGTGGGAGAGCAGACCCTTTTTTTTTTTTAACTTGGTAACTTCCATCTGGGTTTTAAGACTTCTTTGTTCCCCATCAATTACGATAAGGAGAGATTGCCTTTGTTGTGAGTTTTTGTAGAATGTTTAGGGATTTCAAAGACCACAAAAAGTACTGTATTTTTTTCATCTTGTGATTTTAGGATTTACAAAGAACACATTAATTGTCATACAGAGCAATATTACTGTATTGGTCTGAATATAAGTTACACTTTCCCCCCAAATCTGGCTTGTATAAAACCTGAGTGCAGCCTATAATCACACTCTTACAGGTAAGGAAGCTATGATTTCAGAGATCTCATTCTGGGGTTGTGATCTCTTTCAGGGACAGCTTATATTCAGAACAGTACCATAAGTAGCTGTCCCTTGTAAGAAGTCAGTCCATTGAGTTAAATGGGGTTTCCTCCCAGGTAACGCTGTATAGCAGCGGTAGGGACCCTCTGGCCCTGCACCAGGCTTGGTCCACCAGGGGGTCCAATTTAGCCTGTGATTTCCTCCCAAATAATGCCTATCATCTTATGTCATTGGTAACATCATCTGATGGATGGAAGGACAGGCTTTAATTCTTCACTGGCTGAACACCGAATTTCCAGCAAGGAACAGGATTGTGCAGCGGGATTGCTTATCATTTGAAAGGCATTAAAGTCCTTTGCCTTCTACTTTAAGTGAGCTGGGGAGGGGGCATCTTAAAGCTGGAAAGGGCTCTTTGAAGCAGCATCCCCACCTCCGTTAAACAGTTTAAAAAACATAGGGAGGCTGCTTCAAAGAGTGCTTTGACAAAGCTCTTTAAGAGGCTCAGTGCACAGGGGCTGTCTTAAAACTGCAAAGTACTATTCAAAGCAGCTCCCCAAAAGCACATTTTAAACATGACTTTTAATAGAAAAGGAAGTGGGGGCTTCTTCGAAGACAGGTTTTGCAAAGGCTTTAAGATAGCCCCTTGTGGTCTTGTTTGAGCCTCTAGGGGCATTAGGGGTTTGAAGGGGGAGCGTGGGGAGACTTGCAAAGTTACAAAAGGGATTTTGATAGGTGGAGGCCTCCATCCTCTCCCAGTTGTGATGCCATAATGACGAGTGGGTAAAATTTGGCCAATGAGGGGGATCCTGATTAGGCTGTGACCTGCAGAGCCAAAAAAGATTCCTCACCCCGATGTATGGGATAGATGAAGTCAAAGACTATATTGTATGTTCACAGCTGCCTGATTTCCTTTTGTGCCCCTTTTACATTGCTACCTATTTTCTTTTCCCACCATGCAATCACTTCATTTCCACATAACTTCCTACGCTGTTTCTTCACTTCCCCGTTGAGCTACTTCTGCTTCTGCATATCTACTTCCAAATAATATGCAGTGGTACCTTGAGTTACAAACGCCTCACATTACAAACGCTTCAGGTTACAAACTCCGCTAACCTGGAAGAGTTACCTCGAGTTGAGAACTTTGCCCCCCAGGATGAGAATGGAAATTGTGTGCTGGCAGCGCAGCAGCAGCAAGAGGCCCTATTAGCAAAAGCACGCTTCTAGTTAAGAACAGCTTCAGGTTAAGAACAGATCTCCGGAACGAATTAAGTTCGTAACTAGAGGTACCACTGTATGTATATAGTGTCTTAAAATAATTTCTATGTGAAAGAAAGCCAGCAGTGGTTAACTTTGCATCCAATGTTTACTTCGAAAAGTTACGTGTCTTTAATATTATCTTTCTCTCTGCCAAATTGCACTTCGATGCTTGCTTTGTCTTGGGAGCCAGTTCGTAGACCAGAGATTAGCAAGTGGACAGTCCATAACCAAATCCATATCCTTGGATAATGCTGGTTGGCTCTTCAGTTGCCAGAGACAGAGGGTGTCCAAAAGTGGAGTTAATGATGTCTGTGACAATATGGGGCAGCATCCAGTGAACTTGTTCCACCGGTGGACCATAACCAACCAGTGTTCAGTCTGCATGCAGGGCTGTTTGTGAATACGTCCTTAGTGCTAATCTCATATTATTATTATTATCACTTTTCATCCATGTCCTTGACCATCACTTGTGTGTCTCCTAACCGAATACATATTTTTCTGCCATTTGTGTTCCTTTATTTCACTTGGAAACACCAGGCAACTCCATGCTGTCATTAGGCAGCTTCAGGCAATTGATTTTGGGTGTCATGAAATTGATTATTGATTATTCTGATTTTTTATTATATATTTTTACTGCCAGGGAGAGAAAGAAGTGCTTGTGATAGTTTCTGCCTCAGGCCTCAAAATTATTTGACCTTAGGTATTAGTCACCATGACTTGGAGCAGTGGGTGGTGGAGATGGGACCACAACTCTATTTAGCTGCCAAGCAAACTTGAGAGTGATGCCATCTTTTTCTCTTTCCAGGTAAAAGAGCAGCAGAGCTCCGATGATGTCATTAGTGTGTCAACCTCAGCAATTCAACAGGAGTCTGCAACTCTTAAGGTATCCACATCAAACAGTGGGTGCTGAGACCTCACATGGAGCTGGAGCAACTGAAGCTGGATGGACTGCTGGAGTCTTCAGAACCTCCAACTCAAAAGCCAAGTGATGGGTGCTTATCCTTCTGGACCTTCTGAAGAGAGCCCTTACTATTTGCTGCCATCTGCCCGGCATGAATGAGCTGATAACTGAGAAGCACAGATGGTGAAGTTACATGAATTATTGAATGAGACTTGGTTTAGAAATATTCCTCCTATAAGTGCTACAACATGTTTTATGGCCTCTTTAAGAAAGCCTTCCCTTAACTTTCTGAGGTGGCATCCGCACTATCATTCTGGACCTTTCTAATTTCTGCTGAATGTTATCGGAGGAAACACTTGTATTTAATTTCTTGGAGGGCTAGAACAGCCTTCATAAGATTATGGGACTTGCATGGCTGGGGAGATTTATCTCTTTGAAGTTTTTAGCATTAAATGTGTTTTTAGCCATAGAAAGTTCAGGAAAAGGAATTACGGGTAGATGGGTGCTCTCTACTTTTCCTTACCTCAGATACATGGGAGTAGAAAGTGTTGGCACAGGAGCAGTCACACACTCTCTGAGAAGAACTGAAATGCACAGTACCGGAGAAGGACAAATATTAATGTGATGGCTGTGCTATATGTATTTCCCCCCAATTATCGTGGTTTCTTCCCAGCCCCAGCAAGTGGAATAGACTGAAGCAGACGAGCAAAGGAGAAGAAACAGCTTTGTATCACATTTTATTTGCCTCTTTCACTCTCTGAAATAACAGAAGGCTCTAAATGTGTATTTAATAAAAATTTGGACTTGATGTTTTCGATTTTCTCAGCAGTTGCCTGGACTTCCTTATTAAGGAATTGAGACGTGAAGCAGAATGTGCCTGCCTCCCTGGTCATACTTCACTACAATAAGCTGTAGAAATGTGTGATCCAGTTAAGCAGCCAACAGAGATCCTTACTGATGTTACCATACAGGGTCCCCCTGAATGAGTGACAAGTCAAACAGCATTTCATTCTGTGAGGCTGTTCTATTGTTTGAATTGCCTGTAGTTGTATAGGGGATACTGAGTTCCCCCATCTAAATTGGTGTTCTGTTGTTGTAGCATCAGGGAGAAAGTCATCTATATCACAACAGCCTTAGCCATGACATGTGAACATTGCTCTGAATGGGCAATATGGCGCTTCTTTGTTTTTTATATGTTCGTTTTGCATATAGCTCATGCAATTGTATTCTTTTACTCATTTTACGAAGCTGTGTTGGTATGAATATAAGAGACACACCCAGCTCAAATAGTACTGCACTGTTCTGTTGCAGTTACAACATGTGCAGTGCTTTCTTTTCAAGCCTCCCTAGACCATAATTGTTTGTTCTTAGAGCACTGCCAGGTGTTCAGGCCTCTTTTTTTATCTTTGTATGTTCTTCTGGCATTTAAGTTCTCAGACTAAAACTCAGACCAGGTTCATAAACCTGGAACACAAGTTGACCAAAGAGCAAGCAGTATTCTGTACTCCAATATTGACACATCCTTTAGATAAAGAACTTTTAAAACGAGTAATCCCATCAACTTTGGGGGGCCCAACTCCCTCAAATATTTTATTGGGGTGTGTGTGAAGGGACCTAGGAGTCGGCACTTAAGCTACATACTATATACCATGATAGCACATTCTTTCCCTCAAAGAATTCTGGGCACTGTAGTTTGTTAAGGGCTGCTGGGAATGCCCTGAGGGTGAACTACGGTCCCTAGAATTCTTTGAGGGAAATAGTGCTTTGAATGTGCTTTAAGGGTATATATAGTGTGTAACATAGCCTGAGTTTAACTTTCCCTTCAGGAAATTAAGAGCTGGAGCATCCTTATCTGATGGCCTCTGCTTGGAGGCCTCGTACTGCATATTGTAAACTGCCTTGAGCATGCTGAGGGGCAGGCAAGATTAAAAAATTTTTTACAACAAAATTTTGCCAAGTAGAAAGAGGCCCAGTTCCCCCAACAGGTGGCATTAACCTTGAGAATAATGCATTTATGTAGCCCCATAAAATGAGTAACCGGGCAGGAGATTACAGCCGTGAGGAAAGAGAACGGGTAGAAAACGAGCGACATGCCAAATCTGAATGTTGTTGGACTCGAATACAAATTGGACTCCCACTAGTGTTTAAAGACGGGCGAGCTTCCTGTCTTAAAATAAAAAAAGATTTGTATTCATTGTTCTTTGCTCAATTACACTGAACAACGAAAAGGGGGAAGGAAAAAGAGCGAGGTGGCGGCGCGCAAGCTCCCCGAGCGTCGAGGCGACAGGAGGCGCTGCGGCTGCAGGGCGCCCTCGCTGCCGGCTGCGCGGCGCAAAAGCGGCGCGTTTCCTGAGCGGCCCGAGGGAGGATCCTCCTCGCCGAGCCAGCAGACTCTGTCCGCGGGGCGCTCGAGCCATGGAGTTGCGAGCCGAGCTTCTAAAGTCCATCTGGTACGCCTTCACCGCCTTGGACGCGGAGAAAAGCGGCAAAGTGTCCAAATCTCAGCTGAAAGTAAGTGGAAGCGGGTCGAGGGAGAGAGAAAAGGCGGCGGAGGCGGCTGCCTTCTCCCTCAGAGCCCGCGGCGGGCTTGGGGCGCGCACTCCGCCTGTCCCCAGCAGGGCTGCCGGCGCTTTGGGAGCCGGAGGGCAACTTCGGGAGCGAAAAGAAAAGAAACCCCCCTCACAGCTGTGGTGGCGACTTAGGGTTGTGGGATTGCTCGTGAAGGCGGGGGATATCTAAGGAGTTGTGTTCTTCTCTTTTTTAAATAAAGGGAAGGAATAAACATTATGCACTTAAATGTTCTGGGCTTTAAAATATGCCTTCCCCCTTTCTCTGCACTGGGGTGTGTAAGCATGTGCGTGTTAGAAATAGACATTTGCCTTCTTCCTGTTGAATTTCCTCTGCCCTTTTCCGAGGCAGCTGGTTGCAAATGCTGCGTTCCTACCTCGCTCTCTACCGATCTCATAGCTGTCTGCTTTTAAAATAGAGCAAAGGTTGTGCAGAATGTGGGTTCTGCGCCCCCCTTTACAAAAAGCGTTTCTTTCTCTCTCCTTCGCAGTAATCTTGTTGGGTGGGCATGAAAGATCTTCTGCTGAGTAGACAAGACTCGCTTTCTTTAAAGGGGCAAAATGAAGAAGAGCAAAACTCTCCTTCCTTGTAAAATCCTTGTAAACTTTGAAACAGCAACAAAGGCGGTGCTTTGAATTACAATGTGGACGCTGGGCTTTTGCTTAATCACAGTTTTCGGAGCGGGGGAGATGGCAGATGAGATGCAAATGCATGCAAGCCCAGCCAAAGTAGGGCAGAAAAGATCTGAGGAACGCTTGATGCAAATAGTGGCGACACCTTGTGAAATCAACACAAGCCGATGAGCGTAAGTGATAAAGGTTAAGGCTGGCTTCCTGCACTGCTCTTACATAAAGTGGCGGCTGAACCAGTGGGGAAACTGTTTTGCCCCCTCTGGACCACCATCCTTAGCCCTTGAGCCGTGCCAAATGAATGCAAATGCTGGGCAGCTGCCCGGCATCCCCAACTGTTTGCAGAGAACTCCCACGTTGCTGTTGCTGCTGCTCTGTTTTTTTATTGCATCCTAGAGTTTACCCAGCAATGCCAGTGTCTCAGATGTGTTTTTGCTCCTGCAAATAGGCTGTGTAATAATAACTTTCCAATGAAGGTTTGTTATAGCCTTACACTTAAGCCCCTTCCCGGATTTTTGCACCTTTCCCCAAAGTTCATCATGATTGGCCACAGTTTACCCAGGACAGGACACTTGGAACCAGCCTGGGAAAAGATTCTTCTTTTTTTTTAACGTGTTTCTAGCAGCCTCAGACTAAGCCTTAGATTTAACTGTGCAGCTGTACATGACTTTTGAGAAAGTATTTGCTTGTTTGCAAAAGCGTCTAGTATGAAAAGGAGCACTGATGAGGGCCTCTCTGTGTTTATTTGCACACACTGGCCTTGCAAGGCGGGAAGGGTGAAGAGCAAAACAAACAGCAGCATTGAGCCATTGCAAGAATTACATCACTGCCATTTCTTCATGGAATCTTGCTGAGAGCAAAAAGGGGTTGTGTGTTTGTGTTTACAACTTCCACTCCTTGGTTTAAACGCTGCAAAAGCACAGTATATTTATAAGCAAAAGCATTTTTTGTGGTTACTTTTTACACATCATAATTATATTGCTACAGTTTATGATAGGCATGGCCAAACTTGGCCCTCCAGATGTTTTGGGGCTACAATTCCCACCATCCCTGACCACTGGTCCTGTTAGCTAGGGATGATGGGAGTTGTAGTCCCAAAACATCTGGAGGGCCAAGTTTGGCCGTGTCTGGTTTACGAGCACAGGTCAAGCAGTCCCTTGGGGTGTGTGCTTAAGCAGTGGGATCTGTGCCTTTTGACATACATCCATAATACAGCAAAATATTTAATAGTTTATAATGATCAGTGGGCTGGAAAATTTTATTCAGCTATACTTTTCCATTGAAAACGTTTAATTTTTAGAAATGCAGTATTTTATAAATGTAATTACTACCATAATGGATACAATACCAGTCAAACTGGATAGCTGGAATGGATATAATGCCAGTCAAATCAAGAATTGAAGTTGTAATTAACTCCTTTCAAGTGAATATCCATAGAAAGCAGATACTTTTATGCACATGGTTTTTCAGGCATACTAAAATTAATGTTTGTCTTCTGCTACCTCTGTTTATAAATTTAATAAATAAATAATAATTAAAACAATAATGTATCCTCTCCCTCTTTTGCCTCCTCTATTATTATTATTATTAATATTATTATTACTTTCCCTTCTCCAGCAGGTCCCTAAGTGGATTACCACAGTCTAAAATTCAGAATTTAAAACAGTTAAAACAAATCACAATCACAGAAATAGAGTGGATCCTTTTAAACCACACTAACAGCACCATTCTGTTCTTGTTTACCTAGAATTAAGTGCTACTCTATTCAGTGGCTCTTGTTCCCCAGTAAGTGTGTTTAGATCTCCCCCTCCCTTATAGTTCAGTTACATTTGGCTATATGCAGCACATAACAGTAACATGACGTACATTTTAAAATTTCATTTATTAAATCTAAGTCAAATGTTAAATCAGATCTCAGTTAATTTAGGGTGGTGTTGAAAATATTTCCAGGAAATGTTTGGAATTTTTCTGGAAAATCACTATTGATGAAAACCAATGAGTATGTAGAGCCAGTTTCGTGGCCAAGAAATACAGGTGCACCTGAGGGATTATTACATGCGGTCTGAAACACACATGTGGTCTGAAGTCCCTGTTCGAAGGATATTGTAGAGTAGGAAAGAACCTCAAGTTTATCTAGTAACTAGGTCAACCCCCCAACACAGGAAATCCTCTGCAACAGCATCCCTAGTTGTTGGCCGCATAGCCTTTGTTTAAAAACCCTTAGAGCTTATGTGCTATACATCAGGAGTTTTTAAACAATGGTCCATGGATCCCTAGGAAGTCCATGGATGAGCTTCAGGGGGGTCTGTGAACTGGGTACATAAAAATATTCAGTTTTTAATTTCCTACCTGCTACATTGAAAAAAGTCTTTGTGGAATGGAAAAAATATGAGGGGGGGTTCCAGAGCTTTCATCAGATTTTCAAAGGGATCCAATGACCCCAGAAAGTTTAAGAACCATTTTTTTGTACATAATTAGACAGTGTTGTTAACTATTTATAGAATTGCTTTACACATGTGCCAGTGTTGGTGCTTTAACTACTTTTAGGTGAGTGTGGTGCTCATTTTGTGCGAGTTAAGTCACTGAAATTAGGGATCTTTTGGAGCATTTTAATACAGACGATAATGTAAAATAGGTACTGTGAGTAACGGAATAACACCGTATACTTAACCAGCAGGACTCAGTTGCCTCTCATCTTAGTAATTCCTTTAACTTTAGAGTAGTTTCTTCAACAATGGAAGGAAAAAATGAGTGTGCATTCTGTGTGGGGCTCCCCTTGGGCCTGGTTTGAAAATTCCCAACTGATGCAGAATGTAGCAGCCAGACTACTGCTGGGGGCACCTGACTGACAAAATGTGACACCGTTGTTAAAATGTCTGCACGGGCTGGCCATTTATTTTATTTATTTCATAAAATCTATATACTGCTTGATGGTAGAAGACCTCAAAGCAGTTTATAAAAACAATAAAACCACAAGATTATTATTAAAAGCAATAAAATCAATAAAAAATAAAAATCAATAAATTAAAAACACATCAGCGTTCAAAATATCTGGTAGCGATATTTACTACCAAGCCAGATTCAAGGTCTTGATATTCATTTACAAAGCCTTGAACAAATTAGGTCCAGGGACTGCCTGAACCCTTATATCTCAGTTCAGTCACTGAGATTGTCTGTGGACGTGTTGCTGGTTGTCCCCTGAGTTGATGGAGCTCATTTGGCATGGACAGGAAACCAAGTGTTTGGTGTCATCAGCCTAGTTCCTTGAAATGCCCTACCAGTAGAGATTCAGAAGGCATCTTGTATGTTTACCTTTAAACTTTTACTGAAAACTTCTATATGCTGTCAGGCTTATGCAAACAATTAAGAAAACATCTTCTGAAACAGTTGAAGATCTGTGATTTCAAATTTTTATGTGGCTTTTACTGTACATACAGAATTGTGGTAAACTGATATATATTGGCCAGTGGTCAGATTATGGAAGCTGTGGTCCAGTAATGTCTAGAAGGCAACTGCTGCAATAGGTGATAATTTTCTCAGCATGGGGATACAGTGAATGCCACTCATTTGTTCACCTGCTATGCAGCTGTTAAAAGTGCAGGAGCCCTGCTGAAGAGGAAAGTGGTAATTCTAAGTATCTGATAACGTAAACAGGCTCCTTTTTGTGGTGCTTCCCCGCCCCCCATTTATGGTTGTGCTGTGCCTCACAGATATGTTTCCTGTGGGTATACAGAAATGATGGTTCCAGTGTCAGCATTAAGATTTTTCTTCCTGTTTAGTTGCATACAGCTCTCGCTTCTTTAGAAATCTACATGGTTAGGATTGTGCATCTGTGAAACCTGGTGATTTCAGAGCTGGTGCTCATAGGTAAAATATTTTTTGAGTTGACTGGAGACCTTAGAAATCCACGTGGAGTAAATTTGAACTTGGTGGCTATAATGAACCCCTGATTCCTGTAAGACTGTTTGCTGCAGCACTGCATTTGAGTATGCGGTACTTCCGTGGTTAAAGCAATGCTCACAACTTGGTGATAAATGCTGCTGAGCTTACAAAGTACTTACGGCCATAAATTGAGATTATGGCTACTACTCTGAGACAGCTGTTCTAAGCATGCTTACTGTGGAACCTGTTGAACTCGATAGAGATCACTTTTGAGTAAACATGCTTAAGATAGTGCCATTAAAAAAATGATTCCTTAGAAAAAATATTGTGAAACCAAACTCAGGTTTGCACACAGCTGAACAAATCCATGAATGATAATTTCATGGCTATAATTATAGCTTAGTTGCTGGAATGTTCAGTGGTGGTGTATCTCTGAAGTCTGCCTTAGACCAGGGGGGTGGCTAACCTGTGTCACTTGAGATGGTGTTGGACTACAGCTACCATGAGCCTCGGCTAGTATGGCTAGTGGTCACAGATGATGGGAGCTGTAGTCTAATAACTCTTGGAGGGCAACAAATTAGCCACATTGGACTATATTCTAAGAACAAACAGGAGATGACTACTTCCATCATGCTCTAAAACAGAGGTTCTCAACCTGTGGGTCCCCAGATCTGCTCTAAAAGATGCTTTATAATGTGTCAGATTGTTTGTCCAGCTAGGCCAGTGTTGTCTGCTTTCGACTGGCAGGGTTCAGGAAGAGACCTTTCTCATCACTTACTATGTGATAAGAAAACTGGAAGTACCAGGCATTCAAACAGAGTACCTTCTGCAGGGAAATCATATGTTCTGCTTATGGTCTCTTCTGTGATAAAACCGTAAGTGTACCTCTTGACTTGTCAATGGATTTAACCTGTTTTCAAAGCCAGTCATCAGGCAAGGGACCTACAGTGACCATGTTTGAACATAGCAATAAGCCAGATTTTCTAATTTACCTTAGTTTACTGTGATTGAGCAGTGTGCTAGTGCACCCTGCCTGGTTGTTTCTGCTTTGCTCTTAGTCTGGCAAGAGCAAAATAAGCAAACTAGAAAACCTTGGTATCCTATTATGTCTGAACCAGGTATTGTGGATTGTTTCTCTTGAACAAGCCATGATCACTAGCTAACCTTAAAACATGGCCTGTTGTTGACTTGCTGGCATTGGCTTGTTAGGGAACAGCAAAATATGACCCCTGGTTTGATTTTAATGGAAAGCCAAAGCTTCCTGGTTTGTTTGTTCTGCTCATGCCAGGGGGGAAGCAGAGTGGAAGCAATTGGGCAGCACGTACCAGCATGTTGCTCATTTACAGTAAGCCACAATAAGTCAGAAAATATTACATGGGAATGCAGTCAGTGTTAAGAATATGAGTGTCTCTCTGCTTGTGCAGAATGCCTTTTTTCCAACATCTGCTTTTAAGTGAGCAGGACTTCAAGAGTGAAGTATGGGGTTTTGAGTAAGGCTTGAGCTGCCAATTCTTTTATTTATCAAAATTATCACCTATTTAAAACTGCATCGCCCAGTCTGCTTACCTCTAGAGCCCTTTTCTCATAGCAGGTTCACTAATAATTTTTTAGAGCCAACATTATAGCAAAGTCTATGCGAACAGAGGTTGCAACGGGCGTTTGTGGCTTCCTGGGCTGTTTAGTAAGGGGGATTTTTTGCAGGCAGGGAGCCACCTTACTGTTGCCGCTGTGTCTCCTTAAGCTGTGCATGTTGCAACAAGGCAGTTTTCACGTGATTTGAACTTTCCTCCTTTTAAAATCCAGTAGTTTTTGCAGCTTATGAATCTTCTGATCTAACTCATCAGTGATTTTTTTTAAAAAAAAAACCTTTTATCTTGCAGCAAAATTATAGTGGGAAAGCCAAGTAGGCTTTAATTTACTGTTAACTAGGGCAATACCTGATTAGTGAAATCATAGTCACTTAATTGTATAGATCGTAGTTTATTTTAAATTTGCATATAAGAAGAACACAATGAATCTAAATAAATTGTTTGTTCTATAAGTGGTGCGCGTGTATTGCAGGAAATATCTTGGACAGATTTGCATTTTCCTCCTCTCACTCACTAGAGGGAATGCCTTTTCTAGAATGGTGGTTGCCATGTGCAGTTTTTATAAGTACTTTTACAAAAAAACCCTAATTTTAAAATGTGTTTCCTGGTTTATCAGTGGCACCTTTTTTTAAACTGATCAGAATGTTTTAAATTCCAATGCTACTATTAACCCAAGTTTAGGCCTAGCTCCCTTAGGTTACAGTTTGATGCATGGCAGTGGGAAAGTAAGGAACACAACAAACCAGTAAGCACGGAACAGGGGTAGTAAAAGTGATGTCCTCTCAATATTGTTGGACTCCACTCAGAGCCAGATCAGCTCATAAGGCAGGGTTAGGGCCTTGCCCCTGAGGTGGCATCCCCATGGGCCACCAGCCTGCCTTGCCGCCTCTGCCAGTGCTGGTAGTGGAGAGGCGGTGCCCCCACTGGCGCCCATTTGGGGCGAGATTGCGTTCATTTTGGTTGAGATCTTGCCTCAAATTGGTGATCTCAATAGGCAACGAGTTCCAAAGTGCAGGTGCTGCCACGCTAAACGCTGAAGTTCTTACCAGCGTGGAACGGGTATTATGTGGCACCTGTAGATGGAATTACTGCATTTCACTTTATATGGGGCTTCCCTCGCTGTTGATCTAAGAGTAGTTTATAGAGAAAGTTGCAGCACAATTGCTGACAGGAGTGAGAGTCTGTCATCGTATTGCACTCCTGCTCAGAGATCAGTGCTGGTTGCTGATTAGTTACCAGGCCAAGTTCAGAGTTTTGCTATTAGTATATAAAGCACTTAACAGCTTTGGACTAATTTAAACAGGAACCTTTGCTGTATAGTTTTGGACACACACAGTATAATTTAGTTACCCATATTTTACTGATTTTATCTATATTTTAATACTAATCTTTACTTTTGTTTTTTAACCGGTTTTGTGGGTTTTAACTGTTTCTGTGGAGAGCTCTTTGATTAAGTGGTTGATAAATCTCTCTAAATAAAGCAATCCCTGGCCATTGGCAATTCTAGCTGAGGCTGATGGGATTTGGAGTCCAGTGACATCGGGGAGGCACCCCATTGGCTACTCCTGTGTAAAATGACATAATAGTATAATAGTAACAAGTGGGACCAGCAACAAAACATTCAGGACACCCCATTCCCTCCTCATCTTCCACCCAGTCAGTCATCATTCCAAGTCAGTCTCCCCCTCCAAATATCTTGTGTGCTTCTGCAAATTTTGGAGTTTCCCCATTCAATGAATGGTGTCATTTTGCTACATAAGGATCAACATTCAAAGAATGTGTCCACCATTGTTGTATGAGATATGCTGTTTGCACGATGGACAACAGTGGGTCACTAGACCCTCCGCTCCATCACCCTTCTCTGGGCTAGTCCTTTGCTGGCATGTGGGGTTGTAAAAAGGGGCAAAAGGAGCAGATGCTGAGCCATCACCATCTGATATGCAGTTTTAAATAGGTGATTGAATTAAATATAGAGAGCTTAACTAAGCTGTCGGTGGTAAGGTTACCCAACAGAAGTTCAAGAATACCATAATGTTTCACTGACACAATTCAAATCTACTTTTAAGTGTATTCTGAATTCCCTGGTGCAGCTTCTAAGCATGGGCAGGAGTCAAGGGACCTGTTATAATCTACAGCAGAAGGAAAAGCTATTTTGCCCAAACTTTCAAGTAACCTTAGGCCATGCTCCTGGCTGTTGATCATAAGCAGTTTTTCTGCACAGTTATTCATTACAAAACAGGGAAGGGAGCCAAGCAATAGAAGCAGCATTGTTATTTTATTTCATAACATCATTTTTATTCATTTTAATCTGTAAACTGTTTTATATGGTTATGTTGAGATATATCTTATGTTTACATTAGATTAGAGTCTATGGCATGCAGCAATTGCAGGTCTACTCTACACTGTATTCAAGAAAGATTAGCCCAGGTGAAATGTGTGTACAGTATAGGATTGCAGCCTAGATTATATATCTTCTTGTTATCAATGACCTGGAATGATGTGTGTGTATGTACTGTGACACAAATGTCCATTTGGTCATGTGGAAGAAGGGAGAAAACTTTGCAGCTCCTCAGTAACCCCAAGATGCTTGGTAGAGGAGCTTGTTGTGTTTGGGTTCTTCTCCAGGAATGTCCATACCATAACCAATCACAAATAATGTGCTCTGACAAACTGGTTTCTGCTTGTGTTTGTTTGAAGTGGGGAGCTTCTTGTGACAGACGAAGAACCCAAAGACTCAAGCTGTGACTCATCCTTGAAATTTGCCTGATAGCTGGTGGTCTTCAGCTAAAAGAATAGGTATGTGCTTGGTATTACTTATACAGGGTGAGTCCTTTAAAAGAGGCCCCGTGGATACAGAGTACACATGTTCCATGGGGCCTCTTTTAAAAGACTAACCCTGTATAACTACCCTAATTGAGAAAGCCTAGACAGCAGGTGAGGTGCTAGATGACTGGAGATGGGCAAATGCTGCCCCAATCTTCAGAAAATTGGGATGGTATGGGTGGGAAGAAAGATCCAGCAAACTGAAGACTAGTCAGCCTGACTTTCATACCAGGGAAGATAACCAGAACAGTTTGTAAAGTACTCAGTCTTTTTGTTAATGTTGTGGTTGGTAGGAACCAGCATGGATTTGTCAATAAGTAATCATGCCAGACTAATCTTATCTCTCTTTTTTTATTGGCTTACTGGTTTAGTGGATTTTGGAATGTGTTGTGGTCATAGTATATCTTGAGTTCAGCAAAGCATTTGATAAACTCCCCCATGATATTTTGGTTAGCAATTTGGTTAAATGTGATCTAGTTGATAGTATTGTCACAACTGTTGGGAAATGATGCCCAGTGATTCCCAAAGCTTTCTCATTTATGGTCGTTCATCACATTGGAACAAAGTGGGGGGAGACAGAGCAGCACAGGACTCTCTCTCCCCCCCCCCTCGTCAATTACTTAGGGATGGAGGGATTCCTCATCAAGTTTGCAGATGGTGCAAAACTGGGAGGGATAACTTTACACCTCCAAGATGGGAATAAAACTCAAAATAAATTTGACATCTGCAGCGGAGGAGGGATACGTAGCTTGGCAGCAATACATGTGAAATGATCTTGGGATTGAACTTGGTCAGAAACTGAATGTGAGTCATCAGGGTGATGTGGCTTCAAAAAAGTCTAATGCCATTTTAAGGGTTTCAATGTAACTATAGGGCAATATTCAACTAAATAATTGCATGAGTGGAATGAATTCAGCTTGTGCAATAGCACTCCCCTTCCGCTGTCCCCCTGTGCAGGCCCAGCACAGTCCCCAAATCAGCTATGTAAGGTTGGGGAAACCCTGAGAACAGTCGATGGGGAGGAGAGGGGGAAAACTCCCACTGTGCAAGAGAAAGTTGTCTGCTCATGCAGGAAGGTACTTTGTGCTACATTGAACTAAGTTTTCCAAGCCATGGGAAGTAATCGTTTCACTTTATTCTGCACTAGGCAGACACCATCTGTATCCAGGTTTGGGCACTGCACTTTGTACCTTGGCTCCCGAACACCTTGGGAGTTGAACATTTCAGCTCCCAAACAATCGAAAACCAGAAGTGAGTGTTCCAGTTTTCAAACATTGTTTCAGAAGCCGAACATCCGACGGAGCTTCCAATTGGTTGCAGGAGCTTCCTGCAGCCAATCAGAAGCTGCACTTTGGATGTCAAACAGTTCGGAAGTCGAGTGGACTTCCAGAACGGATTCTGTTCGACTTCCAAGGTATGACTGTATAGACATGTTGGGATGGGTTCAGAGGAGGGCAACAGAAAACAGGTCCTGTGATAAATGCTTGAAGGAACTGGGAAGAGAAGACTGGGGTGAGGGGGCCATGCCTGTTCTGATATGGAGCAGCTCTTCACAATCTTGGGCGCATAGGTATTTTAACTGGAGGGGCCAGGGATTGAACCTGGGACCTCCTACTCTGTGCTACTGAGCTACAGCCCCTTGTTCAGGGTTTAAGTTGTGTTTAGAGTCCATCTTTTTATCTCCTCTCTTTCATTTCTTAGGTGGTATTCAGATTGAGAGTGAGTGACTTACCCAAGGCCATACCAGTTTTTGTATCTTATTGCATTCAAATGCCACCTTTTCCTCCAAGGAGCCTTAAGGTGGTGTACATGATTCTCCCCTCCCCATGTTATCCTCATAACAACCCTGTGAGGTAGGTTATGCTGAGGAACAGTGGCTGGATCAAGGTCAGCCACTGAGCTTTATGGCCGAGTCCCAGAGACTCAGAAAGTAGCAAACTCCTCCTCTGTTAGAGACATTTAAGCAGCGACAGGAGGATGTCACGAATGTTTGCAGCAGATTCATTGTATTGGCAGGTAGTTTTAACTAGATGACTTTTACGGTCCCTTCCAACCTTATGTTTCTGTGGCATGTGCCCAGGTGCCCCAGGTCCAGAAAACAGGCAAATTGGTATTGTATAATCTGACATGGAAGAAATGTGACATTTTCACCAGACAGATGGTCAGAACATCCATTTATCTGTTCCTCACACAGAATCAAGGCTTGTTGAATCTGTTCTTCATCTTTACTCCCTATAATGCTGAAATCCTTTGCAATCCTTGCCCCAGGACTCACCACATGTTGGGGAAGGAGTTCACCTCCTCTGACCATTTTGGAGCATGTCTTTCCTCTGTGTTACAGAACTTCAGTCTGCCAACCCTGGTTTTGCCACGAATGCAGCGTCTTGTCACCTTTTAACATGCAAAGCAAGCTCCAGATCTGAAGCTAGAAGGATCATTCCAGACTCTGGCAGTCGCCTCCAAGCGTCCCCAACCAGGGAGAAGAAAAGGAGCTTCATTCTCCTTTTGCATTAAACATTCCACCCCTGAGTCATGCTGGCGCCTGTTGCAGAGCACGGTTCTATGCCACACAAAAGCCAATTATAGTGCCACATTCAGCTTAGAGAAACGAGTCCAGTGTGCTGCAGATATGGGGAAATGGCACCAGAATGCATATCTACCACCTGCCTTGAAGCAATGAAGCTGTCTTTTTCAGGGGCAGATTATAGGGGATTGGAGCTCACAACCAAGTGTTCAGGATATGGGGGTGTATTTTAATCAGTTGTTCACAGCTGCTACCACCATTCATGGAGAGTGGTGGATACAAATAAATACAGGAGCATGCACAGTCTTCATCACCAGGTTTGTTAAAAAGATTCTAGTTTCTGTCCTAGGTGCCTCTGCTTTGAAAGATGTTAGGTAGCAGGGAATGAGAAGGGGCTATGCCTGAAACCCTTGGAGAATCACTTCTGGTCAGAGAGTAGGCAGGGATAGGTTATATCAAGGAAAAGGTATACTGTAAAAGGTAAAGGACCCCTGGATGATTAAGTCCAGCCAAAGGCAACTATGGGGTCGCGGCGCTCATCTCACTTTCAGGCCGAGGGAGCTGGCATTTGTCCACAGGCTGGTTTCCGGGTCATTTCTGGCGCAACGGAACACCGTGACGAGTGCCAGAGTGCATGGAAATGCCATTTACCTTCCCACCACAGCAGTACCTATTTATCTATTTGCCCTGGCATGCTTTTGAACTGCTGGGTTTCCAGTTGCCATATCAGGGATGGGGAGGCTATGACCCTCCTACTAGTCCACAACTCTCATCATCACTGGTAGACCATCCTGTTTTGGGCTGATGAGTCCAACAACATATTGGAGGGACACATCCCTGAGCTATATAGCAGCCTGGCACGTTATAAAGCAGCTCCTTTTTTTTTGCACCTTTTTTTCAGCCTGTGTTTAGCACGGGGTGTCCCATCTTTCCTCGTATCCCTTGCATTTTTGACATTTCATTCTCTCTTGTTTCCGCCTTCCATATTGTGGTGGTAAGGTATGTATGTGTCACCCCTGTCTCTCACGTTAAGCTAGTCCTGGTTCATATTCCCTCTGTTGTTGCCATGACTGAATTCAGCCCCAATCTGCAGCACCCACAGAACATGACTGGGTTGCAATTCACTGAGCATATTCCTGTACCTACCTGTAAGAGCAGGAACCTCAGGGGCCCAGTCAAGGATTTGGAGGGGATCTTTTATGTTCTTAGACAGGGCATGTGACTGGAAAAACAGTGAAAGAGGAATGCACATTTGGATGTGTCTAATTACTGAGCCAGGCCAGTAATCAACAAGTCTCCTACCCAGGAGGCACTGGACTCGCACAGCTGCTGCTATGAATTAGAGCAAAGAACACTGTGCGCTCCAGCCCATCAAGTGATCTCATACAGAGGAGACGTTGTCACAGCCCAGATTACAACTCTGTGACTGGGGTTGGGATTGCCAGAAGAGGCAGGGGAAAGTATGCGTACATGTTTAGCAGCCAGCACATCACTCAGCCTTGGAATCGGCCCATGCACATCCCTCTAGAGGCACCTGGCCTAGCCATGCAGGCTTGGACACTGGCTGAACTGTTGACTCACATAAAAGCAGGAGTGTCAGTGTGTGGGAGCAGAAGGAAGTGTATTGCTAGGTGTGAAAGCAGCCAAAAATAGGCCAAGGAGGGGAAAACCTTCCTGATCATTCAAAGTCAACATAAGAAGGCACTTTGTCAGTAGCTGATCCTTTGCTAACTCCAGCCTAGTGCTGTAGCCATAGTATGTGTGTCCATCCCTGTCTCTTCCTCTCTTTGCTAGCCTCTGTGACCCACCCAGATATATTTTGGACCTCTGCCCTGAATTTCCAGCTTTCATTTACTAAAGTTTGTGTCTGCCTTAGGTGGCTGCAAGAGGCCACTGATTTTCGCAATGATGTGGGGGGGGGGGGGAAACCTGTGAAATTGTGCCTGGATAGGTGGCACCCCAAACCCTATTTGGAATGCAAATTGCCCCTCTCACTGGTCATCGGATGGATTATCTGAGCGGGATTAATCCTTCATCAATTTAATCTCCACTGATAATAACTGAGGCAGGGTAGCTGCATGCCTTTGTACCTGTCTCCATGTGTGTGCACATGCATGTATGTGAGAGTGTGAAATGGCCACATGCACCACTAGCATGTGGGGTCTAGTTAAGAGTGAATGTGGCTGTCAGGCCAAAAAATATTAGCCACCCTTGCAATAGCTTTTTAAATTTTAATCACAGACTGATAAGGGGAAATGTTCAGCCAAGAAGGCATGCGCATTTCGCCTCCCCCACACCTTCCCTGATGGGCTTGTACTGTGCTTACCAGGTTCTTGTGGTGGGCAGGAATCTCGGGGGCCCACGGCATTAGACATTATTGAGAAGAAAGCCCTAAATGTGTAGAGCTATATGTCCTCCAAGTGACAGTGATCCCTGATCAGCAAAGTCTCCAACCAATGGAGGAGCCCTAAGTATGTACATACAGTGTCCCGACAGCAAGCAGAGTCTACAGATATCAGCAGGTAGCTTAGCCATGCAGGTGGCAGGTAGGGTCAGATGGGTGTTGCAGGACCTTGGGTAGCTCCAAGCAAATAACTTGCTCTCCTTCCCAAGCTCTAAATGTAAAGGTAAAGGACCCCTGACAGTTAAGTCCAGTCGCAAACGACTTTAGGGTTCCGATGCTCATCTTGCTTTACTGGCTGAGGGAGCCGACATTTGTCCACAGACAGTTTTTCTGGGTCATGCGGCCAGCATGACTAAGCCTCTTCTGGCGAAACCAGAGCAGCACGCGGAAATGCCTATTTATCTACTTTCAACGTGCTTTCGAACTGCTAGGTTGGCAGGAGCTGGGACCAAGCAACGGGAGCTCACCCCATCACAGGGATTCGAACTGCCAACCTTCCAATCGGCAAGCCCTAGGCTCAGTGGTGTAGACCACGGCACCACCTAGGCTCTACCCCTTCTTGAAGTGGAGAGTCTCAGTGCTCATCCCCATGTTTCTAGACACAGGCCCAAGCTTGAAAGCTCTGTGTCCGAGTGCTTTCCTACCTGCCTGTGCTTTCCCCACAAAAACCTGCTCTTTACTGCTGTTTGTTCCAATTTAACATTAAAGAGTGGGGGAAATGGTGGGGTGAAAAAGAAAAAGAAAGGTGCTCGGACACAGAAAAACTACAGATGAAGAACTGAGTGGAATGCAGGGGGCCTGTGCAGGAAGCCTTAAATACCTTGGGAACAGACCTGAAGGAAGCCTATGTTCTCCATCAGTCCCACCCTCAAAGGGAGCCATGCCTCCAAGCCTGTGTGCTATTGACCAATCCGCAGGCAGGTTTGGATCCACTTTCTGGCTGGTGAGGTGAATGTTAAGCCTCCTCGCTGGCCAGGCAGCCTGCAGCACCACAGAACCGGATAAAGCTGGCTTACCTTCTGCCCCACACTTTCTAGGCCCTGGTATTATCATCAACTGAGGCCCTTCTCCATGTGCCTCTTCCATGTGAGAGGTCTAGAGAGTGGCAACAGGAGAACGGGCCTTTTCTGTGTTGGCCTCCCTGTTTGTGGAATGCTCTTCCCAGGGAGGCTCGCCTGGCGTCTCCATTATATATCTTTAGGTGCCAGGCGAAAACATTTCAACATTCTATGGCTTTTAAATGTGTTTGTGGGAGGGGGTTTGTTGCTTTGTTTCTGTTTTTGTTTTATCATGTGTTTTGTATTCTCATTTTGTATTTTTCTGTTGTGAACTGCCCTGTGATGAAGGGTGGTATGCAAATTTAATAAATAATAACAATCATAAGGGTGAGGCAGCGGGTGGACTGCATGCTGTGATGGAAAAGTTGGTTTTTGCTGGGCAGGTTGGTTCACCAAGTGTTTTCATTTTCTTTTTTCCCTGCCAGCAAACTGTTAATGAAAGGCAGCTTCTGATTGGCCAGGGTTCCAGGAGGGAGAGTTGAAAAGGAGAGACAGTTTTTAGGTTGGGAGTGAGAGTTGGTTCTGGGTAGAAACATCTACTCTGAGGAATATATCAGAAGCTAGCGAAAGGAGTCTCTGAGCTTAGTGTGAAGGATAGTGTGTGATGTCCTGTAAGAGTAATAAGCCAGGAATTAACTGGGAGGCTGAGCCAGGATAAGTAGAAGCTGTGAGAATACAGTCTACTTAGGACTCATTCCAGTCAGAAGGGGAGAGATTCTTCTACATTGAGAAGACTTCCAAACCAGTGAAGAGGGGTGTGGTGATCCCTTGGGTCTGTTACTTGGAGTACCTCAGGAGTAGGGTTGTCAAAGGGGTGTGTAACTGACAGGAAGTACCACCTTGTTTAAGAAACAAAGTATTAAGCAGCAACAGCTGTGCAATAACTGAGAAAGAGCAGAAGTGAAATAACACTAGTATCTGAAATATCTTTTGTTTTACCCACTTTGTGTCGTACGCTTCCTATCTTTAATAAAATCTTTCTTGTTTATTTGACCAAATCCTGCCTAAGACAACAAATTATTAAATTTTCTCTCACACAAGTCCCCCATAAGATAATCTTGGGTAGTTTGTAGGAATTCGGGTAATTGGTGTTCTGTGAGGTGGGTGCGCTATATTTAAGTGAGGGCAGGCCCAACGGCACCAGGGGGGAAATACTGTCGCGCCATCGCACATACAAGCTCTGCACTGCCTGAAATGGCAGCATGGGGCTTGCGTCTGCCTGCTGCCTCCCCCTCAGCCACCCTATGGCTGAGGGGGAGGCAGTGGGCAGACTCCTTGGAGGCTCTGCGCAGCGTGCCCTGCCCTGGCTCACCCCGCCCTGTTGGTGGCTTGCCCCACCCTCGGGTGCAGGGCAGACACCGCCCCAGGTGCCCAAGCAGCTGGCTACACCGCTGCTTAGTTCCCCAAATTATGCACAGCCAACAGGGCATGGCCAATAGCAACAAGCTCACACTGCCCCCTCACACATTAACCAAATGGAATGCCTCTTCTATCTCTATGAAGAAGTCCTTGATTGCCCCCACTCTGGCCTCTGTTTTCTGTAGGCCATTGTTTGAATTTGCATGAACATATTTAGCAGCAGAAATGCTGAGTCATCGAACCACAGTTGTACGATTTGGCTGATGCTAAAGTCTTTATTTCATATCTTTTATTTGTTGCTTGCATTTTAAGAGGATGAAGAAACTAGATTTGGTAAGTTTCAGTACTTTGTCTCCTTTTTGCACTTTTAAAAGGGCATGCTAGTTTGGTGCTGTAGAAAGGTAGCAGATAGTTAAATTTGTTGTTTTAAAGATTTGTTTGCTGAGAGGTGAAAGGACAGGTGTTTGTAGGCTTTTTATTTATTTATTTTGCCTTAGGTGCCAAAATAACTTGGTTGATCTTGGGTGCAATGCATCTTGACAATTTTTGCAGGTGCTGCCCTATCTCAGACAGCAACATTCATTGAGAATTATTACCCATCTGGCTAGGTTTCCCCAATTTAAAAATATAAAAACATAGTAAAACATCAAACACTAAAAACTTTACAATACAGGGCTGCCTTCAGATAATGCTATGACTACTGATCATGGTGGCTATATATGATGTGATCTGTCTCTGAATAGCAGTTGCTAGGGAGCAACAGTGGTGAAAGAATATTGCCCTTGTGTTTTGCTTGTGGTCTTCCCGTAGGTGTCTGCAATGGAGGCTAGTTCATTAAGGCGAATGGTTCACTTTCCCACTCACTTCAGTCCACTCACAGCCAATCTTCACTTGCTGACCTCCTTAATTACAACTAGTCCAGAGGTGGCACTGCCTGTCAGAGCCCTCCTTCTAAGACTTTAATGTTGCCCTTGTAGAACTCAGCAGAAAGGAGGATGGGGACAAACCTAGAATTAGCTGGCTCTACCTGTCATTGCCTCTGCCTCTACCTGTTGTTGGATCTTTCACCCCTCCAGGCCCAGTGGGCCCCAGCCACCAATAGGTACCTGACTTGACGACTGTGGGGAAACAGGATGCTAAGCAAGACACACCTTCAGTTTGATCTTACCATAGGTACTTAGGTGCCAGCTCTGAGCCTACAGAGCACAGTTTCGCCTAAGTCACATGCGATAGGGAGAAAAGTTTATGGAAGGTATATAAATGGACTTTGCTTAAGCATTAGCTCATATGGTATGAGAGTGTCCTTGAGCTTGTTCACAAGCTTTTTCAACAACAGTGATTGGCTCGGCTAAATAGCAGCCCATTAAACCTTTGCAGTAAATAAATGCAGTTAATGGTTGTGCTGTAGGTGATTTGCAAATGTAAGGAGCACACTTTTTAATGTTAAATTTTTATGTGTTTTCCTCTAAGCTGCCTTGAGGGAAAATATTATTAGAGTAGTAGATCAACTTTAACATCAATTAGTGAAATAGGTTAAATAATTTAGGGTTTAAAGCAAGATTAACCACTGTCCACAGGGCATTTTAGGCTACACAGGGAAAGGCTACTTGAAGTGGCCAGACAGCAGCTCACTCAAACCTACCTCTTAGAGATGAATGTTAAGGAAAGCAGATAGGATGTGCCCTCTAACAGTTTCCACTTAAGATAGTTAAGAGAGTAAAGCATGAATGGACTGTAATTCTAATTCAAGCCCTTAAACCCATAAATTTCCACCCACCCTTGTGGCCAATAGCACCTTTGGGGGAGGGCGTGATAATAGATTGAGGCTGTGGCATCCTTTGCCTGCACTGTGGCCCTAATCCGAATCCCCCTCCTCCCACAGCTGCTTTTTGAGAAAGAAGCTCCAAATATGGAGCTCCCAGGTCACATCTAGTTTGATACTGCAGACAGGTTTTGGCAGAGCCCAACATAACTGCAGAGGTGATACTTATTCATCTTCTCACCTTTCTCTAGCAGACTTGATTTTCTGTCTCCTACTCCGCCCTCCCTTGCTTTCAGACTTATCTCATGACTGGGATGTTTGGGGCTATGCATGGACCTAGAAAGCTAAAATTTGGTTGTCAGGAAGGGGAGTGCCCTCTCAGTTCCAGAAGTGGCTAAAGTACCCTCTCAGAGAAGTGGCTAGCTTAACCTGTTGTGGCAAAACCAGAGTATCTACAAATGCAATATAAAACATAGCTAACATAATCTGAGAGTAGTAAAACTCGTCAGCCAGTTAACTTTCCAGGGGTTGCTGGTTGCTTCCTAAAGAAATATCCAACTATATCATACTCAGAGAAGACTGAAATTAAAGAAGTCTATTGATTTCAGCGGGTTTCTTGAAGCCTAACCATGTCTACTCAGAAGTTGGTCCCATTGAATTCAGTGGGGCTTACACCCAAGTAAATGAGGTTAAGATTTCAGCCCTTGCTGATACAATGCAGGGGAAAGGCCATACCTCAAATTACACCCTCAGCATCTCCACCTAGGGCTGGGAGAGATTCCCTGTCCCTGAAAACCTGGAGACCTGCTACTGGTCTGTAGACATACTGAGTTGGACCACTTAGTCAGGCTCAGTACAAAGCCGTTTCCTGTCTTCCTGAAGTCACACGCTCCCACTTCATTCTGTTTGTATTGTTTATGCTTTTACTTTGTTTATATTTGATGTTTTATTATTTTTAATTTGTATGTTATCTGCTTTATAAATAAACTCAAAGAAAAGCAGAACATAGACATCACTGTTGCTATTATTCCCCTCTGCCAACACGATGGCCTTGATCCAATTTGGGGTCTTTCTGCTGTTGCTTTTTAAGTAAAGAAAATGACTATTGGGAGATCCTTTCACATATATCTGACTAGGCCCTCAGGCAGACACTGCAGCAGATAGCAGTCGTTTTTCTGGCAATAATGAGCCTCTTCCGGCTAACTAAGCTTTATTCACCTTGGCAACCTGGTCTTTTGGAATTACCCAATGTGCCTTTTATGTAAACTTTCCCCAGTCTCTCCCCGGCCCCATGCCCAAGTCACCTATGGCAAGCAGTTTGCCTACCTGGAGTGCAGCCAGGACATCTGTTCTACAACAGCACGTATATCAGTTCCAGAAGTGGTACACACTCAGACAAAGGAGAGAATTTTACATTGTTTGGAGATTATTTACCCTCCAATAGCTGAGCACTCAATACCAAACACCATTATGCTGGGTTGAATGTGAAAGATGAATAGGGTGAGTTTCAGATGATGCCAGCTAATCACAGCTTGGTTTTGAGGGAGGGAGCAGTTGCCTTCTATTTTTTTGTTATGGGGATGGAAAATCAGGGATGAGACATTCAATGCAGGACAAGGTCCCCTTCTCCTCTTAATATTTGCACTGAAGAGATTTTCTCAGCAGGCAGTTTCTCTTTCATTATAGTGCTGCTGTAGGGTTGCCAACTTCCCCACCCCTTTGCCCCTTGCAGAGCTCCTATGCACAAACAGCTGGATGAGAGCTGAAACGTAACAGCTGAAGCTTTTTCCAATACGAAACTACTAGCGATGGATGGTACAATTCTGAGCTGTTGAATCTCTGCCTGTCATGTGACTATTAAAGGCACATGAGACCTATGGGGCAGGGGGTGGGGTGGGGAGCTGGCAATCCAATACAGCAAAGGTAGAAGAAGCTGCCCTTCCTAGTAATCTCTTTTCTACAAAAATTTAAGGCACACAGCTGCACCCCCTTTTGAATCTAATAATCATATGGAAAAGATCATAGTCCTAGGCACACTTCCTTGATAGTAAGTTTTATTGACAGCATGTGGGATTTTCTTCCAAGCAATGCATTTATTATTTGGGTGAAAGCTTGATTGGGTTAATAAATCCCTAAACCCACCATTTATTTGCAGAATAGTTTCCTTCTTTCTATTTGAGGGTAATTTCAGGGTGTGAGTCAGAAGTGTATTCTGGGATGCCTTTAAACTTTAAAGTGTTGGATATTCTTTTATAGAAACATAGGAAATTGCCTTACACCGAGTTTCTAGGTTTTCAGACGAGTCTTTCTCCAGTCCTACCTGAAGATGCTGGGGATTGAATCCACAGAGCATCTTGGCTATGGTGCTGCTCAACCCCACTTTTCATCCAATTGCTTAGCAGCTAAATAGTTTAATCCTTGAAGTGCCACATATCAAATGGGAAGATATTGCCCTAATCCAGACTGTTTTATTTTTTCAAGTATCATGGGACCATAGTTTTGGCAGCCAAGGTTATCATTCATGTGTCTGCATTTGCTCATGTTTAAGCCAAAAAGACATGGGGCATCAGTAGAGATGTGTGGGTGAGGGAGGCTGAACCCTTCCCCACTCCATTCCCTACTTGTTATGTCAATAAGGCAGACGTGAGAATAAAAAAAAAAGTCTGCCCTCCTTGTGTCTAATTTGGTTCTGTCTTGTCCTGATGGCCTGTCTTTCCTCTGCTCTCTCAGGTGCTTTCTCACAACCTGTACACCGTGCTGTGCATCCCTCATGATCCTGTGGCACTGGAGGAACACTTCAAGGACGATGACGATGGGCCAGTATCAAGTCAAGGGTATATGCCATATCTCAACAAATACATCCTGGACAAGGTAAGCCCATTTCCCCTTGAAGTTCCTTCTTCTTAGATCAGGGATGGGGAACTTAGGGCCCTACAAGTGTCTAGGCAGTATCAAACACAGGACGGGAAAGGAACAGTTTTCCTAGTTTCCAGCAGGAGCAACTGTGCACACTGATGATTGGCTGGTGATTTGAGATGTAACAGGAAGAACCATAGCTGTCAACATTTCCTTTTTTTTAAGGGGAATTCCCTTATTCCGAATAGGATTCCTCGCAAGAAAAGGGAAAAGTTAACAGCTATGGGAAGAACATAGGAAGCTGTTTTATACCAAGTGGGACCATTAGTCAATCTAGCTCTATAATGTCTACACTGATTGGCAGCAGCTCTCCAAAGTCTCAGGCAGGAGTCTTTCCTAACCCTATTTGGAGATGCTGGCGATGGAACTTGGGAACCTTCTTTCTGCTAAGCAGATGGTCTATCATTCAGCTGCAGCTGTGCCTTGTCCACCTCCCACCCCACCCCCAAAGCAGTTTTTCAATTTAAAATCCCCCACTGACTGAGTTTGGCTTTTTTTAAAAAAAATGTAAATAAGACACCGAACAATTGTTTAAGTGGATCAACTTACTTGGAGCACTCCCCTGAGTGGGGAAAAGAGTAATAATAATAATAATAATAATAATTTATTATTATTTGTACCCCGCCCATCTGGCTGGGTTTCCCCAGCCACTCTGGGCGGCTTCCACAAAGACCAAAAATACACTAATATGTCATACATTAAAAACTTCCCTGAACAGGGCAAAAAGGAAGAGGCAACCCACATTTTATGTGAATGGGTAGAGGGGCAAAAAGGAAGAGGCAACCCACATTTTACGTGAAAGCTGTGTATGACGTGTGAGGCACAAAGGAGGAAGGAAGCAGAAATAGGATGTCACCCCTTCCAAGTGTGGTCAGATTTGTGCTACTTGGAGGATTTTCAGTTAATCATAGTTTCTTGAGTACCTCCCAGGCTTTCAAGGAAGGAAGCTGTTAATCCTGATTTTCATATTCATGAGCACTTTATATAGAGGGACTGTGAAGCAGTATCAAAGCCCCTTGCATGGAATACTTGGCTTTGGTGGGTTCAGAGCATTTCAGTGTGAATGGAATCCTACTTAAGGTTGAGAAAACGGGACAGCAAACAGGTGCAGGTTTGCTGCTTCTCTTCCTCTCCCCACAACCCACCATCAAGCCCTGGGGAATGTGCAAATCTGTGTCAATGAGATTCAAATGAATTTTAAAAGTCTGCTGGCAAAAACCCCATCTTAAAGATCTGTTTGGATGCTTGTTAGGAAGAGAAGATTTTAAAATAAGAAACTGGATTCCTAAAGCCTGATTTTTCTCTCTGGTTCTCTGTATTTCAAAGGCATCTTTGTTCCTTGAAGGGGAATGTTATGAGCTGTCTTCTCCAGGCTTAGACACACACACACACACACACAGAGAGAGAGAGAGAGAGAGAGAGAGAGAGAGAGAGATCCATGGCAGCTTCATAGGGTTGTTCCTGCCATGTGGCAAGTTGAGTTTTTTGGATAAGGAGGTGGAGTCCGAGGGTGGCAGAACAAGCAAGGGCTTGCTGCCTCTCCACTTCTGTTGCCCACTACTTTCCCACTGCAGCTGCCACCAGCCACTTTACACAAACACACACCAATCTTGCCAGCCATAGAGCAACTTGAAGCCTAGACACACCATGAGCCATTTTGCTATGGTGGCAAAAACTGTTCAAAAGTTTCACTGTTAAACCACAACTCAGGGGTGGGGGGAACCTGTGGCCTTCCAGGCCTCGTTGGACTACAACTCCTATCATCCCTGACCAACAGCCCTGTTGGCTGCCGGTGATGGGAGTTGGGGTTTAACAAAAGCTAGAAGGCCACCAGTTCCCCATTCCTGCTTTAAACAGTATTTGCCATCACAGCAAAGTGGTGGCAGCACTCAGCATTCTGAAGGCTCCCTCTCGGTTTTTCTGGTCCCCCTAATGCCTGATTTTCTGATGAAGGACATTAGCATCCTTCCTCAATTGTGCTACACCGTGATGACTGGTTGTGGGAGAGGGGGGCAGGTAGGAAGAAGAAGGGGAGGAGCAGCGAGCATGTGAGCCCTTTTGTTATATACAACTCTTGAGCACAAAACTCTTCCTTGTAAGGTAAGGTTGTAGCCTTCCAGTTGCTAGGCTCCACCTCTCATCAGGGAATTGGGAGTTGTGGTCCAGCAGCATCTGCAGGGGCCCTTGTTCTACATTCCTGCTGTAAGGGAATTCAGGAGTGCTCAAATTACAGGGGCCCAGTGCCCTTGCCTTTTGGGATGACATACTTAAGTTGCAGTGCAAAGCACACCTAGGAGGGAGTACACCCCATTGAGTAGATTTGAGGAAGCCAGTTTAGGATTCCACTGTTTTTTTATTGTTTTTAGAAGGCTTTGAGGGGCATGCTTTGGTGCAGTCCTGGGGTGGAGTTTGTGAATGTCATTAGGGGTCCACTCCCTCCCTCCCTCCCCCCCCCACTCCACATTATTGAGTAGGCCTGACTTGCACTGCAACCACAAGCCTAACAGAATAATCTTGCCTCAAGGTGGGAATGCAGTCTGAGAATACTCTTTCTGTTAATTTGGATATCTCCTCCAATTAGCAGGAAACATGCTACCTTCTCCAGTGACTCACCACCCAGCAGCAGCCGAAACAGCTCAAGTGTGAAATGATTAAGGAAACAAACTCATGCATATAGAGAACATGCTGTTTTGAAATAAATGATCTGATTATCATGTCGCTCTCTATCAGTTGTGAAGACATGCTGTTTTGAGTCAAGCACGGGTTGGGGGACGGATTTGCCCTCAGGAAAGCCCTTTTACCCTAGTGTAAAAGGTCACAAATATGCCTACAGAAGATCCAGGTGGTTTGCATTGGCTTCATAGCTATGGATTTTAGTCAATGCTGGACCTACTCAGAGTAGACCCATTGAAACTAATGAACCTAAGTCCATTAGCATTGAAAACACCCCTATGTGTGCCTTATGTTTCTCTTGGCATAGCAGGGAATCTCAGATCTTGACATACAATCAGGTTTTGTTTCAGAACGAACACGTTTCTCCTTTCCAACTATCACACACTCCAGTCTTTGCCAATGCACTCCCAAAATTCTGTGAAATTAAAATTCCAAGGCTTGTAGGTCAGGTTAATGTATATGAATTTGCTAAACACACTCAAACTAGCTTCATTAATTATGAGTAGATGGGAGGGGTATAAACAATAAAATAATAAATTATTATTATTATTAGAGAATTCTGGATTTTCAAGGTGAATAACTTAGGCTTTGTTTTTCTTTTTCAACAAAGATAAATGGTACAATTTATCAAGTTGGACCCCTGTAATCTGGGCACTTCTGAATTCCCTTACAACCAAGTACACAGAACACACTCAGAACATATTCCTAATCTGTATCATCTTGTATGTGGCTGCTTTTCTCTGCATCTTCTGGATTTTGATGCACTGGCACGATTAGGACACATCAACAGAGTGCTGATTTTGAAAACTGGATGCACTTTACCCTGTGCATCCTGTTTTCTGTAATCTACATGGTCTAGAGGTTTCAATCCTGATTTGCCCCCCAGAGCTAGCAGGTGGTGCTTTCTGCATAGTTAGACTTTTGCTTAGTGGCATATTTGTGACCTGAAGCAAAAAGGTAGCTACTTTTGCCAGGGAATTTTCTGATAATGCACAAGTGTTCCAACTTGGAAATCTAGACAGCTTTTACGTGGATGTAGTCTTAAGACTCTCCCAAATAACAGGCACACTTTGCAGGACTGTAAGATACCAGAAAGGCCTAGTTGGCAATGCTAGGCTTCAGGCTTTAAAACTTAAGGTTTAAATTCAGAGAGAATTTAGACTCTTTTATTTGCAGAACATGGTTTACGTGTCAGCTGTGCATTATGCAGGGAGCTCTGGACTCTTTCGTGCCTTGGATAAAGCACAAGCTTGAGTCATGGGGCATGTGCTGAATTCCTGGCTGGCTGCCACTCGCTGCCCACTCCAAATGATCTGAATGCCAATTTATATGCAGGCAACCCCAGCTACAAATCACAAGGATGATCATAGCTGTTTCATTATCCTTTTGGTCCCCATTAACTAGTGGCAGAACTGGCACATCTGCCTAGTGTTATCTTGGCATGGTAACCTTTTGCTGGATGAAAACTGTGAAACAGTAGTTTAGAGACTAGCTATGGAAGATGGCCAGATAACTAACACACACACACACACACACACACACACACACACACACTCCTGTTTAAAGAGCCAGGGAACAATTGTGTATCACTTCCCTTACTGCATAGTACTTTTTGAAGCTTGATGCAATTGCACAGGGGAAGCAAATGGAGTGCTGGTGGCTAACAGACTGGGCTATGAATCGGTATTTCCCTAGTTCAAATGTCATCTCTGCCATGAACTCGCTAAGTGGCCTTGGGCAAGCCAGTCTCTCTCAGCCTCAATCTCTCCCAACCACCTTTCTCCTCTACCACATGGGAGATGATAATATTGATGATTCACAAGCCACTGGTTGGCTACTGTGAGAACAGGATGCTCGCTGAGAAGGTCACTGTCCTGATCCAGCAGGCTCTTTTTGTGTCCTCACACTATCTTAGTCAACGTCATGGTTCCCTTGAACTTTGGGGAATTGTTGCATGTGTTCATCTGAGCTATGACTAGTATCTAAAATTCTTATGAGTAGGTGAAATAGTATGTTGTAATTGAAAATTAACAGAAATGCAAAAGTGTTTTTTTTAAAAAAAGAGAACAATGACAAAAGTTAAAAGACTAATTAATCTGTATTATCTGAGTCAATTTACTTGGATGGTTTCTTGTAAATGTGTGGTTTATTCTCCCCATCTGGCTCTAAAAGCCTCTTTTATTCCAGGGGTGGGGTTTGGGGGGGGGGGGAGAGATGGTGGCTGGATTTTCCAAGTACGGTGGTACCTTGGGTTACATACTCCGCTAACCCAGAAATAGTACTTCGGGTTAAGAACTTTGCTTCAGGATGAGAACAGAAATCGTGCTCCAGTGGTGCAGCAGCAGAGGGAGACCCCATTAGCTAAAATGGTGCTTCAGGTTAAGAACAGTTTCAGGTTAAGAACGGACCTCCGGAACGAATTAAGTATTTAACCCGAGGTACCACTGTAGTTCTCCACCATGGCTGGTGCTCGGAGCCACACTACCAAAGGAGGAATATTATTATTAAGGTGCATTAGGACACATCTGCCAGTGCAGTTTATAAGTTAGGAGAGAGTGCTCAGAAAACAGATGAACTATTTTCTGAATACTCAGCAAGAAAGTTTGTAAATGCCAATACCCCAGCTAAGCAAAAATGAGTTCATCCATTGCTAGTTAGTTAAAGTAACCAGATGCAAAAGGATATTGGACTCTTTTATCACCAACGGTTGTGCAGATAAGGACATTGCAGAAGAAGCAGCTTTTCTCATCTCTTTATGAGAGGGAAATTGCTGGGTCCCTCCCTGACTAGTGTTTTATGGCAAGTGTGTTTTGCAACAAGTTCTTGACACAATAATAGTGAATGGGAGTGGTGAATTTATTCTGTTTTATTAGCTGTTTTTGCGATGCTTCCCCAGTACTACCACATTATTGCTGTCCTGGGGTGCTATAGCAAAACAGGAACAGAAATAAACCAGAACATTCATGGTATAAAAAGTTATGGGGTTTTAGCAGGATGTTACATGAGATGCACTGATTGGAAATGAAGCAGTGTGACACCCCAAAACCTATGTAGGTGAAAACTGTGATGAAAGCAGGACTGCCTCAATATCATCACAAGCATCACAAACATGAATGCCTAAGAGAAAGGGCACCTGGAGGGTTCCTAAGCCCAGTGTCTAAATGGTATGTCCCTTAGAAAGAGCTAAAACAAGGTGCTTTGAGATAATAACTGGCTACCATCAGATGCTAAATATGTATATGCACTCCACTGCCAAAGATTAAACCGTAGGAGAGTAACCTATATATATCACACAACTGAATTTGAGTGGGAGGGGGGAGCCCAGAGGGAGAGAAGGAAGGTGTCAGAGGAAAAAATGGGGAGTGAGCCAAAACAGATGTAGCAATGGAAGGGTGAGTTCAGACCTCTGGAAAGAGCGACCTGTCTTTCCACTGACAGTCTGTTGGATAGAAAGGAAGAGGTAAAGAGGGGTGCGAGAGAGAAAAGGCTGTAACATAAAGAGAGAGAAATAAGAGGGTGTCTCTGGCCCTACCCATTGCTGGCTTTGACCCTAATCATTGCCAGCATGCACCACCTGACTGGACACCTGAGAGCCAGTGTGGTGTAGTGGTTAGAGTGACCTCCTGTTGCTCTGTCCCAGCTTCTGCCAACCTAGCAGTTTCAAAGCATACCAGTGCAAATAGATAAATAGGTACCGCTGTGATGGGAAGGTAAATGGCATTTCCATGTGCTCTGGTACTCATCACTCCACTCAACCAGTCACTTGATTAGGCCACTGTAATTCTGTTGATGCAGCCTAGAATTGCATTAGGTTTGTTGGTTTGCTTGCTGCTGCATCACACTGTTTGCTCCAGAACACTAGAGCTATCACTTACGTTTTGTTTGCAGGTAGAAGAAGGTGCTTTTGTCAAGGAGAGTTTTGATGAGCTTTGCTGGACCTTGACAGCAAAGAAGAATTACAAGCCAAACCGGAATGGGAATAGTGTTGTATCCCATGAAGATGCTTTCAAACTTTGGTGTCTCTTTAACTTCTTATCCGAAGACAAGTACCCTCTTGTTATGGTTCCTGATGAGGTATGATTGCTTTTAAGTAACACAATTTCTTGTTTTGCAGTGCTTTTGATAAGGGATGAGTCACACTATGTATATTTTGCATCGTTAGGGCTTAGCCATGTGATTATAATCATTGTCTGAGTCTAGCTATCATAGATTTCTGTATACAGGCCTGCAGATCCAAACTATGCTGCTTCTTGCATCATCTGATCGCTGCTCAAGATTCCACCCTGTGTGGCCAAGGGATGAATATGGTGAACAAGAAGACGCCCTTTTCTACATGTTAGCATGTTGCATGGCCCTATGCAATCTGTGAGAGTTGCTGCTTTATAGCCCCTGTTTTGGTCGTGCTTACAAATCTCCTGCACGATATATGATCTGTTATACTCATGCCAATTGCTCTATAGAGAGTTCTACCCCATTCATGCTTTCGAGTGGTATTGTTTTTTGATGCACCCCAAAACAAGCATTCTTGTATCTGGAACATAGGAAGCTGCCTTATACAGAGTCAAATCATTGGAGCATCAGTATTGTCCACTGACTGCCAATGATTCCCCCAGATTTTGGGTGTGAGTGTCCTGGCCCTGCTAGATGAAGAACTGGAACTGCAGACTCTTGTTTCTGCCAAAGGCTTTACTGCAAAAGTCAAAACAGTGCATGGACCAGGCTCAGGTTACAAGGAGCCAGAGAGATACATAGGCATGGCCAGGCACAAGCTAAGATGTTGACCCACAAGCAACATGCCTCCTGCATCTTTCTTATAAAAGGATGGGGCAGGCATAGCAGTTAGTGCAAGCAGCCAAAGTCTCAGGGCTAGGCAAATGAACATGCACTCCTCCAAGTTAGGCGTGGGAGGTCTACTTGTGTTAGAGCTGGCATCTCCTTGTTCTTGGAAGCACTGTCAATGTGTGCTCAGCATCAGATTTATACTCTGTTGCCTCCTTAAAAGCAGGAGGCTCTGCGCTGACAGGAGGAAGCACCTGAATAGCAATATCATATCTCATTGGGGTTGAATTCTCCTCTGTTAAGCCACCTGGCCCCTCCCCTGGATCAGATTCCCAGCTCCCCTTCCCCTCCCTGATGTTGGACACCTGACAGGGATTCCCTGGAATTTCTCCTGTCCCACTGGGGCCCTCCCCAGAGTTATCTAACTGCAGCTCCCTGATCTCCTCCTGCTGCTTCTCAGGATCCAACCAACCCTCCATGACAGCTCCATGGGGCTCTGGCTGGTACTTACCATCCCTTGTCCTGGATATAGCAGGGACTGAACATGGGACCTTTGGCCTGGAAATGATGTGCTCTACCACTAATCTATGGCCCTTCCCAAAATGCTGTATTTCACTTCTGTTTCTCAGTGTCCCAATAGCAATTTTCATCTGCTTCCCTTACATCCATGCTTCTCCTAAAACTGCAGGTGCTTTGGGTTTCATAAATGTTGAATTTGCACAGTTGCACTCATACATGCAATCACACCTGATACATTTTCTTTATTTTTCCACGCACACAAATGGAGATGGCCTGGAGATGGCCTCAGGCAGGGTGGGGCAGGGAAATATTTTTTGGGGGTGGGGGAATAAGATTCTGTGAGGTGGTTGGATTCTGGGTTAACACTGTGGCTGTGTTTAGCTTCTGCTGGGAGGAGACTAGCCAACATACGGACAAGGCGTCTACATGAATGCATGCAAAAGGGTAGTGCCACAGACTCAACGTTAAAAAAGAACAACCCCAAACCAAACAAGCCAGCTTGGAGGCGGAGAGAAACAACGGCCAGGAAATGGGATAGCGTGTGACTTTCATTTAGGCCAGTCAGGCAGAAACATGCATGTCTAATTAATGTCATCCGTCCTTTAGAGTGAGAGTGAAAACCCAGTTCATGTGTGCAGTGAGAGGATGCGGGCTGCTCCTCATGCTGCTTTCTGTTGTAGACTGAAAAACTGCAGGTCTGGACACACCCATTCTTGAAACACGTTGAGATACGAATCTGGAACATGTTGGCTCCACCCAAAGGGTTAATTGCAATAAAGAAATGCTGTTCAGTCTAGCAGAGCCAGTAATAACAGCAATAATCTCTAAATTCCACAAGACATGTTGTTGGAGGGAAGGAGATTTCCTTTGCTCCTTAGTACAGAGGCAAAATCTCAGTCAGGTGGTTTGTAAATCTAAAGACCAGAAACTAAACCCTGACTCACATTGGTCCCAAAGCCAATAAAGACCTAGCCAGAAAATAATCTCATATAGTTTCCAGGAGTTTCCACTGCATCTAGCTCATCAGCTGATGTCAGGTGTGATGACAACCATCAAGCTTTTCTCTCCCCTGTGTCTGACACTCTTGCTCCATCCCCCTTATAGTTCAGCAGAAAAGGCCCTGTGTGCACATGCAGTCATCAGCTACGCTTCCTGTTTCCTACCAAGGCATTTCCTGTTCAGCTCTTGAAAAAGCATGCTGTCTTTCTAACTCCACCAACAGTGGAGTTGAGCATCCGCTAGCGTGCATTTGTTTTTAAAGAATTTGGTGGTTTTGTGTAAGAATCCACAATGGATGAGGATTTTTGATTTTTAAATCTAGCATTGGCATCTGGCTTCTGAGTAAATAGTCAAAATAAACAATAAATCCTAGGAGATGCTGCAAACTTCTGTGCATCCCATTGATTTCTGTGGGACTTCACACCTAGGGAAGTAACTACGAGATTTCAGCCTTCAGGTGTATTTAGATACCTTTTCATACCACAGGTAGTGGCAGCTGTGGCTAATAACTATGGGGACTAGTAGAGTGGAATGCAGAAAGGCCAAAGTAGACAAAGCCAATGACAGGCAAAACCAACTAATTTTTCTTTTGTTTCTGTCCATTTCCTTGTTGGAATGCAGGTAATGGAAAACTCAAATGGGAATAAACACATTATTGTGCCTGTTTTGGTGGCAGCGATGGCAGCAAAGAAACAATACTTCTCTGCCATTCTGTAATTGGGACGTTGTTTAGCAGAGCTTTTCTGAGTCGTTCATAGTTTACTCCAGCTTGGCCTGCAGGTGGATGTACAAGTGCCCTTGTAAGCTCCATATAATATGTTTGCAAAACACTTCAAGCATAAAGATTTTTGCATTTGGTATAACTTGGGTACCACAAATGCTGCATTCAGTTGAATGAATCCAGAACTCTGGTTCTTTTTAGAGGGAGGATTTTCAGTTATTGTGGCCTTGTGACACAGACATGGTGCTCGGTGGTGGGGGGGTTTGAGGGTACCAGATGTTGACTCGGCGCTTGCTTTCTCTGATTGATAACATCAAGCAGAAGAGGATTGATTTGTGGAGTCCATTAAGTAATAAATGTCTTTTTTGTGAGAGGGGGTACTCCCAGTCAACTTGAAAGAGGTGGCTGTGAGTCCACCCCCAACGGAAAGGAGATCATTTGCTGATTGAAATTTGCAGTTCTAAATATACCTTCTGGGAATAAGTTCCATTGAACTGAATGATACTTCTAAATAAGTGGACTTTGAATCTTTCCCCTGGGTACAGTTATTGGAGAATTTTAATGGAGAATATGTCACTATATATTGTTGCCATGTGGAACCACAGAATTCTTGAAGCAAGAACTGACTTGAAGCAATAAGAGTCTATGGAGTGAAATTCCATGGCACAAGAAGGAATTGTATGTGATCCCAAGGGGAATTCAAATTACATCTGATACCTAGAAGTAGAGAACATGGTTAGTTCCTTCTCTGCTGACTTCCCCTGTTTGTTCCAGGTGGAATACCTCCTGAAGAAGATCTGCACAGCCATGAGCATTGAGCTCAACTCTGGGGAGTTAGAGGACTTCTTTTCTCAAGAGGCTCAACAGCAGAGTGGTTTGACAGTCTGGCAGTTTCTTGACTTGGTAAACTCGGGCCGGTTCCTACGAGGAATTGAGCGTGAGGCTATTAGCATGGCTGTTGAAGAAGTCTACCAGGAGATCATTGGAGATGTGCTCAAACAGGTAAAGAGCTGTCCTTGATTAGGAAATCCTTTGCTTGGGTTTGTGGAACTACCTATGAACAGGAAATAATACACGGGGACCCAGCACAGCTTTCTTCCTCTCTAATAAAGTCTGTATTGGCCTGATGGGGACTGCATCTACTGCACATTCTAGTTACCTTTTTGGACAATGATAACAAGAGCATTAAAGGGATGGGAAATGATCTAATTTGTGGTATTTGAAGTGAGAGGAACAGTAGAACAAGGTAAAGGGGGGGGGAGCAACCATCTGGGAAGAGACCAGAGAACCTACACTGATGTTTATTTGTCTTTTCCTATAGAATGGTAACTGCATATGCTAAGGATAATCGGGTAGGCAACTTTTAGGCTTGTATGCATGTTCCATTTTTCTTCTGGGTTCTGCACACCAAGATGTAGTTGCTGTATCTACCAGCTAGCATGGGATTTTGCATGCCAGTCCTTTGGAAGATTTCCCACACTTTGCTAATCCTGATCAGTCCTGATCGCCAATCAGCCTGTCAGGAATCACAATACCCTTGTGGCGTGTGAGCTGTCAAAAGTGCCAAATCAGCATGCCTGATAGTGGGAAATTCTGGAAGCTTGCTGAGTGTACAGCATTGAGGATATGCCAGCAGCCAATGAGGAAATAGGACACTGTGCTAAGTCCACTGCGCAAAGAGGAAGAAAACAAGTCAGCATTCCTGACACCCACAAGCCACATGGTCCTGTTTGTAATAGTTCAGATGGCAGATCAAGGTCAAGGTTCATTAAGGTTGATATCCAGCTCATTCAAAGGAAAGGCTCGAGTAGAAAGCCTCCTGCTAGTTGGTGGCACTTGCTTATTCCACACCAGAAGTAAATTGGCCACATGGATGCAACCTCATATAAAGCTAGTGATAAGGTATACCTTTCAGAATATACAGTATGCATGTATACACTTACATATACCTGTGTAAGATAAGCTGGAGATCAGTTCACACAATCCATGTTCTAAATGTGCCTGTTTCTTTGGCTCCTTTGTGACACAAATCTGTGCTATGGCTGTAATATAGGTGGAGTCTTGCAAAGATCTTTGGTACAAATATGTTTGTTTACTCACTTTCTGTTTCTCTGTCTCTTTGGTTGGGAGCAGGGCTATCTATGGAAGAAAGGTCATCTGAGAAGGAACTGGTCTGAACGATGGTTCACCCTAAAGCCCAGTGATCTCTCTTACTATGTGAGTGAGGAACGGAAGGAGAAAAAGGGGAGCATTTCTTTGGACAGAAACTCTTGTGTGGAGGTAATTGGACATACTCTGAAACAAAAGGAACATGATAGGCAGATGCAGTCCTCTCATGAGGCAGCTGGTGACAGTGTGTGGCTTCTCCTCTCCCCAGTTGCGTACCCCAGTGTCATTCCCTTCACCACAATGCAGGAATATGCAACTGTAACATACGTGGATTGTGACCTTGACATTATCAGCACCTGTGAAACTCACAGGACGTTATCAAGGTTGCTGTTGAAGCCTATGTACAGGTCCTTTTGAGGGAGGAAAAAAGCACATGCAGATGAAGCTGTCTGTTTTAAACAAATAAACTAAACATTTGTAGACTATGCTTCAGCCAATAAGAGTTCAAGATGGTCAATGACAAGTCCAAAATAATTCATAATGCATATTATAAAACACTAAAACAAGCAGTAAACCATAACTATTAACCATAACATGAGGCAGCAGCTTAAAACATACAGCAGGTTTAAGCAATTACATATATTAAAAATGCCGGGGGGGGGATAAATGTTTTTGCCTGGTGCCAAATGAATGGTAATGTAGGTGGCAGGCATACTTCTTTAAGAAGAGGGTTCTGTAACCTGGCATCACCAGCAGGAAAAAGTAAAGCCCTCTCCATTACTGTTTTATTCTGTGTTTCTGATATGGAAGGCACTTTGAGAAGAGCCTCAGCAGGAGATCTCAAAACAAAGGGTGTTATCCAAGATGATCAAGGGTCAGGAAACCAGGCCTTAAGAGGAATGGTTGAGGGAATTGGGTATGTTTAGCCTGGAGAAGCAAAGATTGAGAGGTGTTATGATAGCCATCTTCAAATATCTGAAGGGCTATCACATGGAGGATAGAGCAAGCTTGTTTTCTCCTGCTCTGGAGGGCAGGACTCAAACCAATGGCTTCAAGTTACAAGAAAGGAGATTCCAACGAAACAGCAGAAATAACTTTCTGACAAGAAGAGCTGTTCAACAGTGGAACAAACTCCCACAAGAGGTGGTGGACTCTCTTTCCTTGGAGGCTGTTAGGTAGAGGTTGGATGACCACCTGTCTTGTATGATCTAGTTGAGATTCTTGCATTGCAGGTGGCTGGACTAGATCACCCTCGGGGTCCTATCCAACTCTATGATTCTGTGATCTCCACTTACACAGCAGAACGTCCTCTTCTCCCTGTGTGCTTCCTGCACCCTCCCCATATCTGCTCCAGAGGCTTAGGGGATCCCCAGGACGTATTTAATGGGTGTGAGGAAAGAGGAGAGAAAGGGGAAGGTTCCACTGAACAGCCGGAAGTCCTTGGTCTGGTGGAAGCACTTGGATGAGCACTGTCCATACTGAGAAGGCCTTCCCCCAAATATTTAAGACCTTCCCCGAAAAGGAGAAATAAGGAGGAAATTACTATATTGCTGACAGCCAAGTATGGGGAAAACAATGTAGAATCAGTAGTGCCATCGTGGCACAAAGTCCAAGTCCTCACTTGACAAAATGAATACAAGAGCCTCCAAATGCAGCAGGACTTGTTTATCACACTTTGAAGTGAATTTTAGTACACATTAATGTCTACAAATCTGCCTCCCCTACATAAGTCCATTAAGACCATAGGGCAGTATCCAGTGAAATCAAGGACTTATGGCTGCACAATTGAACTTCCTCTCCTCTCTGCACCCCCTAAATATGTTCTCGGTTCCCCCCAAGCCTCCATAGCAGATTTGGGGAGGGTGATTGGGGAGAGGACATTCTGTTGCATGAATAAAAATCCTTGTGCAGATGGAGCTATTTTGTTGGATACCACCCAGAGTCTAAAATTACCTATTGCACCACTGAGAGGAATTGAGGAGACAAGCCATGCTGTGCCTGTTAATAGTGAGGACAGGGGACGCACGGACTGGATCCAGTCCAGAACTGGCCCGCCCTCCATGGCCCACTTTTGACAGGTGGGGAAGGCCGCCATACCTATCAGTTGCCTGAAGTCAGGTGACTCTTCCTTTGCAGCCCCAGCTCATACTGTATGGGAAGAAGATTTGCAGCCATGGATTGAAGTCAGGCCAAGGCTGTAAAGATAGTTGCTGAAAGTAGGGCTTGCAATCAGAACTGGATGTAAATTCAGTACTGACTGTTAGCTCCACTTTCAGCAAGGACTGGAAGTCAGCAGGGTTGCAGCTTCTCCCAGGCTGGGTTGCAAAGCCTTGATGGGGATGTTGTTTTGTGGTTGGGAAAGGCAGGGGTGGCCATCCTTGGCTTGAGGCATTTCAAGCCTTGGCAGTGTTCTAGGTGGGCTTGTGGCTGAAGGGAGATGTCAACTTTTCCTCCTTTATTCAAAGATCTTGCCTGACAAGGATGGGAAACGGTGTATGTTCTGTGTGAAAACACCTTCTCGGACGTATGAAATGAGCGCCTCGGATACCAGGCAAAGGCAGGAGTGGACGCTTGGTGAGTACTGTGGCTCTTTTCTCCTACACATTTGGAGATTTGCTGTAATTAAGATATGAAACTGAAAGTAGCAAGAGCCTCTGGCCCTTTAGGTAGCCTTCATTCATGGATTGACTTTCTCCCCGTATGACTTGAACTGCCAAAGCTAAAGTAACTCACATGGCCAACATTTTATGAAAACATAAAAACACATGATTCTGGATTGAAAGCCAGTCTTGTGTAACTATTTGGGACTTCAGGTCAGATTATTTTAATATTGTCTTCTGCGAGAATCCTAGTAGTAGCTAAATAATATTGAGTGTTAGAGATAGGAGACAAGATAATATGGAACCACAGGGTCTTGCCAGTCTGACACTTCCGTGTGTGTGTGTGTGTGTGTGTGTGTAGAGTTCTTCGTTTGCATACCACAAAACTTTTATGAATTTGCAGTATGAAAAGGAAGTTTGGTTTTGCTTCCTGTTGAATAGCATCAGCCAAGAAAGCAGACATCCCAAAACTCTGGGGGTCATGGGTGCTGAATGTTGCAACTCTTCCTTATTTCATTTCTCTAACGTATTTTTATATTGCCCATCATCGAACTCAATTACAGGGAAGTTTTAAAAAAATTAGAAGCGCAATTCATGAAAACAATGAAAATGATTAAGCAAACAAGCAGATAATGGAACAGTTCAATGAGGTAAAAAGCCTAGGTTGCTAAGGAGGTTTATGCTTATGCTATGTTGCTTCAAAGCGAGCCTCCTTGGAGATGGTGTCCCCATGATAGGGGTGCTAAATCCCCTCTCTTTCTTTACCTGCCTCACTTTTGAAAAGGGGGAGGCTTTAGAGAAGACCCTCACAGGAGATGGCCCTAAGGCATTCGTGGGCCACATCCCTTTGAGGTAACCTTCCAGGGGCTACATGCCAGTGGTGGGTGGAGCCAGAGGCAAAAGTGGGAGGAGCAATTAATGTAAATCTTACCTTTGTGCACTAGGCTTTGTTTCTACATGCACTCACCTCCATCCATGGGTGCAAGAGACATTATCACAATTCAAGGTCACATTCCAGCCAGGCAAAACCAAGAAGTTATGAAGCAGGGCCAGTAGAGGGTGTGGCCTAGGAAGATCCCTGAGCACTAGATATAAAGACATCAAGATCCACATTTGGACCCTGGACCTGAGTTTCCCTGACCTTAAGGGATAGAGAAGTGGTTGTGAGTCAAGGGGCTCTTTATAGTCGCTAGCCAAGGCAGCCCCTATGTCCCCTTCTGACATCTCTGGCCCTTCCTCCCTCGGCAGCCATCCAGATGGCAATCCGCCTCCAGGCCGAGGGCAAGAAGTCTCTGCACAAGGACTTGAAGCAGAAGCGGCGGGAGCAGCGGGAGCAGCGGGAGCGGAAGAAGGCTGCCAAGGAGGAGGAGATGCAGCGCCTGAAGCAGCTGCAGGAGGAGAAGGAGCGCAAGCTGCAGGAGCTGGAGCTGCTGAAGGAGGCCCAGCGCCAAGCTGAGCTCTTGCTCCACGAGGAGGAGGAGCGGCGCCAGCAGCAGCATGAGGAAATGCAGAGGACACTGGAGATACAGTTGCAGGAAGCTGAGAAGGTGGGTTCAAGGAGAAGGGCAAGGGGGCTCCCACATCCACAACCTGCCTGGTAGACCAGGTCAGCAAACAAAGATACAAATCCGTCCTTGGCATCTTTGGTGGGTCAGTCAGCTTGCCAACAATACCCAGGAGGGGTTAGGAATGCCGTGGATTTTTTAGGGGCTTGTTCAGTGCTCTAGCTTGTGCAATAAGTCTCCTTGGGATCTTCAGCCTAGACTGGCTGGGCAAAGCCAGTCGGGTGAGGAGGAAGCACATCCTTTTGAGAAGCATGAAGTGATGGAAGGCCTGCTTTCTCTTGGCTTAAGATTAGCAGCTCACACTCCTAAACACTACACTATGGTTTTGCTGTGTGGTGCTATCCAGATGTTCCAAGTAGTGCAGAATACAGTGGCTATACACTACTGATGGAGGTGCAAGACCAACAGAATGTGACATCTCTGCAAAAATATCTGCATTGGCTGCCCATGTGCTACTCTGCCAGGTTCAGGGTTCTTGTAATAATATGCAAAACTCCTGAAGCCAAGCTGGCGCCAGATGTATTGCTCTGCTTTACTGTGGTCCACATCAGCAAGGCCGAGAGGGGGGTCTTGTGCGGGCAGCCCAGGACCTCCATACACGCTGCCTAGACTTGTACCCCGGGGAGATCACCAGAGGCACACTCCATTGTCTGTCAAGACAGACAGATGCCAATAACAAGCTTATATAGTTGTAAACTGCTGATACTAATCAAATAGCTTGTTATAAATAGGGTCCTGCTGTATACTAGAAACTGTACTGTCACCTTTTTTTTCATGGCATGCAGATTACTTATTATTTGTTGCATAATTGTGGCACATCTAATGCAAGCAAGCAAGCTGTAAAATCAGGCAACATGCATCAAGTATTACTCAGGCTCTGTGCAACAAAGAACTGTGTCTGAAAAATATTTTTCTTGCTTCAAGTGGAATTCTGTGCAGTCACTACCCAGCTTCAGAGTGACAGCCATATTCCATAGTGCAAAACGTCCAACTCAGCATTGTTATATTCATTATGGCATCATTTAATAGCCACCAAGGCAAACAGGCAGAAATCTCCTATAGGGGAGGTCATGGTCCTCTTAACATTCCAATAAGTGTTACCTCCCCCCACCCCACCCCCACAAAAAAAGAATTCCAAACTGAGGCCCACAACCCACTGAGCCACTCAGTTTTGCTTCTTTTTTGCTTCTTTCTACGCTGCTAATTATTGCATGCCTGTCTTTGTAAATCCACAAATCTGGACTGGAAATGACAAAAGCCATACCACAGTCTGCACCAACGGCTGAGATGTAGGCTGTGTTTAGGTAGCTGATTCTGCCCCCTGCTGTTGGGCTGTGTACTCTACATACTAACCGCATGGTATTATTATACCTGCAGGCTCGTGCTAACATGCAGGCTGAGATGGTACTGAAGGAGGCAGAGGCAGAACGTCAGCGCAAGCGCATCACAGAACTGGAGGAGATGCAGCAACGACTCCAAGATGCTCTGCACCAGGAGGTTAAAGCTCGTCAGGATGAAGAGGCCGTGAGATATGCACAGGCCCGGTACGGATAATGAATGCTCAGCTTCCTTCCTTCAACTAGGTCTGGATATAATGTCCTTTGACAGCTGAAACAAATGTTCAGCTGGCATAATTGTGAGTTCCCTCAGTGATGGTGGACTCATGTACTCCCTTGCCATCTACCCCTCTGTAAGAACTGGGAGCAATTCCAGGGCTGAGGCTTGCAGTTTGCTGTAACTATAGCTTTACAGGACACTACTATTTATGAGTGTACTTTTTCTGAGAAAAACTGAAGCCCCTTCAGGTGTTTTCGTTGCACTTTATACACCTCTTGCTGGGGGAAATCTGGAATTGATACAGCTGATCTGTGCTAGTATCAACACAAATGTCCTCTACTGCACCATTTGCTTTATATTATATTATATTATATTAATTAGATTATATTCCCATGCAATCAATGTATGTATACTTTACAAAGTATAAGACAATGGTTCCTGCACCAAGGAGCCTACAACAGAGGACGAGGAAGGAAATGGAGGCAGGGGTAAACAGAGAGGATATGCATCTATTTCAGCTGCATGTACTTTGGCTGAATTGCAGTGGGGTATAGATGAAGGAAAAGTATTAATAGAAAAGAGAGTTTTGAGGAGGTGTTTGAAGGAAGAGGAGTGACATGGCATCTCTGAAATCTTCTAGGAGGCAGTTAGCTGAAAGCGAAAAGAAGATTAAGAGGAACAGTGGAGTATTTTGAGGGAGCAGGAAACCGTCAGACAACAGGGTGGAGGTGCAAAGGTCATGGACAGGGACACATCAGAATAAGAGCAGAGAGATAAAATGGAGATTGGGCCTTGGAGGACTCTAAAAGAAAGGGCAGGGGATTTGTGCTGGATCTGGGAACAGACAGAAGGCAGCATAGGGATTTAAAGGGGGGGCGTTGCATTGTCAGAGTGACAACAGAAGTGAATGAGTTTAACGACACAGTTCTGAATAGAGGTCAAGGTGAGACAGTGGAAAACTACACATGAGAGGATTGCACCAGGGCATTTGCTAAGGGGGTAGAGAGGAAGTTACAGTAGTTCATGGTGGACCGAATCTTGAGATCAAAAGAAAAAGGAGAGACATGGGTAAAGCCCCAGGCTTTGCAGAGATTTGAGATGGGACAAAACATTTCCCAGAAAACTCTTTCCCCAATATCTTCACCGTGTCCTAAGCAAGGATTCCAGGAATGGAGGCAGTTGCACACACTTCTTGCAAATCATACTGTTTTCCTTCACAGTTATATGGACTCTCCCTGTGTGTACTGGAACTGACCAGAGGCTTAAACAAGAAAATTGCTCATAGGCAGGGTTGGTGCCAACTAGGCAGCTGCCTAGGGCACTGACCTCAGAAATGCACCGTACTGACCTTTGAGGGGCACAGATTACTTTTTATTCTAACCTATACCTTTCTGATAATATATGACTTTTAGATTCTGAAAACAGTTTTTCACAAGTCAAACTTACAAGAACTTACATATGCTCAGCAGTGTTGCAAAAGAGACATACGGCTTGGCAGCTATATCCATTGAACATGCCCAAGTATCAGCACTTGACCTGAAGGAAGTGGTGACAGCATTTGCAAAGGAAAAGGCGTGCAAAGTGAGATTTTGATGTGCCTGAAACCAAAACTTTTAAGAGACTTAAATTTTAACATTGCAGATGACAATAATATTCAAAATGATTTGTGTGCTAAACCATATTCTTGTTTATTTGAGAAGGAAATTCAAAAACTGTTATATTACTTATTCTAGCAGTTCAAAGTAAATTTAGCAGTTTCAAAGCCTTGTGCTTTTCATTTTTTTCTACAAGACATCTGTTTTTGAAAATTGAAGTTTTTTATTTTATTTATTTTGCTGGGGAGTGGAAGTAGTTAGCCTGGCCTACAGGGCAACAAAATTGCCACGGCACCAGCATTGCTCATAGAGTGAAATGTAACTGACTTCTTTTGCAATTTTGTTAGGTTGCTGAATGAAGAGGAGGAGAAATTGAAGCAGCTGATGAAGCTGAAGGAGGAGCAGGAGGAGTACATCATCAGAACCCAGCATGAAAAACTGATCCTCAAGCAAGAGATGGAAAACAAGAGCAAGTTTCTGGAAGAGGCCCAACAGCAGTTGGAAGAAGTGAGAGTCAATAGAGAAAGGGTGGACCAGGATGTCATGGTGAGTGAAGGAGCTGTCTCTGCTTCCCATTCTCTCTAGGAGAGTGTTACTGCCACAGAAACATCTTATTTAGCCACTGTCTATCCCACCTCCCCATAAGTAGCTCAAGATGGCAAGGTAGAAACTACATGCTTAAATCAGTAAACTGATTATAGCATTTGCATGGTGCAAAACTGAATTGTGCAATTCAAAAAGGGCTCAAATTGCCTCCGTATGTAGTCTCCTTCTCAAAGTAAGGCAATCTCTTCCCTGCTTCTTACACACACAGACGCACTTATTTACTGCTAGATCAAACTATCAAATCTGGGCCAAAGTAAATCACTAGTAGAAAACAGGTATGGTACACCTGTGAGAGAGAGCTCCAGAGATTTAGTTCAGATGATGTATGTCCTGTGAAAACTGCATCCCAGTACCTGTGGTGCCTTAAAAAGGAGACACTGTACTTGTACTCCCTTGGACCAAGTTGGTGGACTCTACTTCATTGGAGATTTTTAAGCAGAGGTTGGGTGTCATGGATGTTTTAGTTGTGATTACCCTCCGAATCCCTTCCAATTATTCAATTCTGTTTCTATGAAGCTAGCATTTTTTTATAGTTATCAGCACTTCTCTGAAAATATTAGGTGATCAAATCTGCAGTCATATAGCAACTTAAAAAACAACAACCACAAAGCAACTTACTGTGATTTATCATAAATTTGCTACCTGTTGCCTTTTGAGAGAGATTTTGGAATGAAAGATTATTCCTAAGTGCACTTAGCATAATGTTGGGATAATAGCACTTGAAGTACAGGATAGTAACCAGATTTTGTATGAACAGTCCCCCTAGAAGGGCCCACTGCTCCTGGTTTTGTGCTGTCTTTACTGTATGCTTTGCTAATTATGTTAGAATGTTTGGGCTAGCAATGAAGAACATGGGAACTGCACTGTGTCCCATCAGTGCAAGGATTTCCTCTTGTGCGATGTAACCATAATAATAATAATAATAATAATATTTATTACTTATACCCCGCCCATCTGGCTGGGGCTCCCCAGCCACTCTGGGCAGCTTCCAACAGAATATTAAAAATGTGATAAAAACATCAAACATTAAAAACTTCCCTAAACAGGGCTGCCTTCGGGATGTCTTCTAAACGTCAGATAGTTCTTTATTTCCTTGACATCTGATGGGAGGATGTTCCACAGGGCAGGCACCACTACCAAGAAGGCCCTCTGCCTGGTTCCCTGTAGCCTCACTTCTTGCAGTAAGGGAACCGCCAGAAGGTCCTTGGCGCTGGACCTCAGTGTCCGGGCAGAATGATAAATCTGTTCTAGGGGTTCCCCCAACTCTCTGGAGCAGATTTGGGAGGGTGTGGGGTGCACATGGGGAGAGGACAGTGGGAAAGTCCTGTTGCACAAGTTGAATTCCTTGCACTGACAGGATGCAGTAGTTGAATACCAGCCAGAGTTTTTATTGTAATTTGTACTTTTTATTTTATCGCTTCTTTAAACTGCCCTGAGAACTTGGTTGGATGGGTTGTATATGAAGATAAGTATATACATTATTGTTAATTTGTGATGTTGCCTGATTGATTAGTGATTTTTTTCCTGTTTCATTGCAGTTGGCCCAGCGGAAGCTTCAACAGGCCAGCACAAATGTAAAACATTGGAATGTTCAGATGAATCGACTGATGCACCCCATTGCGCCAGGAGGTAAGTGACCGCATAAAGTATTTGCATATGGAGCAAATACACAGCTAAATCTGATAACTGCAGCCAATTGACCCACTGCTTCAAACTTGCACACAGCTGTATCTGGTAGTTGTTTGCTTACCAGGGAATAATCTTGCATTGCAGAAAGTAATATCGGCGATTCTTTTTGATCTTCCTCCTAACTGTGCACAGAGGTCAGATCCCTCCAGGGCTTATGAGCCATGTGGTTGTTCTAAAGATCCTTTGTGCTCTTATACAAATAAAAATGTCCTTGTTTGGAACATTCTGCCGTGTTTGTTTGTTCGGTGGTACCTCGGAACTCAAACGTAATCCATTCCGGAAAAACGTTCGCGTTCCAAAACGTTCGCGTTCCAAGGTGTGGCTTCCGATTGGCTGACGGCTAGGTTTTTTCATAGCGGAAGCCACATCGGACGTTCGTGTTTCTAAGAACATTCAAAAACCAGAGCACTTACTTCTGGGTTTTCAGCTTTTGAGAGCCAAAACTTTCGAGAACGGAGCCATTCGAATTGCGAGGTACCACTGTATCCTGTTCTGTTATTTACTGTGACTGAAGTACTGTCCTCTGGAGACTAGCAGATTTAATTTGAACACACATATTCTTGCATGCACATTCTTGAAGGTGCTTTGTTGCAACGATAGTGATGAGCTTATGCATGGCAATACTCTATTGTTGCTTCTAAGTGCTTTTGTTCATCTCTTTCTAGAGAAACGTACAGTGGTGAGTGGAGGGTTCCCTGGTTTCAATCCTGCACTCCTGTCCAGGAGAGATTCCTCCCTCAAACTGAAGCAGAATCTGGAAAAGAAGAAATCTGATGCTATGAAGAATGGAAGCAAGGAAAACTTAAATGGGGAGATGGAGAAGCAGCTGCAGGCACCTGATAAAGATAATCCTAGCTCAGAAACCCTCTGAGTAGCTGCAGAAGCCAGGCCAACCCACTTGTTGAAATTTTGGGGCCGGGACGTAAACATCATGACAGTTTAACAGTAACTATAGTATATACATATGAGCACTGGACAGATGTAAAGATTGTATAGGGAAGTATGATAAGAATTCTACTTTGTTAAGCCATGGGCTATGCTGGCAACTTGCTTAATATGCAAAAGCAGCACCTGATGTATATAAAATGGACAAACCAGAAGTTTCCTTATCCAAAATGCAGGAGTATGGTTCTTTGGGATTACAGTTCCCTCGAAGGTACACTTTATTTGGCCTCTGCAGAAGATGAAAGATCCTCATCACACTCTCATACTGGCATGAGGAATTTCAAACTGCTGTTGTTGCTGGTAACCACTTCTGTAATGTGCCAAGATGTCTCATTCTTTTAAAAACATTTTTTTAAATGGTAAAATATATATTGTGCTCCATTGTGGTTTGCAATATGTTGTTATAAACAGTCTGGGTCCTGCTTCTTTGGGACAATATTGGTTAATTTTCCACGTCATTAATTAATTATTATTATTATTATTAGGCAGCTGAAGATACAGATATGGCCCAAGTTTATATAATGAATTCTGAAAATGTTATGTTTCTAACTTTTGAAACCAATGTGCAAGCCTTGTCAAAGAGTTGTTGAGAACAAACAAGTTGATGCTCAGTTTCCCTGAATCGCTGTGCAATGTAGAGTATGAGTTTTAAATGAAATTTCTTTGTTTTTCGTTATCAAGCAAGCATTGTGAAAGATATATAGAGGGGGAAGGGCACTGGAGGAACTAGCACAGTTCTTTCGGGGTGTGTGTGCTGTGAGTTGTGTCATTCTGATTATGTTACAGGAATACGACTGGTGTCCTAAGGAGAGTCTCTTATAAAAGCAACTGTAAATAGAATTTCCTGGTGCACAGCTGCGGGAAGGAAATGGAGAGGGGGAGAGAAGGGCTTGTGGAAGACGCAGAGGGAGAGTGAAGGAGAACGATACTGTGCTCCAGGGCAGCAAAAAATAATTCTAACTGAAAAACAGTAGTATTTTCAAAAGTGATCAAAGTGGGGGACTGAGTTTTCTCCATAACATGACATAGCGCTCATCCAGTCTTCCACTTGTGGTGCCACTTTCCCCTGGGAGAACCCGATCTTTACTGCTGAATCAGAGGAAATACCAATCAAGTTTTCTGTGGATTGACATTTGCTCTGATTCAGCGCTAAAGAGCAGGTTTCCCCAGGGAAAGCAAACAGAAAACCGCTCTGCCCCGTGCTCAGAAAGCAAGTGGCAAGTGGGAAACTGCTCAGATTCCTGTTTTTCTAGAAGTGGGAGAAGTGGAAGTGTTAACCTAATCATAGAAACAAGTCCCACTGGATGCAGTGAGACTCTGCACTAAGTGCGCTTAGGCTGGCAGTCTAGGAGTCTGAAAAGCTAACAATAGTTTCTCAGTTTCAAATGGTAAAAGAGAGCCACTGTAGCCTGCGGTATGCCCCCTCAATTCTTTTGTCCCATTTATCATCCGTGACAAACAAGTTTTGCAGGGTTTTGAAGCACTATGAAAAGTTAGTAAAACCTGTTTGGCCACGGGTGGTAGCATGCCTACAACATGAGCAGTGATGGTTCTAACATATCCCCTTCAAACCTTTGGGAAACGGCTGCCAGGGTCTAGTCTCAATAAAAACAATATATAATCTTTTCTACCAGTAGACAAATCAATATTGGGGAGAGGAATTCTAGCCTAGCCTTCTTCTCCCTGATAAGCTAGTTTTAGGTGTCCATAGATTGCCCCCCACCACAACCCCAGCAGCATTGATTCATGCTATTTCTCAACTGTAGTGAGAATGGGCAGGTTTTTTTTTTTAATGTCTACTGATTGTGTAAACTAGCTCATAAATACATGTTAATAAGGCATGAACAAGCGAAAATGTATGTACTGGGAGGTATTCGGCTGAGTTTTACTCAGCGTAGAACCATTGAAATTAATGAAATTTATTCATATCATAAAATTTAATTGCTTAAAAACAAAGCATCAGCAATCCCAGACCAGAGCCAAAGTGTAAGTAAATGTGTGATTAATTAATGATGAAACAAATAATCCTTCCTGAAATCAATGACTAAGTTACGTCCATTAATTTCAGTGGTCTCCTCTGGTTAAAACTTAGTTGAGTACCACTCACTGCCCTTGAGACACAATTTCTCAAATCTCTCCTACTGCTGTAGTATGAATTCATGAGGATGTGAATTCACTCAGAAGGTGATAGCAGTTAGAGCTGTATTTATCCTAGGTGAACGTACCTTCACCACAATGATTTCTTTCTACACAGTGAAGTGTTCTCCCGTTTCTTTCCATTGTGCACCCCCGGCAGTTCCTCCAGCTCTCCAGAGCATATTTGAAGATGGCTCAAGGAGAGGAGGGGGAAAATATCACTGTGCTGGCACTTTCCCTTCAACTGGTGCAAGAATTTCTTTGACTATCACCCTTATCTTTGGCAGAACTTACAAAGTTGTGTGTGTGTGTGTGTGTGTGTGTGTGTGTGTGTAAGAGAGACAGCAGGGGGGGCCTATAGTCAGTCATTTTTTCTTCATAGCAGGTGATAAAACTGCAAACTGACAGCTAGTTCATGGGATTTAGCTATGTCCATATAGAGCAGGATTGTCTGCTCTGACTGGTAGCATCTCTCCAGAGCCCCAAGCCTTTCCCATCACCTTCTACTACTTGGTCCTTTTTTCTTTTCTGTGTTTACAAGAGTTGCCAGGGCTTGAATCAGGGAGCTTAAGCACTTCATAATAATATTTTTTTTCTCTCATCACAGAGATATAGACTACCACATTGCCAATGAGGACAGAAATTGCTGTTTTGCATCTCCTTGCTTTTGGGCAATTAAACATTTCTCATGCCTTAATAGTTCAGCAATGAGATTTCCTAGAGGGGCCTCTTTGAAAATGGAGATGGGGCCCTCTTTATCCCTCAAAGTAGCCTAAGCAAGTTCAGCTGCCACATTTGCCGTTGCCTCCACATCCTTCCGTTGCCCCTGGACATATGTATACACCATACACTTAAAGTATGCGACTTACTCGAAATAATTCTGTGATCCTACAAATTGTAATTTAAGGGCGTTGCAGCTGGGGAGGAGGTTAAGTACAGTTTCCATGATTCATGTAGGAAACAGCCACTATAGATGTATTTTGTTTGGACTTACTTTATCTCTTCTCAAGAAATGAAGCTGAACTTGCTTTCTACCTCATAACAGGTGGGAGCTACAATTGGCCTTATAAAACAACATTTCTTATTTTCAGCTAAAACAACACTGAGCAAAGCTGTTTCTGTTCTCTTCATTTCTGGTCTTGCTATGCTGACATCAGAAAAGAAACTCCTTGCATCAGCTTTTTTCCTGAGTGCTTCCTCTGCCGAAACACCACACACCTGCTTGTTCTGTTACTGCTTATCTAGATGATCAGTAAAAGCATGATTCAAGGAGAGAACACTAAAGCATGAGCCCTAGTTCACATATGATAGATGGTGGTGGGTGCAGGGAATAGCCACACTGTTGCTTGCTCCCTTTCTTGGGTTTTTATTTTTTAAGCTATCCTGGTAGTTGTATACTTTTGCATAACAGAGACCACACAGGTTGGAAAACTTAAATGTACATATATATTGTTAAATGTGAAAGGTTTGCAGAATGAAACAATACTGGGGGGAAGTTGGTAACAGGTCGCCAAATGGTACAGGCATGCAAACTACCACTTTCTGAGGCTGGGCAGCTGAATTCCTAACTTGAAAGGAGATATCTGGTACCTTCTGTAACAGATTTTCAAGGCCAGAGCCACTTTCATCTTACAGCAGGCTGCTGCCTAGATTGATTATATATTCTATTACATATTTTGGAAAGTTGTTTGTCTGTTTGGACACCTCTTAAGATATCATAACCAAATTTTGCATGGTTCCTGAGATCAAGGAGCAGGTTTTTGTCCATGTTTGGATACAGGTAGATGCTGTTATGATGGACTGAACATTTTGAAATTGCACTGTCACTGATTTTAACCACTGATTTCAAAACACCGCTGATTTCGGGGTGGGGGGTGGGAAGCAGTGTTCTTAGAATTCCCAAGCAACACCAGGTACAAGACTGCTAGTTCGAGACAGACAGAAAAAACGTATTGTGGTAAGAGTTTTTAAGGACCTGCATTTCTTTAGCTGGATTTTCCTTCCTTCCTTGGTGTGTGTGTGATAAAAGTAGATAAACTTAGAAAGTACTTTGGAGGTGTTCTAATCCAGTGCCCTGCTCAGTGCTGGATGCCTCAGTTGTCAAAGGCCAGGGAAAGAATCTTAAGAGTTGGAAGGGACCCTGAGGATCATCTAGTCCAACACCCTGCAATGCAGGAATATGCAACTGTAACATAAGTGGATCAAAACTGTGACCTTGACATTATCAGCACCTTGCTCTATCCATGCAACAGGAGCCCTGATAAATGATCATGCTGTCTTTACTCAAGTTCATCTAGTGAAGGTGAGTCCACCAAGCCCATCTGTTTCACTGCCAGACAGCTCCTACTGTTAAGACATTTCTCCTAATGATTTGCCGAAAGCTGCCTCTTTGCAATTTCGGTCCATTAGTTCTACCCTATCCTCTGGAACAACAGAGAACAGGTTTGCTCTTTCTACTGTGTGACAGCCTTTTGGATATTTGAAATTAACTCTCATGTCTCTGCTTAATTTTCTCCAGACTAAACATACTCAGTTCTATACATGCACACTGAGGACAACTCTTTTATGTATCTGAATAAGTGGTCTCTTGTGCATAAAGGCTTAAGCCACAGTAAATCTGTAAGTCTTTAGTGTGCCATAAAACTCTTTTGTGTGTTTGCTGTAGCCTGCCTTATCCTCTGGAACAATTCAAGGTGTGGCTGATGATCAAACTGTTCCTTTCTGGCTTTCTGCCCCACAGAAAAGGTAGCCAGAAATCAGTGTGTGGGAGAAAGTGGAAGAAATATTTTTCTTCCTTCCATGCCCCGTTCTCTGCCTTTCCACCATCTACAATGGTTCTGATCCTTGACAAGCTTGCTTAGCTTCCCAGTAGTATTCAGAATGGTAAAGAATAGCAGCAAAGTCAAAGAAGAGAGGCAGACAAGAGAGCAATACTACCAGGGTAACAGTTAACTTACACTTGGCTACCACTTCAAAGTCTGGAGACAATAAAGGGCTAAGGAGTAGTCAAGTCTACCTCAGCAGGACACTTGATAGTGCAGAAGTGGAGCATTGAGGTGTAGGGCCTAGGAAGAGATGAGTGAGTCTCCTGGGGCAGAGCAATCCATGGGGGGGGTACCATGGCTGAGAAGGCATGCTCACTACTCACAGCTCACCTAAATTCATAGGGCAGGGCATGTGGTGAAGGATACTGTACCAGAGTGACTTTACCTGTGGAGGCCAATAGTAAAATTTTAATTTGCTTATATATGCTGTTCCCCACTTTCCAACACTGAAATAAGTCCAGGGCAGGGGCAGTTGTACATAACTTCCTTTGAATGAGAGGGTACACCAGAGACTTAAAAGTGCCTTTGTAATATTTGTATTTAAAATTATAAAAGCAGAACCTATTGTAACTGGGCTTCTAAAAAGCAGAACCACAACTGCTAATCCTGTTTCAGATTTTTAAAGAGCAACTGCACCCCAAGGATATAGCCAACTCCAGCTATAAAAACTTCCATCTCTGCCTCCCAAGTCTGCAAACTGCTTCATGTCCCCTCCCCCAATTTCAAATTCTGAGGTGGTTAAGGAACTATTCAGACCTTCTATGAAGTCTTTGCTCCTTCATCAAATGATATTTTAGGCAACACCATAGTATTAGGCATATTCACAATAATTCCTATTTCTCATTACACCTCCTAAGTCTAATGAAACAATTTCTAAGGTGACATATATATTTAAAACTTTTATGAGCGTGTCACTTGGATTAACGAGATTTCCTTCCCAAACAGGCCACTATCAATTGCCTCAGTTGAAAATCCAGACTTTCATTCGTGCCACAATTTGCAGGCACAGGTCTCTGCTTTTCAGATGTGGGTCCAAGCAGCTTTTTTTTTCATGCCGCTTTCCCTGGAAAAACCCGTTGTTTATCACTGAATCGGAACAAATGTCAATCCACGGAAAACCCAATTGACATTTGTTCCATTTCAGAGGTAAACAGTGGTTTTTCCTAGCAGGGCCAAAAGAAAAACCATACACACCACTCGGACCCACTTGTACATGCGCCCTTTAAAGATGGGCGGGGTATAACTAATAAATTATTATTAATTATAAAATTATTATATTTCAAATCAAAGGTGCTCCTTTATTTCTTTGCTTTGGTGCCTCTGCTATTTTCCTAGTCTTGTCCTATTGCCATTAACTCCATGAAATCTAGAATTCTAGATACAATGGTTTGCTCATACTATGTTGTTTTTGCTCTCAGAAACTGCTTTTAGAAAGATCAGAGGTAAAAGCCCAATATTTCTTTTCTGATTGAAATTTTGATTTGCAGGGAGTCACTAATGCAGCCACATCGTGTAGGTAGTTTTTCAAATATGTTTCCCTTATCCCGAATAGCTTGGTTGGGGATACCCTGAGTTTAGTTTCTGTAAGTGTCTTGGGGTGCTAGGTGTCTCCCAGAAGATCTGCTGTGGGAGCAGCGGACTGTGACTTCATTAGAGTGCCTAAGCTATGTCTCCACCCACACTCAACCTGTATATGTATGTAAATAAATGCAAAGATTACAAAACACTAATAAGCCTCCAGTGACATCTTTCCACAGGGAATCAGACTTGGATAAGCACCGTGGCTTAGAAATTTCTTGCCATTTACAGAAGTGGAGTGAGCATTCACAATACTGTATTAAGTAGCAGTAAATTGCCGCTGTGTATGTGTCAACTACTTCTGTGTCCTGTTGCCTGTGCTTGTAACAGGGTGAGGAGAAGAGTTGGGAAGTATTTGTCAATTTCAGTTCTCTCGGTTTCTCATTTTTCTTTTCTTAAATTCAGTTTTCCACATTTCTGCAGCAATTTTGTCTGTGTTTCAGTTCCTGTGTTTCAATTCCGTGTAGTGTGAATTTCAGGAAGTGTGGATTTGATACTTGCTTTTAAATCTGAACTGATTCAGATTTCTCCCTGATCCCTAGGAGGGGAAGCATGCAGCTTTCCAGGCAGGCCTAAATCCAGCCCCCTCTCTTTTATATATATAGAAATTAGCCAGTGGTCTTAGGCTGATCTAAAATGCACACGGCACAGTAATGTTACTGAATATGAAGATCTAACGCCACCACTTTCCTAACATACCAGTACATCATCCTAACGAGGTTTCTTTTTCGTCTGAAATTCTTTAATGTTATAGAACACATGGACGTATAAAGCTGCTTTACATTAACTTAGACCACTGGTCCGTCCAGCTCAATACTGTCAACATTGTCAGCAGCTGCTCACCAGGGTTTAAGGCAGCAGCAGCAGCAGCAGCCTTCTGCATCCTTAACTGGGGACATGGGCATAGCTAGGGCAGCTGCCCCCCTAAATCAAGTAAAGAAATTTTAATAAAAGCTCGGTTCTGCCCCCCCCCCAATAAATAAATCCAGGCTATGCCCATGACTGGGGATGCCGGGGATTGAACCTGGCACCTCCTGCATGCAAAGCTCTGATGGTGTTTCCTGCTTGGCAGGGGGTTGGACTCGATGGCCCTTGTGGTCGCTTCCAACTCTATGATTCTATGATTCTATGAAAGCAGATGCTCATATACCCCCTTGAGTTCAGTGGGGCTTATTCCACGGAATAAGAGCACCCTCAATGGGTTGCAATAGCCTCAGTGGTGCCTTCTACACCGCGACCAGATGCAGAAAGTCCCTGGCCCTGTTTGCACCCGCCTGTCCGATGTCGGAGACGGGCGTCCACTTCTCGCTCCCGCTGGAGGGACTCTCCGCCCTCGGACGGCCGTTTCCACGGAAGACCCCGCTGCCACTCGACGACCACCGGGGAAGGAGGTAGCCAGCCACAGGGTTGGCCTCCTTTGCTGACGAGAGAGAACCTTCTCTCCTCAGGGGGGCGGGAACGGGCTTGGGCCGTCGTCGTGGCGATATGCTAATACCTCCCTCGCGCCTCTGACTGGCCAACGGGGGTGGCGATGCGCGGTGACGCCAGGCCCAGCGCGCGTGACGCCAGCGAGAGGGTGGGCGGGGACAAAAAAAAAGAAGAGAGAGGTTGCTGTGGTTGTCGGGCCGGGTTGGGGTTTCTCATGACAAAAGTTCTGCGCCGAGGGCGGCCGGGGAGCGCGCGCCCTTCGCGGCCGGCAGGTGAGGTGGCGGGGGAAGCGGGCGGCGTTTGTAGGGCGGAGAAGGGACGGGGGCAGTTCTGTGTGGCGCCTCGCGAGACGGGAGCTTGGGGGGGGGGGCGGTTGTCGGTGCCCTGGGGTATCTGCCGAGGCCTGTCCGCCTCCGGGGTGCCCTGTGGCCGCTGCTCCGGGTCAGCTGCAGCTGAGCTTGGCCCCGTTGCCCGGCTGCGTGCCTTGCCCGGTGACACCAGCAACCCCCTTTCCCCCTCCGAGGCTTGGGGGGAAGGATGGAGGCACACGGCGCAGGACAGCTGGTGCTCGCTTGCCCCTTCCTCCCGTCCCCCACCCCTCTTGGAAGGAGGGGGGAAGAAAACAAATAAGGAAAACCTGCGTCTTAGCTTTTCCTTCCCTCCAGCCCAGTCCTAGGTTATGCTGCTCCCTCAGCAACTCGCCCCCAACAACAAACCCCCGTTATCCAAAATCCACCACCCCACCCACCAAAGCGAGTGGCGGATCGGGCGTGCTTGTAGCATGCTGTGGAGGATCGGGCCCCATGGCGTTGCAGGATCCGTTGCTTCCTCTCCTTGGTTGCTTGCCCTCTTCCCTCTACATTGGAAGTAGAGAGGGTGAGGATTGGACTTGCTGGGCCCAGTCCCCTTTGCCTAGTGTGTCCCCCAAGGGAGTGGCAGCAGTATCCCCTCCTCACCCTTTCCCCTTCCCACTCAGAGGCAGATGGCAAAAGGGCCGTTGATGCTGCTACCTTTCCCAGCAAAGTAGGGAAGTGAGAGGCAGTGGCGGGGACCGGCTGACGCTGCCTGTAGGGAGGTGCAATGATAAGGGGCTGGGCACACCACCCAGTCAAAGAGTGAAGGTAGCTGCTGTTGCCTTTGCCCACTCTCCTCTGTAGATGGCACTGCGGAGAGAAGTTGAGCCAGCCGAGATGCCCAGAGAAAATAGTGGCTATCCTGGCAGGAGTTGCTTGCCTACTGTGTTGGGAAGGAGGAGGCTCTGCAACACTTTCTGAGCTATCACCTCAACCCTCTTACACTCTCTAGGGGGTGCAGTACTGTAGGTTTTACCCAGTCCTCACTACTTGGGAACCCAGAATGGTTAAAGTCAGCTGGCTCTGCATGGAATAGTTGCCTTATCCTCTCTCTCTGGGTGGCACGTCAATGGGAATTGGGGCCAGGGACTCCAATCCTTATTCTCCCTACTGCGGTGACAAGAGGGACAATGAGAAAAGAACAAACAAGCTGAGGGGGGCAGCATCTCCCCCCCCCCCCCGTGGCACCATGAAGACCAGTCCTTCCTAGCATGCTGCCCAGAGAGAGCAACCATGATTTGCTACCTCTGCCCAGCTGGTTATCCTCTTTTTAGTAGTGTAGTGGGCTGCATTGCTTTGATGGGGTCTTGAGAAGGATGAAGGAAAGTGGAAGCATGTGCTGGCAAACAGTCATACTACTAAGCCACAGAGGAGAAAAACCCCAAAGTACAGCTGTCAACAAAAGTGATAGAAAGAGACAGAATAGTAGATTTGTGCTTCACTCTGTTCTTATCCTGATATAGTTTTATCTCAGCCTGATATTCAAGATAAATTTAGAGTACTGAGTGGATTAAATAAAATACATTCCTCATTATGATATTTGATTCTAAATAACTTTTTTATGGAAAGAGATGTTTTAAAAGTACATTAGTTATTGCCCTTTATTATTTGACAGTTGGAATAGTGATAAAGGTATCCTTGCTAAAGTTCTTCAGGGATAGCTCTGCCGGTAGATCATGAGACTCTTAATCTCAGTGTTGTGGGTTTGAGCCCCATGTTGGGTGAAAGACTCCTGCATTGCAGGGGGTTGGATTAGATGACCCTTGTGGTCCCTTCCAACTCTGCAATTCTGTGATGTTAAAAAGGTTTTGAAGAAAATGCTGTCGTCTTTGATAGTTGCTGCTTTCTGAAATTTATTAAAGTAAAAGGTTCATATTTGTCATGGTGTAGAGTCTTTCAAAATGCACTGGTTTGCTTCTGGTTTTGGTGCCTATCTTGTGAAAAATCCCTAAACCAAAGATGGTGAAGCTCCCATCTGTGGGCCAAACTGGGCCCAGCACAGAGTCCCAGACCCAGTTTGGTCCTTGAGGACACCTCCAAACCACCCACACCTGGCCTATATGTGACATTAGGTGTTGGGCTGGTACAGACATGCCTTCAAATGAACATTGGGGAGCTTAACCTGTAAACTCCTGATTACTCCTTTGCTTGGAGCAAAGGGCTCTCCCATTACCCATAATGACATCATGGGATTGGCAAGTGGGTTGTCCTGTTAAATCTGTCAAAGTTGGCCTGCAGGTTGGCGAAAAATGTTCCCCATGATGCTTGGAGGTGTTTGTTCAGATTTACAATGTGTCCATGATACTTATCTGTTACATGCATGCAAAATTAGCATGGGGAGGAAGCTATAAGGCAGACTGGACAGCAATGTGATAATGCTAGCCTTAGCACAGCATCAAACAGTCCCCCAAAGCAACAGCAGACTTCTGATACTATTTCTTACCAGACAGCTGCAAGGACTCAACTTCCTCTTTTCCTGGATATATTTAAACTACTACAGTCATACCTTGTGTTGTGTTAGGTTCATCTTGCGTCTTTTTGGCTTGCGAACGTGGCAAACCTGGAAGTGTATACTTCCGAGTTTTGCCACACACGCACATGCAGAAGCGCTCTATTGCGCTCCGCGCTTGCACAGAAACGCCGCTCTAGTTGCAGACTTTTTGGGGTGTGAACGACACCCAGGAACGGATTGTGTCCACAACTAGAGGTACCACTGTATACCTAACTTTTCGGTTCCCACACAGGAACATGGGATGTGATGCAAACATTCTAGTGGCTTTGTGGTAGCCACCAGCCATCAAAAGAAATTGAGCAAATACCTTAAAAGTTATTTAGCTACACAAGAGCTGGACGGGAGGATCTGTGGGCCTTCCAAATCAACCCCATCCAGCATGGTCAGTGATCAAAGATAGTGGGAGTTATAGTCCAACAGTGTTTGGTAGACTAACAAGTTTTCCACTCCTGGCCTAGTAAGAAGGTCATTCTCAAGCTTTGCATGACAGAAAATACCACTAACAGGAACCATATTTTGAATTGAGCAATGAAGGGCCAGCGTCATTGTCTGAAACTTATCACAAGGGAGTGAGTCAGTGGACAAGGTCAAAAGGTTCTTTAACTTCTTTCTCCCCAGCATCAACAGTGAATGCTCAAAACCTCTCCTTAATATGCACCTTAGCTCATTCTGTCCATGAGCTAAGACAATGGAAAACAACATTGAGCACTGAGGGATAGAAAACACATATAAACTTTGGTTTTGTTCACAATTTGGGAGGTGTAGGGCAAGGGTCCTTGTTTTCTCTCTTGTGATAAGAGGGGACCCATACTTTATGTTTACTTCTAGGTATTTTTATATTTCTTTTGTCTCTCTAAGGAACTGAGAACATACTTCTCTCCTCTCCTGTTCTATCCTAATAACAATCCTGTGAGACAGCTGAAACTTAGAGAGTTGTGTGAGTAGAGTTCAGAGCTAACAAGTGAGCCTCATTGATGAACAGGGAATTGAGGCCACGGTTCCTAGGTCTTATTCTGACACCCGATTATTACCTGCTGCACCACACTTGAAATGTTCCCTCAGCCTCCTCTCCTCGCCCCTCTCCTTGGAAGTCCTCTGGGCTGCCGCAGCTGCTGCCCCTAGTCTCTGAGCTGCCCCTCTGCCCCAAAGAGAGGTGCCTCCTCACACTGCCCTACAGGGGCCTGGGAAGCACCTCCTGGCCAGCCTCAGAGTCACCTCGGGAGCTTGTAGCTGCTGCAACGAACAATCACACATGCCTTTGGGAGGCATAGACGTAAGAGGGAATCAGAGGAGGGAATAAAGGAAAGAGGGACAGAGGCCATTGTTGCCCGTGGCACCCCCCCAACCATCATTCAAGGCACCCCAGGGTGCCATGGCACACTGGTTGAAAACCACTGCCTTAAGAGCTCTTCAGCACTACAACTAGATCCTTAATAAGCGTCCATCTAAGTGCACAAGAAAAGCGTAGCTATGTAGCCAGAATATGACTTTCTGGGCTTAGGATGGGGGAGTTTGTGGGCCTCCAGATGTTGTTGGACTCCATCTACCATCAGCCACAACCAGTGTGGTTGTTGATGATGCAAAATGTAATCCAAGAAGATCTGGAGGGCCACAGGTTCCTCATCCCTCTGTGTGTTTATCTCTCTCTGTTTATCTAAAGCAAATCCTAAAGCTCTGTTTACTTGTTTGGAATGAAGCCCAGTTCAGTACATTTTTCTTCACACGTGCTTCAAATTGCAACCTTTTTTTTTGGTGCCGTTTATGCATGGAGTTGAAATGTGTTTTGCTCTCTTGCAGTTTCTTTCCACTTGGGACTTCCTTCATGCTGACATGGTAACGACAGGTTGGCTTTCACCAACAGGTGAACGGAGAAATTTGGTCAAAAGAGGTAACCTGCTCTTAAAATCTCAGTTTGGGGGTTCTAGGTATATTTGATTATATATTGGATTATACTCTGGAAAGTCCTAGCAATGGATGTGGGGGTTGTTTTCAGATTCTGTTGGTTTCATATTCTGCATGTGATAATAGTACTTCTTATTGTTTGAACAGCTGACAAATATAAATGAACACGATATCTCTCAGTGTAATCTGTGAAATACAGTAATAAACGAGAGAATGTATATTAACCTTCTGTTTTAATCTGTGCTTTAGAGTATTATGGAGTTAGAGTGTGAGTTGGAGTTGTGGGTAGCATGCTGCTAAATTCTACTCATGTTTGGTAGTTTATTCTCTGTATCTTACAGCACTCCCTCTGTGAAAAAGAAGAATTATTAGCATTTAAATGAGTGCATGTTAGATACTGATGCTTTCCTGTGTTTTTGTAAAATACTGTCAGTCCCTGAAATTGTTCCAAATCCTGTTCATTAAATGATATGGGTGGTAATTAACTAAGTTTCGCTCAGAGTAGACCCATTGAAATTAATGAACATGACTGTATAAAGTCAGCTAATTTTAATGGGTCTACTTTCATTGAAACCTAGTTGAATACCTTTCTGTGCAATTCTGCTGCATGAAAAGGATTCACATATAGTTTGTAAATACTGTCACTGCCTATCTTTGGAAGGCTTAGCTGACTGATTCACAAGCCTAGTTACCTTGTTTAAGACAAGGCTGTTGTTTCTTAGTACCAGGTATAAGTTATGTATTTCCCTGGCTTTACCAGGTTTGATATAATGCACAACTCCACCCTCTGTGTAGCCTTTTAGAAATGTGGACAGAAAATTATAGTGGTTTTGTTTGTGCTCTTCTGCAAACTCATCTGTTCATATTTAAGGCATTCCCACACTGCCAGTTCAGTAAAGCTAAAGGTTGTAAATTAATGTTTGAGCAAATGGAGGAGCCACTATGTTTCCTGGAATTTTGTGCAATGTGATCTCCTTGTCTCGCCTATGCTGACCCAGTGGTGTGCTGAAAGAACTAGCATGGACCATTGTCATTGTTTTGTGGTATATGGAGATTAGCTGGAATGAAGTGGAGCATCTGAAACCTAAAAGAAATCCCAAGTAGCTTTCTGTTTATTATTGCCACCATTATTTATTTGTATGCCACTTTTCCATGCTGAACCATCCTCAAAATGGCTCACATCAAAAAGTTTATGTAAGATAATTCACTAACAATTACAATACATAACAAAATTTAAATAGTCATATAAACAACAGGCTAATGAAAAAAATCATGTTAGCAAATATGCATTAAAATTAGTCCATTGATAATTCATAATAAGGCCCAACAATAAAATACAAGAACATAATCTGGATAACAGCAAAAATGATATAATGTATATCCAAAATGGAATCTTAAACTCACTCTTACATTTACTTTAATCTTTAACTTTATGATGGTAACAAAACTGTTTATTGCAGAAGATTTATTTCTATAATTTAATATTGTCTTAATCATATCACCATTGTATCTTCATTGGACTTGTCATATTTTATTAGAAGAAGGAAGAATTATTATTTATTAAGGGTATTCAACCTGCCTTTCATCCCAACATCCTAGGGGCAGGGTACAATAGATTTCACTTCTATAGTTGCTGTAAAATGAATGCATCTGTATTAGAACTATATTGAAACTGTTTTTAATTTGTGGAATTGTTTTTAACTTTTTCTAAATAGAAGTGTTTTTACTTATCTTGCTTTATGTTTATAACTTTTACTTGTTTTATAATTGTATATTTTTATGGTTGTAAAGGGACTTTATAGTAAAGGGCAGGTAGCAAATAAATAAACAGACGCCTTTTAAATATGAATATGTAGCTTGATACTGATTGCGAAATGATTGTTTATTTTGTTGCTTTTGTAAAGAAAATGCCAAACATTTAGTGCCCTTTGTTACACTGTAATCACAAGGCAGATTCCTTCAAGAAGTGATCCTCATGATAGAACAAGTTTTGTGCATGGATCACACCCTCTGTAAAAACAAAAGCCTGAAATGGGGATACAAAATCCCTGTCATACCACTGCAAGCACTTCCAGAGTAGGAACAGTGACCCTGCTGTTGCCTTTTTGCTGGGGATGAAGAGTAAAATCCAAATATTCCTATTCACCAGTGGGCAACAGGAGGGGAGAAGAATGAATTTCTGAACTGGTTGAGAAGCAGTGATATTTAGTGTGCTTGGATTGCTTTGTGTTTGGGAGAGTAACAAAATGCTTTAATAGAAATTGCACCCTTTTACTCTTAAGGTGAATTACCAGTTTTGAAAATATACTTGTGTTGCGACAAATACACAGGATTAATTGTGAACGGCTCTTGTAATGCAGGTTTCTTTTAAAGATGCACATGTAGTATAGTTCACTCAGTGACAAGAGCATAAGCAATTTAGACGACAGAGGGCACTGTGCTGCCTATTGTTTGTGCATGCAGGTGGCAAGATGTAGAGACCACTCAGTGCACTTAGTCCCAAGGCCAAATGCAAGTGCTGCCTGCGAGAGGACGGCTTCCCTGTGCACTAAACAGTGTGTGACTGCATTTCTTCTACACATCATGTGCTTCCACGAAGCAGCAAATGGGAAGCCATCTGCACCCTTCACACCCAGAAACTAACCCTGCAACCTGGCAGATGCTCTGTGTGTTCATGTTTAAATTGTGTATGGGGTGTGGTGGTGCTTAGAGTGTTGGACTAGGACCTAGGAGACCAGGGTTCAAATCCCCACTCAGTCATGAAGCTCAGTGTGTGATCTTGGGCCACTCACTGTATCTTAGCCTAACCTACACCCCAAGCTGGTTGTGGGGATAAAATGATGAGGGTGGTTGGGGGAGCCATGTATGCCGCCTTGAACTCCTTGGAGACAAAGGTGGGATATAAATGCAATCGGTCAATAAAATAAACCATTGTAGGTGAAGGAATATGGTTAGGAAGATCCATATAATTATTGCTGGGCAGACTTACCAGTTTTGGCCAGGAAAAAGGAGTTGGCTAGAACAGCACATTTGGATCCACTAGCTTCTGCAAAAGCTGGGTGCAGGGTGGTCAGTGTGTGCCAGTTCAGCTACGTCTTGAATCCTTTATCTGCCTCAGTCTGATGAGTCAAGGTGATTTTGAAGAACTTTAGGAATGGCATGCAGGTTAGCACCTGCTTTATCCATCTCCATGAGAAAAGGCAAGATTGGGAAGTGTGTGTGTGTGTGTGTGTGTGTGTGTGTGTGTAAAATATGAGTTACAGTAGTGTGTGTGTTCATGTGTTCTAGATATATCATGAGTTAGAATGGTATAACTCTTCTCATTCCTACTGAGGGTAGGATTATTGTTTTTCTGGCATGGAAAGAGAGACCTAGAGAGAGGTGGTTAAAATTACTTGCTGGCAATATGTTTGATACAAGATTATTTAATGATATTGTGAAATTAGAGAGATTTTAGTGGTAATTTGCCCTGTTGTCTTTTTTAAAAATAAAAACCCCCATCTTGATTAGGGTGGCTAACCAGTGGCTTTACGGATGTTTTGCACTACAGTTCCCATCAGATTCAGCCAGTATGTCCAATGCTTGGGGCTGATACAAGTTGTAGTCCGAGCATTTGGAGTCCTACACTTTGACCACCTCTGCCCTAGATTAGTCAGTTGGTTAAATATTTTTGATTCTCTAATGAGGTGACATTAAAATTCTCTGTGTGTGTGTGTGTGTGTGTGTGTGTGTGTGTGTGTGAAGATCTTGAAAGCATTAGATACTCAGAGCCTTGTAATTAAGGTATCTTTAAACAATAAACATCAGGAGGCTTTTCAGTGAATAGTAGGTATGGGATGAATGATAATTCTGGCTTGTGTTTGTGGTCATCGGTCTGGTTCAGAAAACTACATTCCCTTCTCATTTCTAGTTGGTAGTCATGGGAGATTTACAAGTTCCAACACCCTGTTCAAAGAGGGAGAGTTCACTCTGAAACGTGCCTGCTTATCTTCTCTGTATTACCTACATTTGGCATAATAGCAGGGAGTGGTGTAGTGACTGTGTCATTTCCATGGCAAAAGAACAGCTTCCGCCTGTTTTACTTTTCTGATTTTTATTTCAAAAGCTCCTTTCAGGAACTTTATAAACATGAATGAAAAAGTGTGTATGTTGGGGTGGGGAGCAAAACTGGTGTATATGCTCTGGGTCACTGTGGGTGGCCACTGCCTCAATTCAAAAGAAGCCTCCTGCACCCTGATCATGACATGGGTCTGAATTACTGACTTGTAACACCACCAGTGAATTTTCTGGGGACTCCCTGCTTCCCCTGGCTTCATGTACAACCCTCTTCTAAAACTGTACTGAGAAAGGGCAAGGAATTTGAGTGCAGTCATGAAGCAGTAGCTGTGCTATTTTCTTGGCCAGCAATTCCATAAACACTCTGAGCAGGTGGCAGAGGCAGAGGCGGAGCGATAGAGAAGTACACAAAAGTCACATGCTCCTTTCAGATGCTGCAGGCAGTCTGCTGAATTCTCCTGGCGGGTGAGTTGCTGTTTTTCATGGTTTTAATATACTGCGGCCAGTGTGCAGGCAAGAGGATGTTTAGGGTTCTGTAATGTAGGGACAATATATTGCTTGGAGTCAGTAAGACCTTAATTTCTGTTTTCTTAGCATTTGGAAAAGGAGACGCTGTGTTAGGGCGTACAGAGATCTAGGCTGGAGACGTGTGAGTGGCCTCTGATCTATTCTCGGTTCTGTTTGTTTGAGCTGCAGGATCATGAATAAGTGGTGTGAGTTTTGTTATGAAAATTCTCATGGAAGGTAGTTCAACATGCCACTGCCCTGAATCTTTCAAAGCAACTGTGTTAATTAAGCTCAGTATATCAGCATCGGGTTTCTGCTGAGTCTGCTTTCAATAGGCTCTGCCTTTGTTCAGAGACACAGATCAGCTGTGTTCCATCTCACCCGAATGAAATGAAACCCTGCAGTGTGATTTTCTGAACTTTTTGGTGAGCATGCAACATTAGTATAACAGTTTCTCACCGTAGCAGATTATATTTGAGCACCTGGTAATAATATGCTATTAAAGTAAAGCAGTGGCATTTCTCTTTCTAAGTAGCTGAACACTTAGAATATGGCCATTTTAATGTGGAAGATGTTGTAGGATTTTAGGTGTTGGCAATGTACTGTCTTTCTTCTTTTAGAGACTGAGCATTAAAATCTAAAATTGAAAAGCAGCGTAACATTCCAAACAGACTCAGCAGGAAATTGTTGTTCCCACAGAGCAATTTCACAGGTCAAGTAGAGCTATTAAGGTGAAAATGCTGATGAAACATCAATTATGATACTTAGAGATATTGCCATTGTTGTGAAAACTGCTGTATAGTGCATACAGCAAAGTCATCAAAATATTCAGTAGTAAACAGATGCTGGGCACAATTGAAAACTGATTATCTTTGAGGCTTTGGAGGTTTACATTACGTTCTATTTTTTTAAGCAATGGGTGTTATTCAACTGAGTTTTCCTCAGAGTAGATCCACTGAAACATGACTGAATTGGGTCCATTAATTTCAATAGATCTACTCTGATTTCACTATTTATTTTTTTTAAAGCCACCATTCCTTGGAGAAGGACATGGTATATAAATTTACAATAGTGATGCAGTTACTTGCAACTGTTATTCTTTTAAGTGTCTCTGTGTGCCAACCCATATATAGGATCTGTGCATGTACATGGCCCATCTTTCAAAGATGACTGTGACATGTTCATCCCTTCTGTTGACTAAAATTTTTAGTACCCACCCATCAACTCTATTAAGGCATTGGAGTAAGACTCACCCATTCAGTTCCTCTTTAGTTGCCACATACTAGAGAAAGTCCTATCCTTTCTTTTCACAGCTGGAATTTTGTTTGTATCTGAAACAAAACAATCTGCAAGATAAAGCCCTTTTCTTTGGAGTTTCGCAGTCCTTTCCCATCCTCTGAGAGGATCAACATTATCATTTCAGAAACACTGCCCTGGTGGTGTACAGTCTTTAAGAAACATGCAGAGTGCAGGAACAGATGCCCAATCAAATGGTCAGCATCTGTGGTGAATTTGGCTGGGCAAAGACCATATAACTGAGGCATGCTAAAAGTCTACCAAAGAGAAAAGCATCCATTTGTCAAAGTTCAGAACTGCCCTCTCTGGAAAAGCCTTTGCTGCTCTTGAAATGACTTCTCAAGGCCCTTATAAATAATTTCTTACTTAAAACACCACCACCAAAACATCTGGTATTCTGATCTGCATTTCTTGGGGAAATAGAAGGATATAAACCATAACCAATTAATCTTAGACTTATAGAGTTGGAAGGAACCCCATGGGTCTTCTTGCTGTCTTCACTCTTAGTATAACTATATCGCAGTCTGTTCCCACATTCATTACATTTCTGAGTTGAGTATATGACCATGGTCTTATTTGTATTTATTGACAAAAAAGCTTCAGTCTGTTTTCCATATGTGGCCTTGATGCTGGCAAGAGAGCTGACTGGGAAGAGATGCTGCTCTTCAGATGTACAGATAGGGTTACACCCTGGCAGGAAAACTTTCTCATGGGCCTTTTGTGTTGCTTTAAAATAGGAAATAAGATACTAGCTTTCAGGAGTAACCAAACCTATTTTTAACAGATGCTTCCGAGTAGGGGCATTTTATATCTTCCTATATACGAGAAAGTTTTTCACACTGCAATTTGTGTGACTGCCAGTTGGCAACCACATAAATTGCAACACAACAACAGCGGGCAGAGTGAGTGACCAAAGCAGGCAGGTCAGTAGCATGAGTAAACAGGCCTGCAGAGCAAGCAAGTGGGTAGGTGGGTGGCCCAGGTGGGCATTCACATGTCCCTCCTGTTGTTGTTGCAGCCACCCGCTGCCTCCTAGCTTGGTTTCATGCGTGGACAATGAGGGGAGACAAGCTGAAAGGGTGCTCCCCGTCATTGTCGCCACTGCTGCTACAGGCTGACAACATTCTCCCCTTAGTTCACTGCCACCAGAAAGAAGTGTCCATTTATAAATGCACGCTTTCTTCTGCCAGTGAAAGTGGTGCGTGCTGAAAGAGGGGAAAGCTCTCTTCTCTTCATGCCCCTCTTCTCTGTGATTGACGGTGACAGCGGATCTTGAGACTAGGGTGAAATGTTGGAGGAGGCACGAGTTTTGGACAAACTGTGAGACAGAGATTGGAAACCGGGTGGGTTGTGATGGGTATATGGGGGTGTTGGGGTGAAGGAGCTGTAAGGGTGTTGGGGTGATGGGAGTTGTCAAGACAGTGTGGGGTTTGGCAGGGTTGGTGAGCAAATGAGAGTCCCAAGTGGTGATAAATGGCATACTAATACTGACGTTGAACATTAATAGGAGCAAAGCCTTTCTTTGTCTCCTCTACTGCCCCATCCTCCCAGCATCATTTTTTATTTGATGTGTAAATGTTTTTCCCATATATATAGTTGAAAAATCTGAGATTTCTGAAGACAAGTACAGGCTAGTGAGATCCTGCCATTTTTGCTGCCACTTCATTCTGTGTTCGCTTTTATGACAGGGGAAGTCGCTTTTCTTGGCAACTCTTTCTTAATACCTTTTGACAATCCATCAATTCCAACATATTTCTTGTTTTGGACTCAAAAACCAGTAACAGTGATTGATGTCTTTTTTGGGACAGGGAGGGGAGAAAAAAATACACTGCCCTGAGAAATGTGAGAGAGCTATTATGCCTTACTAATCCCTGTGAAAATCATTAACAGAATTGTCTCCTGTTGTTTGCTCAGTTTTTAATCCTCACAGTGTTATCTAAAGTAATCTTACTTCTGAAGAGACAAGATTTATAGACCGCTCTGATTGGAGGAGGTTTGGACCTGTCTTTTGTAATACTGCAATTAAATGCTCCAGACTTGAGGGGTTTTTCATCAAACCCACTTTGTTGCATGAAGGAACTCCCCAAACCCCTTATTACCAGAAGAGCAATTTTTGAATTGTTGGCTTGAATATGCATTTCTTTATTTTTTATATATAGATATATTTAAAGTATTCACCATCAAAAAATTCCCCTAGATGTAAGCATGCTAAAATTTCCACAGGAAAAATCTCTAGATTTCTATAGAAAGCCTTTGTTCCTTCTTCATGAATGACTCATAGAGAAGTTTCTACACAGAGCTTTGAACTTCCTTGTGAAAAAAATACGTTCCTATGGCATTGTCTTGTTTTTCCTCTTTACTGATGGAGTTTCTAGCAACTGCTCTGTAAAGTGTGGTCTAGATTCTAATCCTCACTTGTTTCGTTATTCTGGATTAGTTCTAAATTCATGCTTGTGAAAAAATGGCCACTACAGTGGTATCTCAGGTTACATACGCTTCAGGTTACAGACTCCGCTAACCCAGAAATAGTACCTCGGGTTAAGAACTTTGCTTCAGGATGAGAACAGAAATCGTGCTCTGGCGGCACAGCGGCAGTAGGAGGCCCCATTAGCTAAAGTGGTGCTTCAGGTTTAGAACAGTTTCAGGTTAAGAACAGACCTCCGGAACAAATTAAGTTCTTAACCTGAGGTACCACTGTATTCTTAAAGTCTGACAAATTATTGTTGGAGGCACCTCTGCCTGAAGTTAACCTTTTCGAGATTCTCTCCTTTCTTCACTCTGAAATAAGTAGACATATACGACTCCTCACATTTTCTGTAATCTTAAAATATAAAGATACATCTTAGATCAGCCAAGAAGGCCCTCTTGATTGTTTGGAAGCAAGGTGTGCTTGGTGGCTGCAACATTAATTTGGAAATTCTGTTATTTTGAGATTGATCAAGCTTCAGCACTTTTGAGAAGCATTGGGAAATCACCCTTTTGGGGGTTGACTTCCAGTGGTTAGATTTAAGATTTTAAGAGGCAGGAATTTTAATAAGTGTTTTCATCTTATTTTATTACCCATGTTGTTGTTAAACTGGAACCTTTTCCAGGGATAAGGGAACCTGCCATGATGCCCTTGGAACTTGCTCTGAAGCCTCTGGTTCTGATCTCTTCAGGAGACTTTGTCCTTGGCAGAATGGATGGTACGGTAGATTTTGTTATGACTTAGCACTGCCTTGTTGGCCTTGGTGCCATCGTTTGTTGGTGTACAATGATATGACTCTTACTCTCTCATAGGCATAGTGTCTGATAGTCTTAGTGTTGCAGGGCCATCTGTTCATCCGCAGGTGTTTTAGTTTTGCACACTGAAAATGTATTTGGGTGCCAGACAGGAAAGTGTTGATATGACTGGCAAATGAGGTGAGAAAATGCAACTCTGTAAAGTTAATAGTTCCAGATTTCTCACTGTTCAGTCAGCAATCTCAAGGCATCTGTAGAGGGGGCAAAAGGGTTGCTAAACACTTTTCCAGCTGTCTTGGATGAGTGCAGCCTAGACTGCAATGCTACCAGTACAAAGCTGAATTGTTGGTGTGAGTGGCAGTTTCTCTCTGTGCCTAGGAAAACAGAGAAGGAGAGGAACCCACTAGCTTCTGGCTGGAAGTTCTTGAAAAATAAAATTAACTTATATGAAACTTCAGCATAGGCTTTCGTTCAGAATACAAAGCATGGGCCACTTGCGAAAGAAAGTAAGGCTACAGTCTTAACCCAACTTACCTGAGCGTAAGCTTCATTGAACTCAATTGGACTTATTTCTGATTAGACATGGTTAGACTTCTGCTGTAAATCTGGGTTTAACAGCATTGAACAGCTTTCCTCAGCCTGGTGTGCCCTCTAGTGATTTGAATTCACTCCCATCAGCCCCTGTCAGCATGACCAACAGTCAAGAATGAAAGAAGTTGTAGTCTGAAGCTTTTGGAGGATAACGGATTGGAGAAGGGTGACTAAGAAGGTAAGGAAACAAGCATTTAAGGCCGAAATAAATCAGAATTTCCTGCTGCCTGTAATGCCATTTACAGGTTTTATTCAAAAAGCAGCAATTATATTGAGAAAATAATAAATACAGTTTAATATAGCTTACATATCATAAATATGCAAGAATGCCATCACCCTGAAGTTTGATTGGGCACAGATAGGTGGCTCTGTGAATTATAGTATGATGAAGGGAAGTGAGCTGCGGAGTTGGAACAGGCTGCAGCAGCCCTGGACCACTGGCTGCATTTTAAAATGCAGGCTTCTCTGTGGCTTCCTTCAGCAGCAGCAAGTGCTTGGAAGCCCCACAAGAGATTTTGAAAGGAGGGTGGAACAATCATGTGATACCATAATAATGTCATGTGCGTGGCAGGTGGGTTGCTCTCCCTACTTGTCAAAGCTAGCATGTGGGGTGGGACCCAGAACACTTGCCCACTCTTGGCGTAAGGGGTTAATGGGGGAGGTATGGAGATGTTGGGGGGGCCATAGGTGGGATTGGCAAGCATCTTTATATAGGCGGCTGCTTCATCAGCAGGAGAGCAAATCTACAGGATGACCACGCAGTTTTTGTCCTGTTAGATCTCTGCCTTCAGGTTAGAGAGTGTTTGTGCTGATTGCAGTGAGTGGTACTGCTTGAATGCTAGTTGAGTGGATATAGCTGGAGTGTAGATGCAGAATCTGATGTGTGCAGATTCACACATCAGCTGTGGCAGGGTATCCCCAAAGCCTTATGAGGAATGGTTGAGGGAGTTGGGTATGTTTAGCCTGGAGAAGTGAAGATTGAGAGGTGATATGATACCCATCTTCAAATATCTGAAGGGCTGTTGCATGGAAGATGGAACAAACTTGTTTTCTGCTGCTCCCGGGGGTAGGACCCAAAGCAGTGGATTCAAATTACAGGAAGGGAGATTCTGTCTAAACATGAGAAAGAACTTTCTGGTGGTAAGAGCTATTCAATTGTGGAATTGACTACCTCAGAGGTTGGATGGTCAAGGATATGTTAAGGGTTTCTCAGCTATGATCCCTGCATTGCAGGGGGTTGGACTAGATGACACTAAGGGTTCCTTCGAACTCTACAATTCTATGATTCTAGGATACTGAAAATGAGAATGTGGAAAGCAGGCCTGTGAAAGCCAGGAAGAGGAGAAACTTGGTTTGGTGGGTTCCCTCTGAGTGAGAGACAGCATAAGGAGAGTTGTTATGAAGTTACTACCTTCCATCTGAAAGTGTGGGATGTGCCCACTACTGGACCTTTGTTTATCTGTGGCCTTAATTGCCCAGCTGTATAGTATGACATTGGATTATGGTGCCAGGATGTGTCTGGATGGGCAGGTAGGAAGGAGTTGTGAATATGTTCCCCCACTTTCAGTGGTGATGGGCGGGGGAAAGTATAGCTGGAGTTGTGTGGCTAACTGGGAATGTAACTGGTCTATCAACTGCCCTGTAGCCCAGTGGCAGAGCCCCATGGGACTGTTTTAAATGGTAGTTGGTCCAACACATCAGGCAGGGCACAATCTTGATGTTGTCTTTAGCCCAAGTGATATGAGGGATAGATCAAACTTTTTTTGGTGGTGGTGGGGGTGCAATTCAGTCCCTTGTCAACATTAGTAGTAATTAGTAGTAAAGTAGGCCTATTTGGATGGCCCACTCTCCGAGACTAAAGGAACTTGAGGAGCTCCTGAATTCTTGAGGAATTCCTAAACAGTCTGAACAATCCTGTTGATGCTTCACTATGGAGTAGTGAGATGAAATGAGTGGTTGACATATTCGCTCCTGAGCATCCTCTATGGCGTTGTGGAGCTAGGGCAGCTCCTTGGTATTCTAGAGAGCTTCGGGCTATGAAGCAAGCAGAATGAAGACACAAGTCTCACTCTGAAGCTGACTGAACGCTGGTTAGTGCAGTAACTGTGCCAACCATGTGGCAGTGCATGCAAGTTGCAAAGAAGGCTCATTCACAGCTTGCATTGCATTCTCTAGTCACTGGCCAGTGGAATTATTTCAAACATTCTGAAGGTTACTGACTTCCACAGAGGGGGAAGGACCTCTGGAGCATTAGAGGACCTACTGTGACCAACTGGCTATATATTTTGAGGATAAAGTCACTTGACTTCAGAGTGACCTTAATTCTGCGGTTATTGCAGTTCTAGATGAAATACCCAATGCCATAGTCAATGATGTGTTGTGAGATCAGTTTCAGCTGATGCAGTTTGCTGATGTAGATAAGGTCCTGGCTGTATGCCTGACCATGTATCCTCTTGATCCCTGTCCCTCCTGGCTTATTAAAGCTAGCAGAGGGGGTTTGACTGTTTGGGGCCAGAGTGTGGTTGGCACTGAAGTCCGTAAGGGGATGGTGTCTACTCCCTTGAAAGAGGCTGTGGTGCAACCTCTCCTGAGGAAACCAGGCCTGAACCCCTTGGACTAGAATATCAACCAGTTGCAACTACCTTTATTGGGGAAGGTGGTGAAGAGAATTCTGGTAGGGCAGCTGCAAGCATTATTGGATGTCATGGATTATTTAGGTCTGTTTCAGTCTGGGTTCAGGCCTGGCCATGGGATTGCGTCTTGGTTGCCCTGATGGATAATCTTTTCAAAGAGTGGGACAAGGGGAGTGCAACTTTGCTTTCTCTTCTTGCTCTGTTTGCAACTTTCAGTATCATTGACAATGGTATCCTACTGGACTGACACTGTCAAATGGGAATTGGAGGGCACTGTATTCCAATGGTTCCTGTCCTACCTACAGGACAATGCTTTTAGGGAGAGTGCTTTGTGGTCCTTTGCACTTACATGAAGCAGGATGACACTATTCTTTCCCCAGTGATATTTAATATTTACATGAACCTGCTTGGAGTGATCATTAGGAGTTTGTGGGCAATGAGTTATCAGTATCCTAATGACACTTCACTCTATTTCTCCATCACACCTGCATCAGGGCAGGTGGTGCGGGCCCTGGACTGGTGCCTGGATCCAGTGGTAGGATGGGTGAAGGAAAATATGTTAAGCTTGAATCCTGGCATGACAGAAATACCGTGGATGAGCGATTCTTTAGTCCAAGCAATTAGTCAACTGATTTCCCTGGATGCGCTCTCTCTGAAGGAGCAGTTTGGGGGTGCTTCTGGAACCTGTTCTGCCAGTGGATGCCCAGGTAGCCTCATTTGCTAGAAGTGCCCTTTACTTCATGCAACTAGGGTGACACCAACAGCCAGTCCTGAACCAGGATAGCTTGGCCACAGTAGTTCAAGCATTGGTGACTTCAAGATGGGATTACTGCAGTGCACTGCAATTCAGTCTTTGTGGGGCTTCCCATGCACTTGAACCAGAAGCCGCAATTAGTTACTGCACCGTTACTGACAGGAATGAAACCCTGTCTGCATATACTGCATGTACACCCTTGCTTGGAGTTCTGCACCAGTTGCCCATTTGCTACCAGGCCAAGTTCAAGGAATTACTATTAGAATATAAACCCTTAACAGCTTGGGGCCATTTTACTTGCAAGATCACTTTACTCCATATATGCTCCCTCAACTGCTTTGATCTGCAGAACTGACAGCGTTAATGGTGCCACATAATACTTGTTCAATACTTACAAGAAATTGTTCTTCCTGTGTAGCAGCACCTATACTTTGGAACTCCCTGCCTGCTTAACATCAGGCAGGTACCTTCGCTGTAATTTTCACCACCTGCTTAAAACATTTTTGTTTCGGCAATCCTATTCAGACATGTAGAAGCTACATAAGCATCTTCTCTTTTTTTGCTAGTGTTGATTATGATAGTCTTCTACATGTTTTTAAATACCTATTTTAACTGTTCTTATACTGAGGTTTAATGCTTTATTTTATACTTATGTAAACCACTTAGAGGCCAGTAAAGCGAGATGAGCGCCGCAACCCCAGCGTCGTCCGCAACTCAATAGTCAGGGGTCCCTTTACCTTTAAACCACTTAGAGGTTTTCTTACAGGCAAGCAGTATTTAAAATTTGTTAAATAAATAGAATAAATCTCTATCCCCATGCCCAGAATACATTCTGGATTGTCCTGTCATCTCAGTAAAAAAGAAAAGAAAAACAAGTATTTAAACACTGATAATTGTTGAACTCCCCTAGAATATGCAGAGTGGAAGTTTCCAGTGTTGGGAGGAGTGGAAAGTTTTTAAATTTCATAATTAAAGTAGAAATTGGTTTGCTATTCTTTGACTGACTGTTGAGCATTACGACCAAAAATTTCCATGTTGAATGCCAAGTGTGTAGACAACTAAATAAAAGGGTTTCTCTCTCTTCTCTTTTCAGGGATGCCAAGCATCTCTTAATCTTGGGTCACTAGAAATCCCCTGATTTCTGGATACTAAATCTGGAAAAGATTATTCTGGAAGAAAGCTAGTAAAATAAGTAAAATATGCTAGCTGGCTGGTGCCACTGGCATGTATTCCAGGTGGGCCACTAGTCCCTTGTTATAACCTGCTTTCTGAGCAGAAATATATACCCCCAGGATTCTTGGTCTCAATCTGAATCCAGTCCATCACTTAGTAGCCATTCTGATTGCTAACTTGGACCAGCAGTCCCTTCTTTTTCATGGATACTGCACCTGTCAATGATGCCTCATCAAAGAACTAGAGTTGCAGTAGTGATGCATACCCAGGCAACTGGGGTTTCGGAGATCCTTTTTCTGTTCTCTTTCTCTCAGTTGTTTTCCAGGATGTTGTTGCCTTTGCTGCTGTTCCTGGGGAACGGATGGATGGTTGTTTCTGCCAGCCCGAATGTGTCTGCCATCCCTGTGAAGTTGTGGGCCTGTCTGCCGAAAGGAGGAGTAGCTGAAGCAAGGTTGCTTTGTCGCATGCATGGATTGTATGCCAATGGATCCAACCCTGGAGTGTTCCAGAGCTTCTACATGTTCCATGCCGTCTCAGACTCAATCAGCTGCCACTGGAGAGACATAGCCAATTGCACCCTCAAGACCAGTGGAGAAGTTGGACATTTTTGTTACAGCATGCAGACGGCCAGTTCAAGTGTTCGCATTCCTGTTTCTTGCCGACCTTTGCCTACACACCTGGATTCTCGTTCAGCCGAAAGCAGCAGCATCCAGGATGGTTCATGCGATGTTGCCCTCATTTCTGCTGCTTTATGGAAACCTGGTGCACCGCTGCATCTGCGAACTGTTGTTGGAACCCAGAACACTAGGTTTCCTGGAGATCAGTTCCAGCTGTCCTTGATTTCGCCCTCTGGAAAGAACATCACCCGCCTAATCGTTAATTGGGAATCTCAGGAGTGGGAATTAAATGGAATGGACTTAATTAAACAGGGGCCACCAGACTGGGTGGTGCCGATCAGGGGGACACGCTGTGACCAACAAATGTCCTCTATCAGGTTTAAATTCTATGGTTTTGTTGCCATCACAGAGGAAATAAGTGAGCAAGGTTCATACCGGGTAGAATTTGGCTCTCAAAACAAAACAATTCTTACATTTAATCCCCTGATCACAGACATCCTCCCACTTCGCCGTTTGACCAACCCCATCATTGGGTCTCATGTGTTGAAATTAGATCAGCCTGAACAAATTGTCATGCACCCCCAGACCTCACTAAAGGAGGTGCAGATTCATTTTGAGGGTTTGAATGTGTCACAGAGAGCACCTCAATGTGCTCCCTTTCTCGGAGTCAGCCACAGAGGTTGGATGGAGTGGGTTAAAATGTGGGATGGAGTACATCATGGGGAAAGGGTTAAAAGAGAACTGATGGATTGGCTTGGGCCCCTAGGAGCAGGTCTTTCTTTCATAGATGCAGCCAACATAGAAGTCTTGGCTAATAAACTTTCATATTCCACAAAACAAATAGGGAAACTGACTGCTCCATTAACCAAATCTCTCTTGCAGCTCACAGAACAACCACAAGCTATCAGTAAAGTGCTTCCAGTCTGGGAAGCAATATTAGAAGAGGACAGCATGTTGATTGTGTCTGGAATCCAGTCGCTCCAAAGCAATGTTTCATTGGCTTTAGCATGTGAACAGGCACAAGCAATCACACAGAATGTAGTCATGGGAATGATTCGAGAGGCCAAGGCGGGAAACATTCCCATGGAGGTGAGCAATTTAATTCGGCCAGAGCTCACTTCAGGAGAAATAGCTTTGGAGAATTGGTGGAGGTTGCTAAATGCATCTTATGATTCTGCCCAGAATATGCTGCGGTTATTTTTAATAACCGTAGAAGCCACCCAGATCATCCCAATCTATCCAGTGGTCCCCTTGGGATTCCAGATTGACAAGGATTTGGTCATGTATTCCAGGGACTCCAATAGGTGGGCACGGATGAGGAATGGTGACTGGCAAACAGTTAATGTGCAAGGTTGTGTGAAAAGGGAAAACTTGGGCTTTGTATGTGAAGACAACAGTTTAGAAGAACACCACGAATGCTTCTCTCCTCAGCTTGTAAATAGTTCCCACTGCTCTTTTGATGTAATCCAAGAAGAAAGTTCTATTGTTGTGTATACTGGGAAGGGCTGTATTTGTGTAAGAACGCCATGTGAGTTTGTAATCATTAATGGTCTGGTTATCCAGCCTATGCTGCCTTATCTTAACCGTTGTTTTTGCAATATTAGTGTGCTTGTAGGCTGTGATTTCCAATTTCGGGTACCTGTTTGGACTGTGCAGCACATGAAGGCTTACCCATCTTTGTATCGAGAAATCTCGCCTATTTCTCTAGGCCTTGGCCTTTCTACTCTGAAAAACCTGCTTTCTCACCCCTCCCTGAAGCAGGAATTGTTGAAAATCAAAGACATGGGTGAGAATGCTGCACTTGAGATTCTGCATAGCAATAGGGAGATTGCCCAGATTGTAGCCACAGTTAAATCTGCTGGAGACCACGCTTGGTGGGAGGTGCTTCTTGGATGGTCTCCAAGTTCAAATGGAGTACTAAATATTGCTCTCCACCCTATTGTGGTGATTTTATTATTTCAAGTGGCGCTAGTGATCAGTTTGTTGCTGCTGGTCGGCTGGATGAGGCGGCAAACACAAAGACTTTATGATTTAGAGAACCAGATACAGGCCGCCAGAGGAAGCCTGTGATGGGAATACTTGCTAGAGCAAACACTCCTTTAATGGAAGGACGTTGCCAGATACCACAATTGTGATTTTAAGCTTCCATCTTGTCTGTTTATGGTCAGCTGACATGGTCTAGCAGCTAAGGACAAGATGCTTGACCTCCAGAACAGTCACATTCTATTGAATGGCTGTGAAGAGACAGGAAAGATCTGTTGTATGTGGTTGTCAGTAGGGAAAGCCCAGTGCATGAGATCCTGTATAAATGGAAGGGCTATGCTCAGTTTTAGAAACGGAGATATGAAAGCTAGGAGCTAAATGGCACCTTAATCCTAGGTTATGGGTGCAACAACAGAATGTCTAGGCGTGCTTTTTTATAACAAGAATACAAAGCTGAAAATGAATGAACTGCAGCTAAAATCGTATGTTCATTTTTCACTTAGTCTAGTCCTTCCCCTGCCCACCCACCTAATATTCTTAAGAGGGTCTCTTCTCCAGTCTTCAGACAGTAGCTGGAAGTGGGGAGGCAGAAAAACGTCCTCCTGCAGTTTTAATCTGAAATCTTAGGCTCAGTACTGTACCCAGAGCTCAGAAACTGCTCAAGCTAAAGAAATTCCCTGTTGCAAAAGGCGCCTAGAACAATGGGAGTTTCGAACACTGGCTATGCTTGATCGGGGCACTTGCTCTACACAGCTATGACCTATACATGAATAACACAAGCACAGAGCTGGGGAAAAGGGCAGAGCCTAACCCTAACCACCCTGCACTACAGAATCCTTGGATTCAGACTGTTGAATGGGAGCCATCCATGCTGCTGGCATTTATTGAAAACACACCTATTGGTTCTGCATTTCCTGATCGTTAACACTGGATCATACAGCCTGGAATTTTTAATATGTGTGCATATAAAAATGTTTTTTAATGTTTTAATATTGTAAACCAATTCAGTATTTTTAAATAGAAAGTAGTCTAGAAATATTTTTAAATAAATAAAATCCTCTGCATCCAATTGCAATCTATTTATCTTGCGTGTGCACACAATCCCACACACCCAGCAGTAGTACTTTACCTGGGAAATAACCAGGATCATTTGTTTTTATTTCTCTAGGGGCTTTGTACTCTGAAATGAAATGAGCGTAGAACTTTATTAATTTTTTCTTCTACCAGTTGCAGTACAGTACAGAGAAGCTTTATTCATGGAGCTTAAGTTGAGATTCCATAATACAAGCACTGTAGGATTCATTTATTTCTCCTGTCCATAACTTGCCTATTCCTTGGGATGCTGTTCCATGGTCTAATGTCCTTGGGAAACGTTCCAGACATTCTGGCTATCTCTAGCAGTAGCATACACTTAGCAGCGCCTCCTGTTTTACAGCCAGTATGATTGGTTGTCTGCCAAAGAGATATGCTTTGCCACCTGAGAAGGTCTGGGACAGTACCAAAAGAGCACAGTGGCAGCTGCTCACATACACAAACCTGAAAATAATATACCGTACTTGGAAAAACAAAAATGGGAATTATTATTTTTCTGAAAAACTTAAATAAAAATAAATCCTAGGCATAAACCAATGTATAAACTCATTAGCTGTTGACCCTTCCTCGTAAATTCAGTTCTGGGAATTGGCTGCTGCCTCATATGTTTGTGTACACAAAGCAGGTAGTGGACTGCTAACATGTGGCCTTACTTTAATGGCAGTGAGTACAAATTGAAATAGATGTCCTGCTGGAATGGTGCTTGCTCCTCTGTAGTCTTTGAAAATCTAAATTTGATTCCCAAACTTTTGGGGCACCCAAGGTTCTGCTCACCAGGCCTTCCTACTGTATTGTGTCTCTTCTCCATTAATTCACCTTCCTTTATGGCTTCCTCTTTGGGCTGCTTCTTCTGAGTTTCCAAGGACTCCACTGTTAACCTCACAATCTGCCATGGGTGCTGGTCATAAGAAATACCTTATGAAGGGATGCTTTTAAAGACATTCCCTTTATAGGTTAAAAGGGAAATCGTGTAAAATGCATAAGTGAGACAAAGAGATGTAAGGCGTTGTTGTAAGAATGACATAGTGGAAGTAGTACTCCATTTAGTTTGAGGAGTAATGCCTCATGCTACTATCCCCCTCCAGGTGTTCTACTCTTGCTGTAAAAGCAACACGGGAGTGACAAATGTGTTAAGCTCCTGCCATTGCCATCCTTCTTGCCTCCATGAGCTGCTATCTGAAGCAGAAAGCCTCCTGTACTCATGGAAGCTTCCTACATGATTTAGCACTCCAATTTTTTCAGCATTAAAAAAACACCACCCCACAGCTTTTTGAGAATATTACCCTTGTAGAGGGAAATATGGACAGCACGATCAGAACTTAACATTTTCATCCCCACTTGCATGTTGTTATTTGCACATAAGCAGAATGTCTTAAGAAGGCTATTCTAATGCAGTAAGTCTACAGTTTGAATTCTCACCTGAGTGATAGGGGAACCCTCTGTTTTCTCTTTGTCTCTCCTTCTGCAATAAAGAGAGAATAGTGCTAGCCTACTATACTGGGAAGTTTTAAGGACTCCTGAGCTCATGGACATTAAAGGCTTTGAATGCTTGATACATGCTATATAAATGCAACGTATAATGTGAAAAGGGTGTTCTGTTGGTTGGATCAAGTGTTGTAACAAAAATATGCAATTTATTGGGGGGAAAGGAGGAAATTGGATCCAGCTGGATTAGTGCAGATCCCTGGACAAAAATATTCAATTGGCAAACTACCTTATAAAAATAAAATGTGTACTGATGCCAGATATTGTAACCACAAATTTAAAGATTTAAATGGACTCAATCCATACTTAAAATTAGCAGTGTGTGCTAATTTTATAGGGTGAGAAAAATGCAGGCATACGGTCATGCCAGATGCTTGAAGAGCTGACTAATTTAATAGTAAGTTATTTCACAAAGCACTGTGCCACTTGAGTAGAGGGCATTGTCAACAGCTGCTAGTCCATCAGGAAATCCGAAAACAGATCATAAGCACTTTAAAAAACATATTTTTTTTAAAAAGCAAGTTCCGTTCAGAACTTTTGGCATTGAAGTCTACAGGGGGGTTACATGTATTTTAGACTACTATTGTAGCAACCTGAAACATGTCACTGTCCCCTAGACTGACTGGTGCTTACCACTGGGTTCTATTCACTTCAGTGGGGCAATGATGGGGCAACATTACTGAAGCCAATCTGGGTCTGGGATCTTCTGCGTGCAAAGTAGATCCGTACCACTGAGCCACAGCTCTTCTTCCATCATCTTATTCGAAAGCAAAAATGGGGCAGGTAAGGTACCAGAATACAGTGGTACCTTGGGTTACATACGCTTCAGGTTACATACGCTTCAGGTTACAGACTCTGCTAACCCAGAAATAGTGCTTCAGGTTAAGAACTTTGCTTCAGGATGAGAACAGAAATCGTGCTCCTGCGGCGCAGTGGCAGCAGGAGGCCCCATTAGCTAAAGTGGTGCTTCAGGTTAAGAACAGTTTCAGGTTAAGAACGGACCTCCGGAACGAATTAAGTACTTAACCTGAGGTACCACTGTATAGGGACTGCCCCGGTAAAGAGCAGTAGGAGACAGTGCTAAAAGGCTCCTGTGTGAAGCAGAAGGATCACGAAAAGCATGTTAAGCATTTCATGTGAGAAATGAATTTCTGCAGAGGTGGCCAGCAAATCCTGAAACTGTAAACTGGGCAGATTCTAAAATACTCCTGTGCAAATGGTGATTAAAAGTGGCACACTAGAAGAAACATTCCATGCTACATTTTAGCTATCTAACTTCTGTGTTATTTCCCATAAGATACATCTTGCCTGGGCACGCATAGATGTAGTAAATAAAACATGTGACTTTGCACAAAAACTCAGAATCTGAGTTTGCTAGTGGAGGGAGTGATTAGATTGCTGACTAGAAAATCAGTTGTGGGGATTTGGTTTGAGAACATGATCAGCCTCACAGGGTCACCAGTCTCTTATCCCCCACTGCACTTGTAAACATTGCAGAGATTATTGTCCTCTCACCACCGCCCCCCTTTGCTAAATTTTCTTCTCATGAGGTTTATACTCATAGACAGAAAAGGTACATGTGTCACAATAACTTGAGCTGTGTAATACTGTGAAGTATGCAAAATGGCACCACCATAGGCAGGCCATACTCAAACACTGCCTTGCTGAAGCCAAGTCTACACTTATTTTTTTCAACTTGGAGGAAAGTTCCACTCAGAGGAAGAAGGAGATGGCTGACCGCAGGAAAGACACAGTAACCTTTTTACTGGCCTTGCTCAAGTGCTTTTAGAAACAGTTGGATGTGAACAGTTAAGCAGGTGTGACTTTTCCTGGCATGAACTTAATCAGCTCTTTAAATATGTTTGTGTGTTGCTGCTAAAGTCATAGGAGCAAAACCTCTGGGTATAGGATGGTATACAATAATAAAAAATAAAAAATAAGGTGGCCGCACTCCTCAAAATTCAGCTTTCAGTATTTCGCAAAGCCAGCCAATATGGAAGGAATTGGAATCAGGGTTTCTCTCAAGGGAAAGTCTCATTGTGTTCCAGACTAGGGATTGTGCATATTATTTATATAAACGTTTCTGTACTACCTCTTGGTTTTAGAAATATGGTTAATGAAAGCAAGATCACAGCAACAAGGCAAGTGACTTTTCCAATGAAAGGTAATCTAGGCATGAAATTCAAGGTGAGCCAAATGCCGACTGTTCAGTCCAACTTACAATTTACAAGGAAGTGGAACAGGAGCTGGAGGAAATGAGAATAGAGACCTGAGCAGAAGCTAGTATAGCCCAAGGAAGCTGAGAAGAAGACGACGACGACACAGAAGTACTGTAACCTGTTGCAATCAGGAAGTACTTGGAAGTACTGTCCAAGATTAGCAATAGCCAAAGAGCAGTGGGAAGGCTCTACATAATGAAGTTTGTTTTTTTTAATAAAAAAAAATAGCAGCAGAACCTTCAGACCAAAGATTGAATGCGATGGCAAGAAAGGCGGCTGCCAACACCCAGGGCTGGTTGCGTACATGAACCAAGTTTAGCACTTGTTGGCCAAGGTGCAGCTGAAGAAGCTGGAGCAGCTGCTGGTGGATGGGCTACAGCATGAGCATCCTGAGCGTGGAGGCACTTCTGGACTTCCTGGTTGGCCTCTGCACTGAGTGCAATCGTGATTCGCTGCCCCAAGGGATAGGCTTGTCTCAGGCTTCCTCAAGTAGGAGTGAACCTCCTGATTACTGAGAGCAATGTGGGCAGGCTACCCAGAGTCAGTATCCACGTTTCCACTGGCGGTAGGCCCAAGAGTCCCACCATCTCCATCATGGTCCACAACCTGAGGACCCCAGCCAGCACAGCATCTGCCTGAGCCAGCTTAACAACGGGCATTATGGGTATTTTATGTGTATTTTAATGAACTAAATAGAATGAAGGATCATGAATCATGGAGGCATGCAGAGTGTCTGCATGAACCTAGTAGTGCTTAGCTTGTTTTTTTAGTTGCTGTTTTGTTGATGTTGTTAATATTGTTTTATAGATTATAAATGCTGTATTGATTGTTAATCATATAATATGCTTTTTGCTGTAATTGTGATGTTTAGCTTAATTCTTTAGTTGCTGCTCTGTTAATAGTGTTTTATAGATTGTAATTGTTTTAGAGATGATTTGTTAATTATTTTATATGATTGATGCTGTATTTGTGATTTTTATTATGTCATTGTTATTTATTGTTTGTAAGCCACTTTAAGATTCATTTGAATGAAAAGCAGCATGGAAATGCAATAAATCAAATATTCAGCTGACATATGGAATGTGCATAGCATATTCTCTTCAGTAACTAGGAGGAGAATACTAGAAAGAGACAGTAAGAGCCATAAATATTTACACATATTCTCTTTTTCTGTAGAACTTCAAGGAGGTAGTGAGTCAAAATCCAGCAATTGAACGTATGCAAAAGTTGCTTAGCTAGGCTGGTAAAGTTATTGAAGAGAGACCACACAGTTATTTAGCATGAATTTGTGCACCTGTGCTTTATTTTGATTTTACTAGTGGCATGAGCAGATGACTCCCACCACCTTTCTTTTGACAGTAGAAATGCTGATTGTGGCTTCAGTTTCCTATCTGCCCAAGACACGGGAGTGTGTGTGAGAGAGAGAGAGAGCAGATAAAATCTCAGACAGAAAGAAAAAAAAATCTCAGACAGAATGAAGGAGGAGAATGTTCTCAACGCTAATTCTCTTAAATGAGATCTTGTCCTGGTCATGATGTTGGTGATGTGGGCACAGTCTGTTGGGAACTTGAGTGAGCCTCCCTGGAGCATTTTCACAATTGTTATCCTAATGCTGCTAGCTGACAGTAGCAGAAAGCTTCCCTTCCCCACTCATTTTATATAGTCAATTAAAAAAACACACCCTTTCATCTTGTGTCCTTGGAGCCAACCCCTGAATCGCCTTATGGGCACAATGTTCCTTTGTGTTTGTGCTGCTCTCTGCTTCCTTCACTCTGTTTTGATTACTTACTACTGCTAACAGCTGCTTTCCGAGTTGCTGTGTTAGCTTTACTTAGGATGACGGCTGGTCTTGCTTTCATCTGCTGAAATGGGTGAGGCTTTTAAGCGAGTGCTAATTCCACAGGAAACAAATCCCCCTGCCATCTTCGGAATGCAGGGTGTTGCAACAAAAACACAGTTGTATGAATATGGGATTTTCAGAGATCTGGATAAAGCGTTATAGGCGCAGTAACCATGCAGAACACTTGCAGCCTGATTTGAAGCATCTTGTTTAAAGGTAACTTTCACTGATTTCAATGAGAAATATTGTTAAGTGTTAGGATTGTGTGCTTTATAACTGATGCCAGCTTAGGACAAAGTGTGAACTTTTACCAGAGACTTGAGCAGTGTTGCAGATTTTGTCTGCAGTGCAGACGAGATAACGGTCCCCAAAATTCTGAAAATGTTATTTTCAGAAAAGGATTCCAGATTGAAACCATAATACCTCTAACCTAGAAGCTGACAAGCATGAGATGAGTGAATTAGCACTCTTCTGCTTGTGATTCCCAGCAACTGATCTTCAGAGATATCTGGAACCAGGATCCTGAAGGTAACCATGATCATGAGCCTTAAAGTTGCACCAAATGCTCCTGGAGGTTTGACATGCACTGTTTTTCATAGGGAAAATTAATGCCTCTAAGTGGGTGGACCATATTTGTTCTACTTAAATAGCTAGCAGTGTTGTTTTGGGCTTACTGAAATGAACAGATTTGTATGCAGCAGAGACAGCACATTATATTCGAGTCCCGGTATATTGTAAAGAAAGTGAACAGCGGCATAACCTTCTAAAATAAAATACCCAAGCCCATTGAGTGACTGTATGTGCTTTAGTATATGCCTTGCCTTGCCTAGCTTAATCTCAACCCTGCACTAGATGCTTTTCCTGAACGTCTTGCATTCATTTTTTATGCAGGTATTAAAAACCGGATTCACTTCATTACTTTCAAACTACAGTGAATAGTTTTTCCTCTGTGTGTGCCATTTCCTACAGTGCAAGTGTGGGGAAGAGGGCCAAGGATAACACTGCATGTGAATGGGGTCTCAGTTTCCTTTTATAAGGCACTAAAGGGGAGCTCTCTTCACTTGTTTAAAAGCATGCTGTATTATTTTTCTCACTTCTTTCACATGATTTCACTGTAAATGAAAACAAATGTTGTTTGAGCAGAACCTTGGGAGGCACCTTCTTTGATCCCTAACATAGATAAATGCATAGAACTAAAGCTCTGAGCAAGAAAAGAAGTGATCCTGCATTTATTTTTGTAAATACAGGCAGAAGCAAGTGTTTGTGCTTGTATGACACATACAAACGCATCCACACTTTTCCTCAAGGATCTGAAATGCTTTTAAGATTGTTCACTGTGTCTCACACAGTCACTTTTAGAAATAGAGTTGGGAGGATTTGGGTGTCAGTTTTATTTTTCAGCACTTACATCTGTAGCTTTTTATATAGCCATATGATTGCTTTCCTACAACTTCCTTGATCTCTCATATTCTAATGTAGAACTTTCCCATTAATTGAGTGCTACTTAGTGCTGTGAGTTCGTAATGTATAAAAGTAGCAGGATGCAACCCAGCTGATAGAACTGAACTCTCCTCCACCAAAGAGATGTTCAGTTTTCTCCAGCTGTTTTAAGGAGTCTGTGTGAACGAAACGAGAGTGTTCTGTACATTTATTGTTAGAAGTAGCATTACTATTATTATTAGCCTTGAACACAGATTTCAAAACCTCTCTTTGGCTCAGATGCGTATCTCCAGGAAACACTGAAATGGCTGCATGGAAACAGCATCCCTAAGGCAGGCCAAAGGATTAGCATCCAAAAGGCTGCCTCTCCATCTATTGCATACTTCATTTTTGTTTCTCTCCTGCACTCTGAATCCTCATACAGCAAACCTCGGCTTTAGATTCACACAAACATCTGCCCGCAATTCTGGAGCACAGGGGAAGGGGGAGTGGATAAGTAGAAAACTTTACTCATAGAAATCAATGTTATGCTGCACAATCTCGCCCCCCCAACCCCTTATTTCTTTAACTATAAAAATATGTTTTCTTAATTACACACACACCCCACTTTTAACTTAATTGCTCTAAGAAAGAAAGGGGCTTGGATATTAAGTATTCCTGCTTGGCCAGGCATCAGAATTGATGCAATGCTCACAACGAACGGAGCTGCTGATTATTTGCATGAGTTGGCACACTTTTTGACTCAGGATGAATTCAGTGGAAAGCCATTCTTACAGCTATTTTCCATCATGATGGTGATGCATTTGTAAAAAAAAAAAAATAGATACAAAAGAATGAGAGTGATTTCTCATGGCGAGACTCCTCTTCAGGGTTATGTCTTAAGTTTGCTAAAAGGGTCAGTATGTTTGGTGTCCTTGGGCAGGGCCTTAGAGATTCAACTCACAGTGTTTTTACCCCCTCCCCCTTTGCTTCCTGGGTTAGACATTCTGGGTATGGTTAATCATAGAAACAGGAAGAGATGGGAAACTAGCCCATCTTACATTTCTGTCTGCAAAGTTTGCAATGATAGTTTGGCTGCATTGACCTGGGTATGAAATGTTATTTACTTATGAAATGGATAGCTTGTTAGTTGGTAATGAGCTAGGATTCTGTAGAGAGCATTAAGTATATGTAAATATTTTTTCCTTCTCTTGATAAAATGGCATGTTTCAGTTGTCCACTCTGAGAAATTCAATTTCAATATCTTACTTTAGCCTTAGTTTTTCAACTGGTAGATCTCTAGGAAGAAAATCAGATAATATCTACTAGAGGAGGTGTTATTTAGTGATACAACCTTTCTACTACGGTCTGGGCTCAGTGCCACCAAATCATTTTGCATCAGCAACCAGCCAGTAGATGTTTCTTTTTCACCTCTTTAGAAGGCAGAACACTGGTGTGAATGTTCTTAGAGAGAAATCATTTAACATAGCAGACAGAAGGATAATATGATCAGTTGGCTGGCTGCTAAAACTTAGGTCTCAGCTAGATTGGTAAAGAAAAAGCATTTTATATGTTCAGGTAGGTAGCCGTGTTGCTCTGGTGCAGTTGAAATAAATAAAAAAATTGTCCAGTAGCACCTGAGAGACCAACTATGTTCTGGGTATAAGCTTTCGTGTGCATGTATCTGAAGAAGTGTGCATGCACATGAAAGCTTATACCCAGAAAATACTTAGTTGGTCTCTCAGGTGCTACTGGACAACGTTTTTGTTTTATATGTGTTGTATATGCATTATAACACTGTGACACCAGATGGCGCTGTGGAGTCCCGTTTTTGCCAACACGATTTCTTATACAAAATTTACAACACGTTTCCCTGAAACTCTTCTTTGATGTATCTAGATCCAACCCTAGGAAGGTCAGGCTAGAAAGAAGGCACATTTCTATAATAGGGAATTGAGATTTTGTTCTCATCAGTGTACCACTGCCCAGATACAAGGGACTGATTGCTAATTGCTGAATATTTTCCCCAGCATTATAGCATATTTTGTAAGCTTGGTACCATTCTGTTGTATCTGATAGCAGCTTCTGCCACAGGGTTAAGTGCACAAAAGTTATATATCAATGTTTTGAATTTAAAAGGTGCATACCTGGCCATGAAATATCTAACACCTGTGCCACGAAGTCTGATCAATATATTGGAATCTTGCACTGAGATTACAGTATAAGGCAGGTGGGCTTATAAATAGCAGTGAAGTCTTCTGCGTGGTATTTGTATGCTGTGCTTCAGTTTTGTTTTACTTTGCTTTGTTTTGTTTACCCTTCAGTTTTATTTCGTGGTGTATATGTTGATTATTATTATTATTATTATTATTATTATTTAATTACAATTGACTCCCATTTCCTCAGTTAGGTGGGGTGAGGGTGAGGCTTGATTGTCGTTCTGTCGCAAGACAGGAATGCACAGCAGATCTTCTTGTTATTGCTCCTTGTGCCTGGATCAGGCTCAACATCTGCTTACAGTAAGAAAGCACACAAGTGATTTTGGCAGCAAAAAGGAGGATTGGTTATAACATGTTGAATAAAAATAAACCTAAGCTGGGTGTCTCAGCGCATGGGTGTCTCAAAACATCATCGAAAGTGGTGTGATCCCACCTGAGCTGGAGAGGTGGTGACTCCAGCAAGTACCGTAATCAGTCATGCTAGCTACTTCTTGACAGCTCAGTATATGATTGAAATTTGATAGCTAGCCTGTGCCTTTTGTCTGATACTGTCTGTGTTTTAGTCATGAAGTGTCTAGTTGCAATTTTGTGCTGGATTTATTAACTCCTGTAAATAAATGAAGTGTGTTGGGGACCCAGTAAACAGTGTCAGTTCTAGAGACCTTTTGATGCCTGTCCTTCCACGGATTTCTTTTTTGACCTACTTCATCTGTACAAATATATAGGTGTTCAATTTAAGTATACTGCAAGCACCTTAATTTCAAACTGCTTCAGAAGCAAAATGAAACTGCGTCTGTATATACCAGTATCTGCTTCCCTCAACTCATATAACCTCCTGTCTTATAAATGCAAGTGAAGATTCCACTCTTAAGTGCATACATCCATAGCCTAACTGGCAGGGATAGTGCTCTTAACCTAGATAAATTTAAGTAAATATTAAATTGTTTGAATATTAAAGCCCCCTTTCCAAATTATCATTTTTGTGTGAGACAAACAAGTTTTTGCTCATTTGCTTCTTGCGATCCATGTGCCTTTCCTCAGGTGCTTCTTTGGCAGGGATGTTGTACTTTTTGAGCAAATGACCGCAGCATTTAATCACTGAGAAAATGGAGTGTCAGCTCCTAGCTACCCTGTCTGTCATGACTGTTAGTCCTGCAGGTTACAGTGCCTGTGACATGAGCTCTATCAGTCCTGACCTGTGATGACTATGTTGTTCTATGATCTCTTCAGAAGTTTTATCTGTTGTTGTGTTAAGCATGTTTTTTTAAGAGTTTGAGTGCTCCCCATTACTTTAGTAAAAGAGTGCTCATCTAGCCTTTTAACAACCAAAATATGATTAAAACCAGAAGCCTTATCCTACCCCCTGCAATAGTTTCCTACCTTTGCACTCCATTCTTCAGAGCAGAAGGACTTAATATTTGCACTTATGTGAGCATGCTCAGGCATTCAGCTGTAGAGGCCCATCTCTGTTGCCCATCCAGGACAGATTTTAGGTTGATGGGTACCAGGGACAGGACCTTCTCAGCTGTAGCCCCATACCTTTGGAAGTCACTTCTCTATGGAATATGTTTGTCCCAGTTTCTATTAACTTTTAGGAGAGAGCTTAAATCATTTTTATTTCAAGCCAGGAGGGTGCTTGTTCCCTGACTTGTTAAAAATTAAATAAAGAAACAAACAAATAAATATTAAAAACAGGTAGCAGAAGTAGAGCTGTGTGCCCATGGTAAAACTCTCAGCAAAGCTTCCCAGCAAAGTTAGCTATTCCATTCTGGTACTGTATCCATATCGGCATGAGTATTTTGCCAAAGACAAGTATGCAGGTGGGGCTGTTCTAAAAGCCCTTACACAGCAGAAATAAATCTGTGGGATTTAAATCTGTGGTTTAAAGTGATACGATACTGCAGATAGAATCCTAAAGGCAGCTTTGAGTAAACAGTTGTCATGTACGCAATCCTCAGGTAACTGCTGAATTGCAACTTCTCCATTCATTTGGAGAACAATTATTGCCTTTCACACTACAGGTATTGATTACAGGTGCTAATATTATTGTGTTATCACCAATTACTGATGTTGTGAAGGGTCAGTTTGCATACATTTTAAGGTCTTGTACTGAATTTTTGCATTTCTTTACTGTTCAGCCTTACATTTATTTTCTTTCACACCAAATTGTGTATGCATCCGATGAAGTTGGCTCTAGTCCATGAAAGCTTATGCCACAATAAAAAAAAAAATGGTATTTAAGGTGCCGCAACACTCTTTGTGTATAGAATGAATTTCAATGGATTCTCTGCAGCATTCCCTAAGTTGTGGAATTTCCTCCCCACAGAGGTGCGTCCGGCTTCTTTGACAGCTTTCAGCAAATGCTGAACACGTACCTCTTTACCCTAGCCTGTAACACCTGAGATAGGTGTTTTCAGGGTCCACTCTGTTCCTGTGATTGTACTCTGTTTTAATTTAAAAATCTAAATTGTTGTAACCTGTCCTGGGACCTGCTAGTGAAGGGCAGAGGATGATGATGGCTACATCATTGTAGCATATTGAAAGGCTGTGTGTTTTTAAGGCTAAAATCCAAAGAAATTATATCGAAGATATTGCTCAAATACAAAAAATGAAGAGACTTCTGAGCGAATTAGACATAAATACGTAGGATGTTACTATGTGTTATGAGCAGTTCTGATATTCTTTTATTGTTTTTCATATAATGCAGCTTGCTGGGGCAGCAATCTGAAGATGACTCTTGGGGAGGGGAGAACTTGAGGGGGAGGACGTTCGGCAGAAAAATAGACTAAGAGGAAAGGGTTAAGCTCTGCTGGTCTTGTGCTTCAAATTGCAGCCTCAGCAACTGCATTGAATAGCAAATCCCTCAGCATATAGAGAAATAGTAACATCTCTTTGAGGGGCAGATTACGCAGTGTGGTTTATGTACATACAAGTAGTCTATTCCTGAGCAAACCCTCAAATGGACAAACATAATGTATGAGGTGGATACTCAAGGATGTGATTGTCAGCAGTTCCCATGATTGTAGTAACTGGAAATAGTGCCACTGTGATTATGGGAAAAGTTGCTGGCCATAGTTGTTCTTTCCTGAATTGTATCTTGTTTCCCCATGCGATCCATTCCTAAGGAAGGCCAGGAAATGGAATATGTACACAGCAGATACAATGTAAATTGGTCTTAAGAGGGAAGGTGACCAGGATATGGAAACATTCTGTAAAATGCTCAACACACTCTGGAGATTGTGAGCACCTTGTATTTATGCGGAGGGGAATTTTTTTGCAGAGTTCTGTGCTTGTTGACAGTTCAGAGATTAAAGTGATTGTCCCATGACCAATGGGAAGGCACTTGTATTTTTCGTAGCTTCCTATTCCTTTCCTTATACAACCTTGAGTGGCCCGTGCTCCTCTGTCCTTGAGTTTGAGGACAGCTGTCTTTGCCATCACATCCCAAGCCTGTGAAAATCGGCACATTACCATTGGAATACATTTGCCTAGTTTGCATTGAGTGCCGAGCTTGTGGTCTTAGCACAGATTACCAATCCCTATATACACAGTGGTCCATTGGCCTTCTAAGACTCCATAGCACAATGTTTCCCTGTCAATGCTCTTTAACATTTTCCTTCTCTTCCTTGAAGGCTAGCAGGAACAGCCTGATAGGGGCCCTTTTCCAGACAGACGTGGATGATGCCAGAGCTATGACAGGGACTGCAGTCTGGGCACTGAAGGGTGGTGATCAGTTATGCAACAGCCAAAGGAGGAAGTACCTGAGGTCAGGGAAGAGGAGGAGGAAGAGGAAGAGGCACTGACGGCAGTAGGTGGAACCTCAGACCCAAATGAAGGACCAGATAATTCAGCACCTTCTATCAGCTACACAGGTAGGTTGGGGAAGCAGGCTAATGCATCCAACACATTTTTAAAGCAGCAATAGGTGGCTTTTACAGTGAGCTTTCCCCTCAGTAGGCAAATTTGTCACAATATGACAAATTCATTCTTTTATGCTGATTCCCCACCCCAAGCTAGTTGTCTCGGTATCTCTTTTCCTTTCCACAACACTCTTTATCTCTTGTCTCTGATTATGGTTTTTTGTTTTTGTTCTCCTTTTCTCCCTCTGCTTAGACATTCACCCCTTCTTGATCACTCCTCCCTGCAGATGTCCTGCAGGCTCAGTTCTGAGCCTCTTCTCTCTTGCAATACCCTTCCTCTGTGTTCATGCTTGTACTTTCTTTCTTTTTTTTTTTTTAGATATTTATTAAGATTTTCAAGAAGTTACAAAATAGAAAAAAATAAGAAAAATACAAAAGAAAACAGATACAAAAATAAATAAATAAAAATAGTTAAAAAACAATTCAGTCATCACATATTTTTCATTTACTTATTTCCCGGACCTCCTCGCGCCTTCCTTCTCTGTATTCCAGTTCAAATTATTATTTCAGCAAATCCCTCCCCTCTTTCAAATCCTTTCCCTAATTCATAATATTCTGTCATCACATTACCTTAATCTATTTTCATCTTATCTTATATATATATATAAAAAAAGAAAGAAAAAACCTTAAAGTTTAGAACTTAAATCTTAATTTTTACCAACTTCTCCTAGCCATAACATTCTTACCTAATTCTTTAGACATTTTTATAAGAGCCAAATAATTTCATTTCAACATTTTCCTAACATTCATCAATTTTATAAAACAGTCCTAATGATAAAAATAAAAAAGTAAACAATCCAATCTTCGTCCAGCGTCCCTTCCTCCTGGTCCCGGGTTTTGTCAGTCCTTTTTATCCTATTAATCTAGCACATTAACCTGGCAATCTTATATCCGAGGCCCTCAAGTCTCTTCCATGTCCCTTCCGCTGCTCTTCTTCATATTTTCCTTTTATTCGTGGGAACTCCAGCTTGGTGATGTTTTTGACCCTTTTCAACAAAAAAGTCCCTTTTCCATAGTCCAGACTAGACTTGATGTAGTATTTAAAAACATGTTCCAGATTCCCTTCAAAGTTAAGAGCCCCCACTGCTCCAAACATCTGACGGCCCCTTTCCAGACTCGAAAAGTCCAAATCTCCCTGTATAGGGGGGTCTATCCAACCCCCCATTTCCAAACCAAACCAAATTTTATCTTTCCAAATCTGGTCTTTTCCAAGTTCATTTGTCAAATCCAAAAATTTATATTCCTGCTGGGCCGCAACTCCTTCCGTCTCTGGCGCCCAAGATGCAGCAAAATCCTCTTCTCTCAACTGTTCTGTCATGGCACACTCCTGTTTTAGTTCCTGGGTGGGCTCCATATAGTTTCCCACTACCTGTTCAAAGGTTCTGGCCGCATTAGTCATCAAATCTGTCTTCTGGCTTAACTGATCCAATAGGGCACTTATTTTGCAGAAAGCACCCAAGCTTCTGCAGACATTGTCCTGCAAGGTCACAAACCCTTTCCCACGGTTGTAATCAGTGACAGCTGCAAGTTCCCAAGGATTAGTTACAATTTCACAATTCCCCTCTAGGGGGAAAAACTTCTGGTTGTTCTTTCTCTTAAAAACAATGGCAACAAAGTCTCTTTTTTAAGATATTTTGTCCATATTTGTTCTTTTAAAATGCGAAAGGAGGCAATGGAGTCACTATGTTTCTCTTCTTAACTATCTGTCAAAAACATTTGTTTCTGGTCAATGAGCTTCAAACGTCAATTCTGACACCCCGCTCTAGGATCAGGACGGTGGAAAATTACTTTGCTTTAGATTCACTTCTGCAGGTTTAAACAGCTCAGAAAAGAGATCCCTCTTCTTCTCCTGCTACCGAAGGGGGGTTCAGCGATTTTAAATGGTGAAAGTCAATCCTTTGAAAGTGATTTTTAAGGCTCTAGTTTGCTTTGTCTTTGCTTTGTTCTGGCTACAGGGAAACAGAAGGCTGACTTCCTGTTTAAACCTTTCCGTTTCAGTACCAAATTAAGGTGAATTTTTAAGTCCAAATTCCTTTCTATTTCGCCAGTTCTTATTTAAAGTCCAAATATTCAATGTTCCAGTACTCACGGTTGGTTATTTTAGATGCCTAATTGTCCCAGGAAAAAGGCAACGCTCTCCAGCAACGGCTATGCGGCTTCGCTCCGCAGAAAAAGCGATTGACTCACAGCACCGCGCCACTTCCCCCTCTTCGCTTCGGAGCCCGTTTGTGGGTTCCTTTGCGGGTTTGGGGGGGGCGCTGAGGGTGCCCGCCGAGTCCCACAGTCACAGGCTTCATCCGCCTGTGATTTCCAGAAGGGTCCCCGCTTCGCCGCAGCGGAAAAGACCCGTTTCATGCGGAGCTGGTCCCTCCAGTTCAGAGGGAGTCCGCCATTGCCGATGGCGCCACCCCGGAAGTCCCATGCTTGTACTTTCAGTTTGAACTGCCACCTTTACGTGACTCCTGTATTTATTTATTCTTTCCATCCCTCTTTTCACTTTCTGTCAAGTCCCATGTTTGAACATCTCGCTGACATTTCCTTCTGTGCATCTGCTGATGTCTCTGACTGGCCATGGTGAAAATGGGATTTCTAATGTTTCCATTGAGCCTCTCATTCTTCCCACACCCCCGTTCACTGTCACACACTCACACACTACATCCATGGGGTGATATTCAGCTCCTTCTAATGCTCTTCTTATAGCCAGGCTATGGTCATTCTGCTGATGCTTCCTCTTATTGATACTTTTGGTCAAGTACTTGGCTGATGTTGTAAAAACTATCCATGGTTTTGACAGATATCTATCAGGCTTAGATAGGACTTGGATTTGGCCCACAGGTCACCAGCTGGTCATTTCTGGTTTGGACTTCTGCTTGTTGGCTTCCCTTTGCTTTCTCATATGCGAGACAATTGGGAGCACCCCCACTAAGATGATATTTTTGCCTCTCTTGCTATGATTATGCCTCCTCTCATCTTAATGCCCCAACACGGCTTTCCTATCACTCCTCATGCAAGGAATTCTCACATTTCAGGTTAATGTTTTTGTCTGTGACCCTCTTTCATCTTACTCTCTTCTGCTTATTGCTCCCTCTCTGCTGAAGCTCCTCTGTAAACTACACTTCCTTTGCACCTAATCCAAGCCTCACCTTCATGTTACTCCTCAGGCATGAAATAACTGATGCCACCCACATCCTGTCTATCAAAGACAGCACCAGTTGCTCTGAACTCCCCTAGCACAGGGAACCGTGCAAGTAGTCATGCAACAGGACACAGATGGTTTAATCAGCCTGGACAGGAATTCATTACTGTATGTTCTGTTGTCTCTCCTCTCTGTTGCTGTTGAGCAAGGGAGTTTGCATAGCAGAACTTTACAATGTTCACTGCAAGTGAGCAAAACAGGAATAAAACAGGATTAATAAATCTTGTGAAAGCTGTAGAATATGGTGAGTGCAAACAAATAATTTTCTGTTCAAGGGGGAGTTCAGAGAATACTGGCTCAGTTACCTACGTACAGCACTATTTGGCTGGTGCCTGTTACATCACAAACCCACCTACCTCCCATCCCTGGTTTACTTTCTCAGCTCTTAAACTGATTGCCTCTAACAAAAAATAGATGATGAATGAACATTTTAAATTACTAAATGGACATGTGTTGCTTTCAAAAGAATACATTTTAAAAGATGATCTGAAATATTGGGGAGGGGTAAATCTGTTAACTAAATCAGGATTCAGATTACCAATGTGTGCATCTGTCATTTATGATTTAAAGGGGAAAGGCAGCTGGGCTCATCCTATGGGGGAAATCCACTGTAATTACTCTCCTTAACTTATGTTTGGACATGATCTTAAGAGAAACAGTGCTGAAGTTAGTATGGTGCTATATTAATACTTGCTGGTCTGAAATAAAGAGGCATGTGTGAACATATCCAGAATAAGAGAAGTTATTTGAATTAACCTTTCAACAGATGCGGAAAAGAATGTTGAAGTAATAATGAGTGTGAGGGAAGGCAAGTTAACTTATTGGGTTAAGGTTTCAAGTATATTTCTGCCACAAACTTTGGGTAAATCTATGCTCAGTTTTATGGACTTGAATGGTGGGAAAGTTTTCCTCTGAATATTGTATGTTGGTCACTTTCAGGTGTTATGCCATAGCTTTTGCCAGTGACCTGCAGAGATACCTGCGTTGCCTTCTTTTGATCTTTTGTGAACTAATATATTGAAAACCAAGGCTGTCAAAGACTCAGTGATTCTACTGAATAACAAATGATTTTGCCTGACCGGGGTATGAAAAGGAAATATGAAGGCACCCAGAACATGCCCAAACTGAGAAGAGAGATTCTCTTGCTAGCAGTGGCAATAAATTCCATTCTGAACAGCAGTTCTGTGGTCTCATGTGTTGAAGAGTGTTGGTTTCAGACACTTAAACCTTCTGTGCTTTGGGGAGGGTGGGGGGGGGGTTCTGATGCCATAGCACTGCTGGATTCTAATGCATTGCTAGATTCTGTGAACTGGAAGGATGAAATAACCAGTGAAGAAAATGATAAGTGTGTTATGCACAGTGGTAAGTTTGCATCAGATACAGGCTGAAGCTGGACTTTCTCTGAAACCCAGTGCTTTACAAATGCAAACTGGTTGGTTGTATCTGGGGAAAATGCAAAATATGGGTAAGGAAGTTGTGCTGTAGAGATGCTATGTGTCTGGTGCAGAACAGCAATGCAATGACTTCTTGTTTTTGTTTCCGTTAGATCTTTCCCAGAGTTCTTCACCTTCTCTGTCAGACCAACTCCAAATGGGCTGTGATGAGGCAACCTCAGGAAGTCTGAATGTAGAGTGCAGGGTCTGTGGTGATAAGGCATCGGGGTTCCACTATGGAGTGCATGCATGTGAGGGTTGCAAGGTATGGACAATATGCAATGTACAAACTCTATACAGAAGGGGTGGTAAACTTGTGACCCTCCAGATGTTACTGAACTACAACTCCCATCATCCCAGGTCATTGGCCATGATGACCAGGGCTCCTGGGAGTTGTTGTCTAACAACACCTGGAAGGTATTAGATTTTGTGGCTTTAGCACCCTCCTTCAAGACTCTTACCACTGTGTTTGAAGTCATACATTTATAGAGTCCATAGGAGTCTCTTCACCGACCGAACCAGGCAGTGACTGATCAGGAAAATTCAAATGACTATAAAGTTTTAACAAGCTACTACTACAATGCACAAAAGAATAAGCAACAAATACAAAGATACCAGTTCTTATATTTAATGTTCTCTTCCCCTGTTGGTAAACTTTTGCCCTGTTTCTTGCTCCTTTTCTAACAAGAATAGAGTGCCTCATTTCCCAAGACAGGACATCAAACCAGTTCCTTTTTCTTTCTTTAACCTAGAAATGTGTTGGTCTGTGCTGCTAAAAACCCCTAACATAAGCACATTGATTAGAAAAGTCTGTGTTCATCATCTTTTGGTCTGACCCAAGTGTATTCAGTTCTAATTACGTGCCAAATTTCACTTCTGCTTGTCGTTTTGAGTTCTAACTGCATTTAACTATGCATTTATTTTAGCCCCTTTATTCCTCAAAGCATGATTTATTAGCCATATATTGTATGACATACACATGTTATAGTAGATCTACAAGGGCCACGTTTTAGCTACTCCTTTATTCACAAGGTTCTAGGAGGCTTCAGTGAGTAAATTATGGAAGGAAACGGAATCTTTTCTTCAGACGTTAAAGATCCAAGTATCTCTAACCCACAGCTGGAACAATGGTATAAGACCAACCTTTATTCTGATAGCATAGAACAAAAGCACTATTCTGCAAACAGTATTAACAAGGTGCTGCATTCTGAGGACATGAAGTAACAATATCCCTTGAAATGGACTAGTAGTAATATTCCTAAGCTCCACAGACTAACGTGGACACCGTTCTGGAATTTGTCCCTAACATGCACATGAGTTTTGCCTGGGACATTTTCCTGCTTTACATCTTCTCTACCCTTCTTCCCTGTCACTATTCTCCATCAACTCTGGTCTCCTTGAGAACACAGACATTACTTTTAGACGTAATCTTTGGCTGACATACTTCACGGGACACCTGTGAACGTATTCTGTTCCTGATCATTTGGCTGGCTGTTGGAATCGCAGAATGCCAAAGGAGATGAGTTATTCAATGTCTAAGTGATGCCAAAATTATCCAAAGGGGGCGGGGGAGGGGAAGCTGAAGCGAGAGAGACAAGGATGTTGAAAGCTGGATTTGTTTATTCATATCCCCCTGCTGGATCTTTGCGATACTACAAGTCTGTTTTTTGCTGTTTTTTACACGGGATAATTATGTTTAGGCTCTCTTCCTCCTTGTACTATTCTTTTCTCCATGTGTATGTTAAAAAAAATTTTTTTTTTTTGAGAATATTTCAGTTGAACAAAATAAAGTAAAAATTAAAAGTGAATAAAGAAATAAAAATAAAAGGTATATTATATCACTATATATGCAGACAACTACAATTCCATATATGCAAGTCTAGTATGTAGGTATATGAATGTTATTATTATACAGATAGATTTATGGTTATTTATAACCTACCATATTTTTTAATAAAGGAGTTCCAAATATTGTTATGCTTGTCCATACAAAACCTACGTCTGTAAGCAATTGGTTCATAAGCTGGGAGTGTTGTCCTACCTTCAGTCCTTCTCCATGTGTATGTTAACATGTAGTGTGGTCCATTGTTCTAAAGTCTCTTTGCTTGTTGCTGAAAACGATATTCTGTCCTGAGACTCAAGTTGACAGCAATCCTGGGACATTTTATAAGGAGCTGCTGTGTTATCACAATGACCCATCTCCCTGTTTCTTTTCTCCCTCTGCCTGCTCTCCAACAGGGCTTCTTTCGTCGAACAATCCGTATGAAACTGGAGTACGAGAGGTGTGAGCGGAGCTGTAAAATTCAGAAGAAAAACCGAAACAAGTGCCAGTACTGCCGCTTTCAGAAATGCCTCTCCCTGGGCATGTCGCACAATGGTGAGACTCCTCTCCTCCCCTTAGCTCTAGATACAGGAAGAAAAACATAGCTAGATATGGAACTTTGTGTTTTCTGTAGGCAACGTGTTTAGTATTGTGTTTGGGGGGGAGTGTCTAACTATGCTGCTCTGGCAGTCATCCTCATTAGCCAGGTAGTAGGTTGGAATCATTGCACAGCCTGCATCTCTTTCCTTCTGGAAATGATTGTTATGGACACAGCCTAAGAAAGGCATGTCAGTGTCTATTGCTTCCAGTCTATTTTTCCTTGTTTTGTCTTTAGAACAGTGATTCCCAATTAGCTAAGTACTGTGGACTCCCTGTTTTTTAAAAGCCAAGCCATAGACCCCCTACTTTTGAAAACGTTGATATCTCTGTGGTAGTTTTTGTTATGTGCATGGTGCCACGATGCCCTCCAACATGTCCCAGCAGAAAACTGGGATGCGCATCTTCTGGGATGTGCTCTTGCATTAGTCACGTGACCTGTGCAAGAGCACAGTGCCCCAAAACACCACCTTGAGCTTCCCGATGGAAAAAGAGGGATATAAATGTAATAAGTAACACTCTTATTTTTTGTTTCCCTCCCCGTCCACCTATAATTGTGTAATATGAAACGTCTTCAATAAATAAATAGTTGGAAAGACATGGGGATGCTATTTTGGCCCAAGACTCCTAACAGTATCTTCTTTGTTACGTTTCTTCAGCCATTCGTTTTGGCCGCATGCCTGAAGCTGAGAAAAGGAAGCTAGTGGCAGGACTGACAGCAAGTGAGATCACCTGTCAGAACCAGCAGGTAGCTGACCTGAAAGTATTTTCCAAGCACATCTACAACGCCTACCTGAAAAATTTCAACATGACCAAAAAGAAGGCACGAGGCATCCTGACTGGGAAAGCCAGCAGCACTCCAGTGAGTACCTCAGTCCCAGAGGGATGAAAGTGGAGCAGAACTTGCCAGGCAAGCTCTTGGCATCTGCAGTCCAAGAGATTCAATGCTGTGCCCAAAGCAGACTCTCTGACATCAAAGAACTTTAATCAACTATTTGGTCTTGCTCATAAAGAGAAGCTTGGTGTTTTGTTGATATTGAGGCTGCTGGTGTGATCAGTGTGACCTGAGTTACATCACCAGGATAACCAGAAGTTTTCTGTACTCAAATTATTCTACAGAGTTTTATCTGAAGAAGTGTGCATGCACACAAAAGCTCATACCAATAACTAACTTAGTTGGTCTCTAAGGTGCTACTGGAAGGATTTTTTTAATTTTTTGTTTTGTTTTGACTACGGCAGACCAACACGGCTACCTACCTGTACAGAGTTTTAGTTAGTGCAAACGGTGATGACTGAGTTCAATCCTAAATGCACAAAAGAAAAGAAAAGAAAAAATTATAATCCATTGATTCCACTGAGGGAATGTTTCCCATGAAAACACATTCCCCTTCCTTTTTAAGGCTCTATCCCATGTGGCTTCCCAAAAGAAATATAGAAGTTTATTTATACATATAGCTCACTGGGGACTATAAAATCGAGCTATATAGACATCAGCATTACCATGCAGGAAAAGGTGGGAGAAAATTTTAGGGTGAAAAGTTGAAAAAGTAGGCATCCCTATAGCATTATTAAATAGTGGTAATACATATTCATTTGTACTATTGAAAAATGCTTCTTTATCATTGTACACAGGTGTCATAATAACTATAGATAGGTAAGATGAGCTTTCATTTTATATCCTGCTCCATCGTAGGAGGTAATTATCCTTGAAAATAATAGCAGAACCCAAGTTTTTTTACTCTAAATTGGAACCGGTGTCTGAAATATCCAGAAGTGCTTATTTTGTATTTCACTTCAAACTTCACTGAATTCAGTAAATTGAAGTTTTGTATAGTGCCTCACCATCCTGATTATAAACAAGTCCTCAGTGCAATCTTTCTTCTGTATCAGCAATAATTTTGTTTTAAAGAAGTTGTTTGCCATTCTCCTCCTCCTCCTCCTCCTCCTCTTCCTCCTCCTCCTCCTCCTCTTCCTTCTTCCTTCTTCCTTCTTCTTCCTCTCTTCCTTCTATGAATTCAGCACAGTGTTGTTTGCTAGGGACCTTTGTAGAGGAGGCTATTTTCTACACAGACTCTGATATTCTCTGTCTGCCATCGTAGGAAGCTAGAGGCATTATCAGAGTTGAAGAACACATTCCAGTCAAGCAATAACACGGTGGGGGGGGGGAGCAGGGCCAGTGAGGGGGTGGCTGGCAGAGCTCTGAGGTCCAGATGGAGAGATCTGGAGGGCCACATGTCACCCTCAGGCCTGGGCTTCCCCACAACTGCACTTCAGCCTGTGGCTTGATTCCCCACTGCAGAATCCTGACTCTTATGTGTTTGTTCTTTGTAGCCTTTTGTGATTCATGACATGGATACCCTGTGGCAAGCGGAAAAGGGTCTCGTGTGGAAACAGCTAGTGAATGGGATACCACCATCCAAGGAGATTGGCGTCCACGTTTTTTACCGCTGCCAGTGCACATCCGTGGAAACTGTGCGGGAGCTCACAGAATTTGCCAAGAGCATCCCTAGCTTCATTAGCTTGTACCTTAATGACCAAGTGACTCTGCTGAAATACGGGGTGCACGAGGCCATCTTTGCAATGCTGGCCTCCATTATGAACAAAGATGGACTCCTGGTGGCCAATGGGAATGGCTTTGTGACGCGCGAGTTCCTGCGCAGCTTGCGCAAGCCCTTCAGTGACATCATGGAGCCCAAATTTGAGTTTGCTGTGAAGTTCAATGCCCTGGAGCTGGATGACAGTGACCTGTCTCTGTTTGTAGCTGCCATCATCCTGTGTGGAGGTGAGAAGGGGGAGTTCTTTGCTAGCAATGGTATATGCTTTCTAAAAGCTTGCTGATGAAGACTGGGCCATTATCCTGCTAAGTTAAGGGCAATTAATATTAGTTTGAAGGTGTGATTGTGATGCTGGCAATTCAGACAGGATGAAAAAGCTAGAAAGGATTAAATCATCTTCTCCACAGTCCTGTGCAAGCTTACCTGAGAGTAACCGCTACTGAACACAGTTGGACTAACTTCTAAGTGAATATGGATAGGATTGCATCCACATCCAATTTACCACTCACCACAACATCCTTGTTACTTTCTTTTCATTCAGGATACCACCCACTTCTTCATTTTTAATCTTTAAAAATCCTTATTGTTGTTATTTCTTTGCTGACTCTTTCTCTCCTTTTTTACCTCCTATGACTGTTTGGTCCTCAGTATCTCTCTTAACTCTGTTGAGATCTTTGGCCATTTTGACCTTGTCTTTGGTACCACATCTCACACACCCCAGTTCAGCTTCTATAACTGATTTAACAGACAGTTGTAGTGAAGAAGAAAATGAACCCTGCCGTGGAGAAATCCTGTTCATTCCTTAAAGTAAAAACAATGATAAATGTTTGCTGTAGTGCAGCATTGCTCAGTAAAGTGTGGTTTAAAATAAACAAATCTTTAAATAGTGAGTGAGAGGTCAGGGCAGCCTTGGCACTACTCTGTTTGTCTTCTTGTTTATAGAAGCACATTTGCATGTATGTGCTCATTCTGTGCATTTCTGTGTGTGTATGAAATCTTTTTTAGAACAGTTGGAAAACTACTCCAGAGATTGTGGAGAGGGTGGAATAGAATGTGTTAGCATCCTCAGTGATGTCATGCAGCACTAGTCACACATAGCCTTACACACAACTGTTTTCATAACCTTTTTGAGGGGAGAGTTGGGTATTTCCCATTCAGACAAAGTGTGCCAAAAATCTGCAGAAGTTACACGATTGGAGCCTGCAGGAAGACAGAAAAGAAACATAGTTGGTACTTGGGGAACTGACATCAAAACACCCACCTTTTGCTCAAAACGTCTCATCTGAATTCATCCTGGTTTCCCCAACCTATATAATACACATTATCAAGCGGTTAAGATCACTTCAGGCAGCAGACATGTTTGCATTTGTTCAGGAGAGAGGGTGCTACATGTTTGAATGCTCTTTCATGAGGAAAACTCACTACAGATGTCAAAATGCCACGCTGAGGAGCAGGCTAGTCTGAGCTTCTCTTGGTGTTCAGACAGGTAAAGGATTGGAAAATAATGTTGTGCGCTCTCTCTCTCTCTCTCTCCCTTTTGTAGACCGTCCCGGCCTCATGAACGTTAAACAGGTAGAGGAGATTCAAGACAATATCCTCCAGGCCCTCGAGTTCCACTTGCAGGCCAACCACCCAGACACTCAATACCTCTTCCCTAAGCTGCTGCAGAAAATGGCTGACTTGCGACAGTTGGTGACTGAGCATGCGCAGCTGGTGCAGAAGATCAAAAAGACAGAGACAGAGACTTCTCTGCACCCGCTCTTGCAGGAAATCTACAAGGACATGTACTGAGGAGCCTATATTTAAGAGATAGGTTAAAGCCATGGAATCCAGCAAAATGCTTTGTACATTAGCAAAGAAATCCCCTGTGTCTTCCATTCCTTCTACTGTAATTGCTTTTTTCTATATGATTGCTGCATTCTGTACATAGAGGGGAGGGGGTGTTGTACAGCAAAAGACTTGGCATCTACCACATGGTGGTAGATCAGGGCTTCCGTTAACATACACTAAGTGAAACTTAAAGGCACATCATAAGCTAAATATCTGTTGCTACAGTTCAGCTGTTACACTGTTCCAGAGCAGCTGATGTGTTTACACACAACCTTACAAACATGTTTGAACTGTGGGTTGGATTCTGCGGTTGGACAACGCGGGTTTTGTCCATCCAGTTAGAGCAAGCAGTAGCTTGGCTGGCAGGTACAGGAACAGCACTTGCAACATATATCCGTTGTATATTATTTTTATATTGCACTCTGAATTCTAGCTTGGCCCTCAGCCGTAAATTCTAGGGTGTTACAAGGAAAGGGTGTGTGTGTGTGTGTCTGTGTATACATTTCCCAAAGAAACCTCCAAGTGTTTGATGAAGGGTACGGACACTCCTTGTGGAGATACTTTGAGGGGGAAAGGCCTTTGCTTATCTCCTTGGTGCACAAAAACAGAAATGCCTTCTCCGTGAAAGGCCATAACTCCTGTCCTCTGCATTTCTCTCTCTCTCTCTCTCTCTCTCCCCTTTGGGTTGTTTTATAGTGTAGTTTGTTGAAGCCCTTTATGGGCATGTGTGGCACTTGCAAGCTTACAGCAGAGAGATGGGCTTCTTTTTCTGTTCCTTGCCCTGTGCTTCAGTGCTTGCCAAATGAAGTTGAGCCTGATGTCGTGGAAGTTTTGCTCTCGGATAGTACCTGCCAAAAGTCTATTTGCTTCCTTCCAAGGTAGATCCTGCACTTGAATAAGCACTTGGGTGTCTCCTTATCTGGGTTAGATATGTGGATTTTGCTTTTCAAAGGGCAGCCCATGGACCACTGTGAGGTCACGACAATACAAGGATCTTAGTGAAGACAGTGATGACTGCTTTTGTTTTGCTGCACTTCCCCACCTCCTGCATCCTGGTATTCTCCAGACTGCCCAAGAGGGGCACCATCTGGGGGTACCGAGTGCCCCCCAATTTCCAAGGAGGGGCCAGGCCCCCTCAATATTCCCAGCCTGCTGGGAAGCCTGTTGGGCCTTCCTGCTGCTGCGACAGGCCCCATTGGGCCTTCATGTGGCTACAATGGGCCCCGCTGGCCCTACCTGCGGCCTCCTCCCACCACACGTTACACAAGTGTTGCCCCTCCTAAAATAAGTTACGGCAGAATCCGGTCCCTGTGCTGCCCAAAATATCTGAGGAAGACACTTTATATGTGAATTGCAGTGCCAGAGGCACATACAGCACTCTGTGCTGGTTCTGCCCATTGTTTCTTACACCTTCGTAATAAAAAAGTGATAGATAGCAAAAACCACAGCATTTCAACGTCACCCCCTCAACATTTCCTCATCAGATTACCAATTTTTACTGTATTTTTAAAGGCCTTATATCAGATTCTGGCTCCTTTTGATTTCCTTGAGTTGGTCCTGCTTCAGCCCTTGAGGATCTCACCAGACACCTTTTGCAGTTGTCAGCTCGCTTTGAACACAGGTCTTCTTTGCTGGTCATTTGCAGCAAAGTGGCAGCAGGGAAGTCATTGTCACATGTCTGCGTGAACAGTGTGAGACCATTCTGCCTAGACATGGTTGATGCATTGTGTGAGTTGTCAAGTTTCTTCCATTTGTGACTTCCAGTATAGTGTTCCCAGATTAGCATGATGTTTGGGTATGGCCTGCTAGCCTTGGCACTGAGTTACTGTGTTGTTGCTATGTGGCCTTAGGCAAGTTTGCTTATTTCTGCACATTTCAAATAGACAGTATGCTTTCATAAAGGGAGAGAACTTTCTGTCCAAACAATCTTGACATAACAAACAGAATGTAATAATTTACAACTTTGTGGTGACGGATGGTAGATGGCACAAAAGTTTGTTTGAAACTGCTAGTTGTCCAACCATTTCAGCTCAAATCATGCAATTTCCTTCTTTCTTTCCCTCCAAACAGAAATTTTAGCAGCTTGTCTTCATTTTCTAGATTTGGGTGCAGAGAACTCTAAAGACCATTCACTAGAAGATAGGGATATTTTAAAAGTCTGCTGCTATAAAGTTTACCTAATATATCCATGGAAGGAGCATAGCTCAGCAGAACACATGCTTTGAAGGCAGAAGGTCCCAGATTCAATCCCAGGCATCTCCAGTTAAAAGGTCAGGGGGTAGGTGATGGGAATCGCCTCTGCCCAATACCCTGGAGAGCTGCTGAAAGTCAGAGCAGACAGTGTTGGGCATGATGAGCAGATGGGTTGATCTTTCCGTGCTTTGTGTGTGTGATATATTTTTAATTTGGATTTCCCTTGACAGTCTATGGAGAAGGGAAATAATAGTTACAATAGTTCTTCTCTCTGATGCTGTAGTTCCTGACGAGTTCCTGTCCTGCAACACTCCATCTTCGGGAACTTGATGATGTGCAGTTTTTAGTGCCTACGTAACCTGAAAGAGTAAGCCACATACCTCCGAGATTTTTCTCCACTCAAGCCACAGTAAATGAGACAAGAAGAGAAACTCTTCCATTAGGAATTGTGGAGTGGATTTGCTGAACAAGAGAGCCTAATCTGTGTGAATTACCAACTCCATTGCTTCATGCTGAGATTACTCTGTTTTCATGTGTGCTTGCTTTCAGCAATGCTGAAATACATGTCTTTGGGCTGGGACAGAACTTTGAGAACTTAATTTTGTCCCAACTGTGGCTTTTGGGGAGGCACTGTAGCTCAGGGGTAGGGCAAATACTTTACCTACAAAAGGCTCTTGGTTCAATCCCCAGCTGTCAGGCAATGTAGGAAAGACTGAACAAGATGGCTCTAACTAGGTATAAGACAGCTTCCTGTGTTTCTGTTTTAAAGCCACAAAGCTCAGCTGTTCTGAACTACTAGTAGAAATCTTTTATTGCAATAACTCATGATTTATCATTTTGCACCCTTCAGAGAGTAGATGCCTTTAACCCATGATATATCATTTTGCACCCCTTACTGGAAAGATGCCTTTAACCTATGTGCATTCCTTATTAAGTAAGCAAAAATGTAAAATCAACACCCTGGACATTTTACTCGGCCACTCGTTTGCCTAGAGTTTGATTATAACCTAGCTAATTTGCCACCAGCTCTTTTTCAGGCAGTACCAGAGTCTAGGCTCTTTTTGCCCTTGGAATGCAATCTATATACAGTGGTACCTCCGGTTACGAACTTAATTTGTTCCGGAGGTCCGTTCTTAACCCAAAACTGTTCTTAACCTGAGGCACACTTCCGCTAATGGGGCCTCCTGCTGCTGCTGCGCCACTGGCACGCGACTTCCGCTCGCATCCCAGGGCAAAGTTCACTACCAGGAGCATCTACTTCCAGGTTAGCGGAGCTCGTTACCTGAAGTGTTCATAAGGAGGACGGTACATAACCCAAGGTTCCACTGTAGAAGGCTAGAACATAAGTTCAGTTTCTTAAGTGGTAAGTTCAGATGAGTATAGAATTGTAGTCCAAGTGCTCATGTGTTGTCTCTAAGCTCCTCTTCTACATCTGCCAGACAACATTAAGGGCTGTATCTAGCACTGTATGAGCAGAATTCCACTCGGACAACAGCGCTTGAGTTTCTTTTTCTCTCCCTGCGTGTCCCCCAAATCTGCTCCGGGGGGTCTCCCAACCCTCCAGAGGAGGGTGGAGGCAGGGGCTTTAGGGTGCAGAAGTTCAGTTACACTGGTGGAGCTACAGCTTTGGATTCTACACTTCATCCTTTGAATACAAAATTACCTTTTGGTGATGTTGGTCACATGATAGCAAAGGCAAGACCTATTTAAGTAGCACCTAGAACATCAACATGGAAAACAGGACCTACTTCCAAGACCCTGTGCACACAGGAAAGGTCACCCATCTTTGCCACAAAGCAAAATGGCGGTGGTAGCATTGCCGCAACCCATCTCTCTTGCCTGTTGAAAACCACTGCCCTACAATGTTACAATGTCTGACTCATCTTCCCTTAGGCTGATTAGTGCGGAAAATTCTCAGACACATAAGATCCTGCAAGCACTCATCTGAGCCATTTCAGATCCTTTCTGTCTCAGATACAAAGCAAACACTTACTGTGCTTTAAAACCCTTTCTTTTTGGCACAGTCTCTGTGTGGTTCCTGGGATCATAGTTGTCTGGAAACAAGAACTGTTTCCCCCCCTACCACTTCCAATATCAGGGACCCTTAGTGCTTTAGCAACAAATCCCATTACATAACTGCTTCCACCACCCGCAAAGTCCATAACAGTTATGGGATCCTTTGTGGTTTTCAACCTTAGGATTGTTCACTACCAAGACATGATGGCTAATACGCAGAATTGGTTTGAATCTTGTTGTTTTCCTTATGAGTGTAGGGAAGTAAGTTGCTTAATCCTTGTGATCTTCTTCCAGGGCTGCACTAATGGACTGGTTGGTACTTGATTTTGTTGTGCCTCTTTATTTCCAGATTGAAATAACTGGTGTGTTTCATCTCTACCTCACAGGAATGCTGTGAGGCTGGTGGAATGTGTCTTAGTAAAGCAATTTGGAGCCTTCATGTAGCAGGAACCAGAGATCACTGACAAGAATAGTTTGTGATTTTTAATTTCACCTGCCCTAAACCTTCATCTTTACCCACCACCCTTGAAAGCCTCTTCACCTGCTATCTTGCTATCCCTCAGGACTTGCTGGGCATGTATTTCCAGCACTTGAGGACTGCACACTCTCCTTTCTTTTCTTTTTTTTCTGGGATGTTGTAGCAATCCTGAAACTGAAATGTATATTTTTGCTAGAAGTTCAACCTCCAGGTGTTTTTAATAATATAAATAGTGACTGACAATTTTAAATTGGAAATAAATATTTAAGAAACTTTTACACTACAGCACTTCTTTAGCCCATTTCAGGGGCCTCTGACGTTTGAAACATCAAACATTAAAAACTTCTCTAAACAAGTAGACTAAAGAATAAGCCCATATTTCATCCAACTCTTCCAAAATTCAGAGAGACTGTGGGGTTGTTATTGTTTTTACAAACCCCCATTCACAGTGTATTATGCTAGCATTTGAGTTACACTAAATAATTCCTCAGAAGGGATGATCAAAACAATCTGAAGGGAGAAATTGTTTCTAGGTACAAGTGTTGTATTAGGCCCTACCTTTAGGGTTTTTGTTCCAATTTAGTGATAATGGAGAGAAGTCTGCTAGCTAATTAGAACGGAACGCCTTGTAAAAAAGAGAGTCATCCAGAAACAGGTTGGGAAGGGGGGGTGAGCGGAGAGAGAAATTGTATCTAGGAATGTGTACAGTATTGCTTTCATGGAAGCTCTCCACAAGCTCTGGAAGAAACACATGATGAAACATGCTCCATTTTTCAACAAAGAGACTGGGGAACAGCAGTGCAGGATGCCGTGCTCCTCTTTGTACATGTAATAGGAGCGCATTGCTCTAATGGTAGTAATGGATTTGTCTGTGTGGATGGGGACAGTGGTACCATCAGGGTACTTGGGGGCAGATGTCCAGGGCCCCATGTAGCGGAATAATCAGAAGGTCCCCAAATATAGCTGCGTCGGATTGTCACAGTCAGAAGCAAATGAAATACTTCGTATTATGACGTTAATATGACATTATCTTGTGAACAGCCCTGAGAACTGTGAGTACAGGGCAGTATACAAATTTAATTAATAATAGTGATAATGATACAATATTATCTGAAGATGGAGAAATGCCTTTTAAGACTATTAAGCCCAAAGTCTAAAATTACTTAATTGCACAATTGAATGGGATGTTTGAGGATAAGAAAGTTCATTTTTGCCATGCATACTGTGGCTGTTTCTAAACCACAGAAAGCCATACTTATTACACCTGGGTGAGGCAATGAGAGATAGCAATGAAGGGGAGGAACTTTTCCATCAGTATTTGTTTTAGCACAGCATTAATGGGTCCTGCGGCTAATGCTGCAGTTGTCTGTTTTTAATAATAATAATAATAATAATAATAATAATAAATATTATTATTTATACCCCGCCCATCTGGCTGGGTTTCCCCAACCACTGTGGGCGGCTCCCAACAGAATATTAAAAACACAATGAAACATCAAACATTAAGAACTTCTCTAAACAAGTAGACTAAGGAATAAGCTATAGCATGTGTGGCTTAAGAGCCAAGCAAGTATTCACCCTTTTAAAAATGGCTGCAGTTGAATTAGAAACATATAAAAATGGTAAAAACAGCAATAAACAAACACTGTTTACTTGATGAGGACATTGGTGCAAGCTCTTATGTAGTAGTGACAGCAGTGTTACAAACTGTGATATGAAAGCTAGGAGCTAAATGGCACCTTAATCCTAGGTTATGGGCACAACGGAATGTCTAGGCACACTTTTTTATAACAAGAATACAAAGCTGAAAATGAATGAACTGCAGCTAAAATATTATGTTCATTTAGTCCTTCCCCTGCCCACCCCCCTAATATTCTTAAGAGGGTCTCTTCTCCAGTCTTCAGAGAGTAGCTGGAAGTGGGGAGGCAGAAAAAGGTCCTCCTTTCCTTCCACTCTGCAGTTTTAATCTGAAATCTTAGGCGCAGTATTCAAACTGCTCATGCTAAGGAAATTCCCTCTTGCAAAATGCGCCTAGAACAATGGGAGTTTCAAACACCGAGTGACAGTGGTAGTAGTCATGAATCTAGCACTTTGAACACATTACTTCAGTAATCCTTACAACTCAGGAAGATAGGGTAGCATTATTATTCCATCCCCCGGATAGGGAGAGACAAAGAAAGAATAGCTGCCCCATGGCCAGCTGGTGAGTTGCTATAGGGGGGGCCCAGACATCCTTTTTATTGTGCATTCCTGTAACTGATGGGGTTTATAAAAAGCAAAGTTAACTAGGTAGCCATGTTGGGCTATAGAAGAAAATCCAAAACCCACAGCTGGAAATTACTTATTGGGACCAACAAAAATGTCTGGCAAGCTTTCAAGTTCTCCAGAATGCTTAATCATGCAAGATGTTGGGAGGTGAGGGACAAGGAACTTTTTAAAAAAAGAAGGTACAAAAATTTGGCTGAGGTAGGTATGGCTACAGCTTGCAGACTCAGTTCCAAGATGGAGGTTGAAGGCTGAATAAACCTGTCCCAGGTGTTATAGATATCACAATACACACCTAGGTTTCTAGGCTAAAGAAGCTAATGTCTTCATTTCTGAGGTATGAAAGACTAATCCAGATCAGTCCCAAACCCTAAATGCCTAGGGTAAGCAGAGAGTAGAAGTAAAGAGAAACATGAATCTTTAATTTAGCAAAGCCAGGCATTAATTTTGAATGTGGGATAAGTAAAAATGAGTAAATTAAAACCAAACTGTATAGTATATTACCTAGTGGCTGGAGGGGATGCAACCCTCACAAAGGAATCCACCTTCCACTGGTTGTAAATTCTACCCTGAATGGCTGGATTTCCATAAGAAAAAACCCTCCTAAATCAATAGTTGGACAATGCCTTTATTGAGCTATAAAGCCCAATATAAATTGTCAGAAATAGTAATCAGTCATGACTGCTTTATCCTAGAACCGTAGGTGTACCTCGATACTTGCAGCAATTACCAGAAAGTATTTCAATCTGTAAACTCTATTTTGGATCTAAAAGAACCAGGAGTTTTGTAGCACCTTATTGGCTAATGAATTTATTGTGGCATAAGCTTTCATGGACTACAGTCCACTTCATCAGATGCATGAAATGTTATCCTGAGGAGTGTATAAAAATCACTAACACATACAGAGTTGCGGGGGGCGGAGTTGTAAACAGTGAGGTCGGAGGGAAATGAAAGGCAGGAAAAGTACTGACGATAATTAAAATTAACATTGGCAATTCACAAAACTTGATGCCAAAGGGAGCCTGGCATCGGTAAGCCAATTGGCACACGTGCTAAAAATCCTTTGTTTCGGTTCAGTCCACAAGCGACTATAAATTCCACCTGCTACCACGTTGCTTGGGCGCTTAGCCCGCCCTCCCCTTACGAGTAAACGTTAGTAGCTCTAATTGTGCTACAAACGTCGCAACGTGCACAGTTCCACCCTTTGCTAATAAAATAGTGCACTGTCTTACGTTGCAAAAAACATAAGCATCCTCCTCCTTTTATTATTCTGGAAGATCCAACGAAGACGTTAACAATGCAATCGCAGGCATTTTCCCTGGAAGAAAATCCCGCTCCGTTCAGTGAGTCTTACTCGTAAGTAAACGTGCACAGGATTGCAGCCCCCCAAAGTGCAAGCGGCAGGGCACCGGAAGCCAAACATAGGATGTTGCGCCGCCTGGCCGTCCCTCCATCCCCGCGCCTGCTGCGTACGAGGCCGAACGGTTTCCCGTCAAGGACGGCTTTATAAGACCGGCACGGCGGGGGAGGAGAGTCCTTTTCGAATTGAAGCTCTTCCATTCGACGGCCGACTAAAAAGCTGGGTGTGCCCGCCTGCTCTTCTCCAATGGGCTCTCCTGTCCTAAACCACTCCCCTGCCCGAAGTATTTCTGCAGGGAGAGGAGGCGGGTTGCATTTCGGAGTTTCTGGGTCCGACTGCAAGGGACACCGATGGAGCCGTGGCTATCTGTTGGAGAAGGCGGCGCCGGTGGTGGTAGCGGTAGCGGCCGCCGGGCTTCCAAAGGGCCTGGATCCCATAGGATCCCTTGCAGGTACCTGTATAGAGAATGTGCAGGAAAGGGGTCGCCGGGCTCCTCGAGCGCTGTCTTTTCCTCCGTCCCGTCGTCCAGAGGCGCGCCAGGCCCCGAGTGCGCTCGGACGGCAGCGGCGCTCCAAAGCAGAGTTTTCCCTCCGTCATGGTTGTTGGGCTGTATGCTTCCATATAGGTAGCTGGGACAGGAAGTCGGAATTGCAGGAAAGTGATTCAGCAGCACTGTTGTTTTGCTCGACAGCTGAGCGGCTTCTTCCCAGTGACTGGCAAACTTTGGCGACCTCGCTGCTAACGTGCATCTTCTTCCCCCAGCAACCGAGAACTTGTAGCGCACTTGCTTGCTTTGCACCCCTCGGAGTTCCGGAGACCTTTATCGGCACCGGGCAGTCGGGTTGGGTTTGCACCCCCGTCGGAGAGGGGGGTGGAGGAAAGATGGGGGGGGGGACTCCTTCCCGGCCTTCCCGTAGTAGTGTTGCTGCTACTTTCAGGGCGTGGCGGTGGCTGTAGTGTGGCCCGAAACAAAGCCGTGCACAACAACATGATCACGCCCTGCTTTTCGGCAGCAAAAACTTCGAGAGGGTCCCCTCCCCATTCGTCTTGTATGTAAAAGGATAGGGGAAAGCGCACGCGCGCGCGCCGTTACCGGGTGTATTTGCTTTTAAGTAAACCAGGCTAAGGAGTGGTGTGTTTTGAATGGCTGGGTTCCTTGCGGCGGGGGGCGCTCGCAACTTTTGTGCAAGGAGCTTTCCAGGGCTGGTGCCTCTTAGCCAAGGGACTGAGAATTTCTAATAAACTTTTTCAAACGCAGCCCCCTTGAAAGGGGCTAGAGCAAAAGTCTCCCATAGCAAGGGCAGAGTCTGAAATAACACTCGGAACTTCATAGAGCAAGATTTGCTGGCTTTACCAACTCTAGTGCTGTTTATATACCGGTGAAGTTTTACTGGCTTGGGTCAATATATGGGAAACCTAGTTTCTCCTAATAACTTTAAAAAGAAATATATGCACCCCTAGCGGTTCTGCTGATTTTAAATATAACTTGGTGTTGGGCAGTTCCTACTGAGGTGAGGGTCTACTAGGTGCAAATCACATGCCTCGTTTTTAGGTGGTTTATGGTTCCCTTCTTCAGTTACCATGCACTCTGCCTGCTCACCCACTTTAAAGCGCTTTGCCCACTTCAAATGTCTCCACACAAAAGGGAGGGTACATTTGCTTTGTATACAAAAGTTCCCAGGTTCAATTCCTGGCATCTTCCATTAGGGCTGGGAAGTACCCCTTTCTGATACCCATGGAGAGTCATTGTAGACAAAACTTAATCTGCCCTTTATTCTCTTTCCCTTGCCCACCTAAAACATTAAAGCTTATTTTGAAATTGGCATCGATCCTATTTGTGCACAACTATAAGCTGTAGTCTGGAACAAACTGTGGCTTGCCACAAGTGAACAGTGAGCTGGTGGTAACCCACCTGCCACACTGCTCTTTTCTGAGCTGGAGGAAAACAAACCACAGTTCTGGATTAGTGTTGTGTGAGAACCGGTGTTCATGGTTTGTGCTTCTTCAAACAAACTACAGGTACCGGTTCCTACCCTAAGCCAGCACTGTAGTTTGTTTCCAGTTTAGAAAAGAGTGGAAAGGGGCAAGTACCATTTAAGCTGCTGTAGCCAGCCCTCTGCTCATTCCTGTTGTTGTTGTTAAAATTTCTATACTGTACTGCCCTTCATCTGAAGAGCACAGGGTGGTTTACCATATAAAGTAAGCTGTAGTTGTTTCATACTGGCTTACGATTGTGTGCAATCCAAGCCCATACAAGCTATTTGCTTAATGCCTTTGTTGGGTGTGAAGCTGAGATGCTATCCCTGTCCCGTCTTGTAGATATACAAAGTTATCATTGGAGGTTTGGTTCATCTGAGCAAATCTGGACACATTGCAAATGTGATTGTCTGAATATTGTAATGATTTCTTCCTGACCTTGGCCATGCAGGGAAATTTGAAAGAATGCTGCCTGATTGTAGTCTGAGAATGGATGGGAGATAGTATGATAATGGCAGGAAATAATTCAACCTGCCAGGGGTGTCAAAAAGATTTTCTGGGCCCAGGACACTGTTTGGATTGGGCTCTATGCTCCTCTTGTGAAATACGACAAGTTTACATTACAATTTTATGTGCTTTGTGCCACATGCAAATTTCTATCATCTTTTGCAGGGCCCAAAAATAAGTCTGGGATCACAAGCAAGCAGTCTTCGAAATTAGCTAGGCGGATTTTGCACCTGGCTGTTGATCACTTGCAACCAAGTGAAGATGCCTGGGTGCCAGGATAGTGCCTGATATCTCCACCATCTGGAGGTGCATGGCTGGGGATCACTGAATCTGGACTGTTTTCACACACTAATACTACACCCTGTAGAATTCTATCAGTTATATTTTATCTGCACAGTTAGAATGAATTTCAAGAACCAAAATGCTTTTTCTGTGCAGCAGGAGCAGTGAGCCACATTTTGGTTAATTGTTGTAGCTTGTCTTCACTTGCACCACTCCACTGTCCTGCTCACAGTTGTGAAGAATATCCATATGTTATGAATGGTCTATGTCACCATTAAGAAAAAGAGGTAGGAATATGCCTATATAGTGGTACCTCGGGTTAAGAACTTAATTCGTTCTGGAGATCCATTCTTAACCTGCAACTGTTCTTAACCTGAAGTACCACTTTAGCTAATGGGACCTCCCACTGCTGCTGCACTGCTGGAGCACGATTTCTGTTCTCATCCTGAAGCAAAGTTCTTAACCCGAGGTACTATTTTTGGGTTAGCAGAGTCTGTAACCTGAAGCATCTGTAACCTGAAGCGTCTGTAACCCGAGGTACCACTGTATACAGGGTAGGTCATTTAAAAGAGGCCCCATGGATACAAAGCACACATGTTCCACGGGGCCTCTTTTAAAAGACTTACCGTATTTTTGGCTCTATAACACGCACCCGACCATAACACGCACATAGTTTTTAGAGGAGGAAAACAAGAAAAAAAATATTATAAATGAAACAGTGGATGTATGATTTTTGTGGTTCATGCTGTGGCCACAGACATGTGATCTGACGGTGAGTTTGGGGTAGCCCAATGCAAAAATCCTGAGAATCCATGTGGATCCATGCTTTGTAACCACGTTTTTGCAGCACTGCGGCCCCAGGCAACAGTGGGTGCGTGATTTTTTTGGTGCAAGCTGTAGCCATGGACATGCTATGTGATCTGATGGTGAATTTGGGGTGACCCAGTGCAAAAATCCTGAGGATCCGTGCTTTGTAACCACATTTTAAGTGGGGAGGGAAGGAAAAGCACTCAAGGGACAAGGAACACGCATGGGGTGGGTGGAGAGAAGGATGCTGTTAATAATGCAGAAGAGGTGTGTAAGAGGAGAAGGCTCCTCTCATCTCCCGCTTTGCTCCTTTAAAGGCTCTGCTTCTCTCCCTCCTCCCTGGCTTGCTAAAAAACTTTGCTGCTATTTAGCCAGCTGGGTGGGGAGGAGAGAGGGACAGAGAGCCTGCTTGCGAAAAAATTTGCTGCTATTTAGCCAGCTGTTTTCTCCCTCCTCCCCAGCTCGCTGAAAAAAACAGCTCCGGACTCGTGTAAGCGGCTCCTCTCCTCTCCCGCTTTGCTCCTTTAAAGAGGCAGGCTCTCTGTCCCTCTCTCCTCTCCACTCAGCGGCTCTTCTCCCGCTTTGCTGTTTCAAAGTGAGCCACGGAGGAGGGAAGGAAGGGGAACCATGGATCCTCTGCTCAGATCCCCCCGCCACCCGTAGGCATTTGCTCCATAACACGCATGGGCATTTCCCCTTACTTTCTAGGAGGAAAAAAGTGAGTGTTATGGAGCAAAAAATACGGTACCCTGTATATATGTGGATTGCCCCTGGATCAAGTGACTTTTAAGTTCTCAATGTTCTTAACATAGATCAAGGTAGTTGTCTGAATTAGCCAGATGTTTAACTGATAAGCACAGTCACTCTATCATGTGAAAAATAAGACTTTAGAGCTATTTTACCCCAAAGTGGCAACTAGACATTCCATTTTGGCAACTGTAACCTTGGTTTACCCGTTGCTCGGTCCCTGCTCCTGCCAGCTTAGCAGTTCGAAAGCATGTCAAAGTGCAAGTAGATAAATAGGTACCGCTCCAGCGGGAAGGTAAACAGCGTTTCCGTGCGCTGCTCTGGTTCACCAAAAGCGGTTTAGTCATGCTGGCCACATGACCCGGAAGCTGTACGCCGGCTCCCTTGGCCAATAAAGCGAGATGAGCACCGCAACCCCAGAGTCGGGCACGACTGGACCTAATGGTCAGGGGTCCCTTTACCTTTACCTAACCTTGGTTTAAGGAACCATTTGGCACCACGCTTATATATCTGAGTGTCTAATGCTGTGAACAAGACACATCTGACAGTGTGAACAGACAATGCTTTTCCCCATAACTGTATTTTCATACTAGAGAAAGCTTAACCTGTTTAAATTCTGCCTGTCACAGTTCCTAAAGACATAAGAACCATGCTCTCCCCTAATGGCAACCCATCAGTACATAATACATACTTTCTCTATGACAATGCCTATCCCTCTGCAATATAAATATGCTAAAGAAAAATTTAATGTTTACATACTTGGGGTAAATTTTGTTTGAAATTAATCCTGAGTTAGGAAGAGAATGAGCTCAGTCTTTGCTGCTGCCTTTTGCTTTTGTGTGGACATGCTGTTGCCCAGTCACAGCTACACTAAAATCCTGGATGTTGCCATTATTTTCTATAGGCGACAATCAATTTCTCTGCCGGTTAAGAAGACAAAACAGCTTCAAAATGAAGCAGGAAGTTTCTTCAAAATGGCAATCCTTCTTCATTACATGAACTTCTAGAGAACTCCATAGAGTGACCTATCTATCCTGCCACCTAGAAAGTTCTAAAAATGGCTTCAGAATAAACATTTTTGAAGCCATTTTGTATCTTCCCTTTGACTTGTATGACTAAATTTCTCTAGTTGTCACCATTCACAGTTCTGACTTCACTTGTTGGCTGACAATATTGACTGGTGGGGGAGCAAGGTCACATATCACACAAAGCTCTTGCTTTGAATGGTGCCTGCATATTTTGCTATCTGTCATTTGTTCTAAGGGGCTAAGGACTTTATCATTTCCTTTTCATCTCTTTGGGAAGTGTTTTGTTCAACCCCAGTCCAGAGCGGAAAGATTTTTGCATCTCCTATTTGGCATATTGATTTTACTGGGACATTGGTCTCTTGGTCTCATTTAGGATTGAACTCTGATTCTTACTACAATTCTGCTTTTACTTCGTTTTCAGGAACTTTGCCCGTGGGACTTGCAGATGGGGTCAGAACTGCCGATTCTCCCATGATAGGAAGTCTACTCAGATCTGCAGATATTTCCAGAATGGGTTTTGTGATTATGGAGACCGCTGCAGGTAAGGGCTAGTTTTGTTTTCTTTTTGTGTTTTGTAAACAAACCCAAAACCACACTCTTCCTTCATCCCACTTCCTGCAAAAATCTGTTAGATTGAAGGTACTAGAAGCTTGATGATTCAATATTTTTGGATGCATTAGAACTGGTTGTCCTAGTCTCAAAGTTAAGCCTTTAAGGAAAAATAAAATTCAGGGGAGGCTTAATAAGCTGTGAACTGCACAAAAATGCAGTAGGGAGAAGGAAATTTAACTCTGTGCTTATATTGCCCACCTGTAAATATTCTGATCACTTGGGTCCAGTGGAAAGTTTGAGGGGAGATGTTATTCTACCGTCTCTAGTCCTACAGACATTGACTTGACTAGATGTAGCAGAAGCCTTTTGGAAAAGACCAAACTAAGTCCTTGAGGATAGCGCTATCAGTGGCATTATTGTAAATAGATGAGATTCAGAAACTTGGACATAGACCTTATGCCCTCGTTGTAAGCTTGGTGATTTGGTAGATCTCTGGTCTGATACAATAAGGCAGTATTATAAAAAATGTTTTGGGATGGGTAGTAAAAGTACAGTAAAACCACATGGTGCATTGGCCAAGTTGAAGATGCTTCATACTAAGGTACCTGCTGCATGATGGGTGGAGATTGTGGAAGTGGTGACTTTGCTAGGCCAACATTAGAAACAGGTGGAGGAGCAGATTATCTAGAGTGGTAATGAAATAGATGGACCAGCACCCTCATCTGGGCTTTAGTGGTTGGTTTCTGTCACTGCCAGCTGTTCAGAGAACAGGGCTCTATCTGAACTCTTAATGAAACACCTCCCCTGTGATGATTTTACAGTAGCTGTCTACTGAGTCGGTCATGTCTCTCCTGACTGATACCTAAGCTGTATTAGACAAAGCTTTGGGGCTGCAAGGTGATGGTGATTTATATAGTTCCCCTAGGAACCTTATATTGGCTTCATAATGTAGAACTGGAGTGTGTAACTTCTAGCCTGCAGGCCTGAGAGGCCTCCCTTTTTGGCCTGCCTGTCCCATTTTTGGCTAAGCCCCACTTATCTGACTTAATATATTACATCAAGTGTGAGTCAGGTACAGATGCGGCTGGATAAAAAGGGTGTGCCTTGATTTCCTTGTTGACATCAGGTAATTGACACATGGGCAGCCCCACCCACCTGCCAAACCTGACCTGTGCGGGAAATTGGGATCTAGCCCACTAACCAGATCCAGTTTTCCACCTCTTTGTAGGTGGAAGGGAAGAGGGCATAGATGGGTAAAATGCTCACCCTTGGATATTGCATTGCAGTCATTACTGCTAGACGTTCATAAAATTTTTTTTTCCTCATGTTCTTTTGAATTCTTCAGTGCTGTGGTTCCAAAATAATAAAATAAACTGCAAATATGTTTGCCTCAGCCCAGGGGAGGGGGAAGAATTGCCATCAAGAGGAGAATTGGAAAATAATGTTTGGTAGAGAATACAGTGGAACCTCGGGTTGCGGATGTGATCCGTGCGGGAGGTACGTTCGCAACCTGCAGCGCCACGTCTGCACACGCACGCACGTGACGCGATTTGGCGCTTATGCACAAAGCGTGATTTAGTGCTTCTGCGCGAGCGCTGGAACCTGGAAGTAACCCATTCCAGTACTTCTGGGTTTTGGTGCGTCCGTAACCTAAAAACGCGTAACCCGAAGCGTCTGTAATCCAAGGTATCACTGTATTGAAATTTTAAGTTCTCATACTTGTGTCTTGGTGTTTATGAGAAAAGCCTGATTGGAACAGTGGGGATAAGTTTGTTCAGTATTGGAAACAAAACCCTGCAACTATTTTGAGAGAAGAGATATAAGAGGTTATGTAATAAAAAATGAATTGGCGGGGTCAGAGGAGAGCCCTCTTCCCGTCCCCCCTGCTAACTGGGCAGTGAAGCACCTGCTTAAAAGGTGGCTTCTCCCTTGTATATGGTGTTTATTATCCCAGCATGGTATCCCTCCCAGTGTCTGCTCCACGCTGGGGAAATGGAGTTCAGCTATATACCAAATTGTGCATAGAGTTCTAGTCATCCTGTCTTGCTGCTTGTGGAAGGCCAGCTGCTCCCTTGAATGTGTGTGTGTGAGGGGGAGATGTGTGTCTTATCTCAAAGGCAGCTATTCCCTGTTTGAGCAATGAGGTAATTTTTGTTTTTCTGGGCAAGAGGATACACTTTGTTCCTGTGCTGTGAATGAGTTGCTCCTGTGCTGTGAATGACACACTATTGACATTCAATCTCTCAGCTACCAGCACGTCCTGGAAGCACCGCCCTTGAGCAGATGTGGCTCAGAGGCTGCCTACCATGGACTGCGTGGATTAACTGTGAACCGCCGAGGCTCGGAGCCAGCCATCTTGCCAGAAGCTTCAGTGAGGAGTTGGGGAGCGGCCCGGCGTGGCTCAGAACCAGCTGTCTCGGGCATGGCACAGCTACAGATGAACTTTGGGAGCATGAGGATGTCATTTGAGGAGGAGGATGAAGATGATGATAAAGCCATCCCTTCCTGGCACCCTCCAAATTGGGCCCTCAGTAAAGAATTTGTTCCCAGGCAGGCTGCTTCAGGTAAGCTCATGGAGAGGCTGGTTTTTGTGGGCTTGGGCTCTTGTTGCAGCCTTTGTTGTAGCTTCTGGGGATGGACCTTGTAGTGGGGCACATGAGCAAAACAGTTCTATTCTCTCGCTTCCCTATCTCCACCCTGCTTCTCACAATCTTTGTCATCTGACTGCTAACTCATAATTCTCTGTCAAGAAGACTGTGTTATTAAGACACACACAATGGGATTTTGATTTGGCAATGTTCTAATGGAGTCGAAAAGGAATTTCCGCACACATGCCCCACAGTCTTGAGAAGTGCCTCTGCGGTCCCTAAACCAATATCCCAGTTACATGGAACATGCTTTTCTGTGAGAAACTTCTGTTTGGAGAGGGCGCCATTTTGAATGACTTTGTCCAGTCCCAGCCATGGAAGGGACCCAACATGACACGTTGGCTCATTCTCCAGTTCCCGTGCAGCTATAATGAAAGGCCTCTTGTTTGTGAGGTGGGGAAAGGGAGCCAGGTCACCATCAGTTGGTAACTCTGCATGGATGGAGACAGGAAGGGACTCTTCCAATGGCATCTTTTAAAGGCTATTCATTCCAGCTTTCCCCAACTGATTCTCCTTTTCTTCCTTACATGTTGCATCTTTATCTCTTTTTAGAGAAGTGTTGGGGGAGCTTGTAAGCTTGTTATTCTAATGTTTGCACGGGCCCTTGTATTTTTAGACACTTGATAGAATAATAGTTGGACTGGTGGCAGCAGCCTCCTAGTTAGCTGTTTCTCTGCTGCTCAGGTTCCACATCCCATGAAGAGAGACTTGACACCACTTCCCTGATGCCAGAAGAAGCATCAACCAAGGAGGCTGCTCCTGTTTCTGTGGTCTCGGAAGAGCCAAAGGTAGGTGGGATGCCTGCAAATGTAGAGTGATGAGAATAGACACTGCCATTTCAATAAAAACCAGTGGGATTCTCCTGAGCTCTCTTAGACTGAGGGATTTTGGAATGCAGTTGGAGCAGGAAAGAAGTATTAGGAGATGTGAGGTGAGACAAGGAGAGGGGAGGGATGCTTGAAACACACCCGGATTTTTAGCATCTGCCAACCAGGTGACCTCCTGATGCTCTGGATTACAACTCTTATCAGCTCCAGCAGATTAGTGAAGGCTGTCATTTCATCACCCATAAACCTCTTTTGGTATGAGCCTCCAAGAAACAGATTGCACAACGACAGGAATTTATAACTTCAAGCTTTTGAAATGAGATTGATTAATAGGAAATCAAGTTTAGGCATGTGTGGTGGTGTTGCACCCAGCTGCGTGGAACCAGTGCAGATTTTAGGTGGATGAACTTTGGAGAAGCTGGAGTGTCGTGGAGAAGGCTTTCAGGACCTGTTTTAGAAAGTACAGTGGTACCTCTAGTTACGAACTTAATTCGTTCCGGAATTAACCTGAAACTGTTCTTAGCTAGAGGCGTGCTTTCACCAATGGGGCGTCTTGCTGCTGCTGCGCCGCCGGCACACAATTTCCGTTCTCATTCTGGGGCAAAGTTCTCAACTCGAGGTAACTCTTCCAGGTTAGCGGAGTTTGTAACCTGAAGTGTTTGTAACTCGAGGTACCACTGTATTCTCCAACTGTTGTGTTTCTTTCCCAGGCAGTTGGAGGTTCAGAAGCGGCAGAAGCTGCTGCTTCTGCAGAGGTGCAGAAAAGTGAGGATGTGGTGTGCGGAATCTGCATGGACAAAATCTCTCAGAAGACCTTGCCTCAGGAGCGTCTGTTTGGCATTCTTCCTAACTGCTCCCATGCCTACTGCGTGACCTGCATCCGGAAGTGGAGGAAAAGCCGGGACTTTCACAATGCGGTGATTAAGTAAGTGCTTCATGGCCCAATTTGCTTGCCTTGTGCTTGTGTAAACTGCGTCTTCTGGAAGGTTGCTGTCTGAAGTGTGTAGACTGGGTATTGGCAACCTTTGGCCGGGGATCTCCCGCAATTGGGGCCCCAGCTGTTTTTGGACTACAACTCCCATCATCCCTAGCTAGCAGGACCAGTGGTCAGGGATTATGGGAGTTGTTCTGCAAAAGCAGCAAGAGGCCCAAGTTTGGGAAAGCCTGCTTTGACCCATCAGATGCCGACAAACAACAACCATCATCATTGCTGTCCATTGGCCATGCTTGCTGGGACGTGTAGCTTTAACCCCCTTTGTGAAGGCACTTTTTATCAAGGAGGTTTCTGGCTCTGCTGTTCTGGACCACACCCCCAGGAAGTTGCTGTTAGGCTTCCATGTTGCTAAGCGTTCTGATGTTAGTGCAGTTGGGTTAGAGCGTGGTGCTAATAATGCAAAGGTTGCAGGTTTGATCACCGTACAGGGCTGCTGCATATTCTTGCATTGCAGGGGGTTGGACAAGATGAACCTCATGGTCCCTTCCAACTCTACAATTCTTTGATTCTATGATTTTGTTTAGTCATCTAGTCGTGTCCGACTCTTCGTGACCCCATGGACCAGAGCACGCCAGGCACTCCTGCCTTCCACTGCCTCCCGCAATTTGGTCAAACTCATGCTGGTAGCTTCCAGGACACTGTCCAGCCATCTCGTCCTCTGTCATCCCCTTCTCCTTGTGCCCTCCATCTTTCCCAACATCAGGGTCTTTTCCAGGGAGTCTTCTCTTCTCATGAGGTGGCCAAAGTATTGGAGCCTCAGCTTCACGATCATCCTTCCAGTGAGCACTCAGGGCTGATTTCCTTCAGAATGGATAGGTTTGATCTTCTTGCAGTCCATGGGACTCTCAAGAGTCTCCTCCAGCACCATAATTCAAAAGCATCAATTCTTCGGCGATCAGCCTTCTTTATGGTCCAGCTCTCACTTGATTCTATGATACGTTAGGCATATCATGCAGATTGCTTTGGGCCAGAAGCAGAGTGATTGCCCTTCTAGGGTTTGTCTGGGTATATTATATCCTCTCTATGTGCATTCCTCAGGGGCTGCCCAGAGTGTAGAGTCACTTCAACTTATTTCATCCCCAACCAATACTGGGTTTCTGATTCAGAAGAGAAAGAAAAACTGATTGAGAATTTCAAGGCACGGACCAGGTAAGCAGCTAGGTCACTTCAGCAAAAAGGTCACTAAATATGTCTAATGTTGTTGAAGCATCTAGGTCCTTGTTCTCCAATCTTGAAACCATTGTCAATAACTCCGAGAATGCCAGGCTGCTGACTGGCTTCGTGAGATGAAACTGATGTTCTCACTGTGGTCATTTGCTTAAGAGCCAAATAGGAATTTGACTGGCTTGATTAAGGGTGGAATAACTTAATCCATGTGCATACACTTTGGCGTTCCCTTCATGGTTAAGTATGCCTTGCTGTAATGCCCATGATTCTGGGTGCCCTTCAGTTGTTTTAGACTACAGCCTCCAAAGCTGTGCTGACTAGGGGTGGAGGGGGTGGAGGAACCAAGCTAAGTAAGTCTGATCTACAATATTTATTCAGATTTCTGAAAAGACTCGTGCCTCTTGTGGCCTAATTTCATGATTTTTATTCCTCTAGCAAAATAAGGTGCAAATTCTTTGTCAGAAGCAATGGTCACTGTCCCTTTAAATCAGAGTGCATCTACCTGCATGAGCTGCCTGGAGGTCGGCTCCCGGCTGCAAAGCCGCAACAGAGGCCTGAACGGCGGAGACGGCGGACCGTTGTAAGTAACAAATTCCTTGATGCAGTCATGATACGGCAAGCCATTATAAGCTAGTCATTGAGAGGTATATATATATTCTGCTTCCCAAAGCCCTCCATACTTAGGATCCCTATGGGATGCAACATGGAAATGCACACACTCTGCCTAGAGAGACAACTGCCTTGGTAGTTGCTGGTCCAGCCCTAGGCATTGCTGTTCATCAAGCTTTGTTTTCTGGGGGTTGAAGATGACAGCAGCAGGCTAAGTCGGTGGTTCTCAACTGGCATACTTGGGGCTACTGCCCCTGTTCACATTGCTTCCCAACCCCCAACTTCCTTCCCCTATGCCATGGTATCCCTCTTGACTAGGGTTTCCCAAACGTGAGTCTCCAGCTGTTTTGGAACTACAACTCCCACCATCCGTTCAATAAGCCCCGTGTAATCCTTTCTCCTCCCAGTTCCACCAGCCCTCTCAGATGCCACACATATGTCTCTCCCGCCTGTCGACGCATACATCTCATACAAAGTGACAGCTCTTTGCCTCCCCCCAGTCCCCTTCAAGAGCTCCCTTTTAATCCTGCTGTGCCCCCTTCCCACTTCCACCAGGCCTGTTTTAGCAACAACACAAATTATGGGGGCTCACAGCGTATCCGCAGCCTTGACTCAAACCAGGTTTGCTGCAGCTGCTGCCCTTCCTTCCCTCTCCTTCCTTCATGCTTGTTCCCCAGAGTGCCGCCATTGGCGCAGGTTGGTGGTGGCATTCACGAAGGAGATAAAGACTTTCTCCCCTTCATTCTCCTCTCTGCTGCCAGTGGTGGTAGCATGGGAACGCCTGGCTGGCTGCTTCCCCCACCTATTCATTCAGGGCTCCTCAGGCATTGCCTTGCAATGTTGTGTGTGTGCATGTGCACTCAATTGCCAGCATGACAGCGGATAAGTACAAATTTAGTATATAGAGACATGATTCCTTTAGCTTTTCTAGTGAAATGTGTCTATGCATTCCCTGTTCCGTGACAGATCAGTGGTGTGATTTCATCCAAAAGCCTTCTTTCTTGTGTCCTATATTGCAGGCCTTTAACCCATCTCCGTCTGACAGCTCGGATGAAGATGATGACGATATGTACTTCATCCAGTGGGCTTTGACTGTTGCACTGTTGCAGAGGGAGAGGGACTTTGACTATTCAGACTTTCTCATTTGGGATTCGAGTGATTCTTCCGACTAGATGATGACGGTGATGACGACATCATTGGAGGCTGCGGGAACAATCTTACTGACATGTGAAGCTGTGGCTTGGGGAGAATGGGTGGGGAAAGAAGGGATCTTGATCAGTTGAATGGTTGTCTGGGGGGGCTTCTTAGTTGTCTGGCGGGTCTTCATTGCATTTTGCCTGGAATCCGTAAGCTGGGAGAACATAGTGCAAGGACCTGTTTTATGTTGGGAAGGCCTCCTGATTCCACAGGGCAAGATAATGGCTGTCACCACTGTTGGCATACGGTATCTTAACACGTCACCCAAGTGCACTGCCATTCTCCTATCCCTTGCTTGGCTATATCTTCACGTTCCTTTTCCCCGCCCTCAACATTTTATCACATCCTGGGCTTCCCAGCATTGGGATCCATGAAGACCCTCCCAGCTGTATCTCTTCTAGGAGGGTGCCAGGTTCTGCTAGTGCTCAGGAAGTCTGTGTATACTGGAGACACTGAGTTTTCAGGTGTGTTCATGGTGCTGCTAGTTGTTTCCTCAGGAAGGCAGGCTTGCTGAGCAGTGCTATTATCTGCAGCAGGCAGCACCTGCATCTTGCTTTTTGTCTAGCAGTGCTATCGGGTATCTATCGTAGGCTTACGGAGGAGGGGTGTAACATAGGGTAGTGTGAACTAAATCTTGAATTTTTATTGATGCAGTGATCAATTTAGTATTGGAGGCTTAGAACTCGGTGATTTAAACCCTTAGGATCTGGGATCAGTAAGCCCCCTGAATGTATTTTTAATCCTAGAAGGATCGGGAGAGAGTATCAAATAAAATGAGCTTTAAAAATGTAGCCATGCAAAGTCTCTTTTTCTACCCCTCTGTTAACTTTTTCCTGTTAACTTGTTAAAACGTGTTGTAGTGTATGAACACAAATATATTCAGTTTTTTTCTATCTTCTATAGTATCCTGGTCCGTCCCGTCCCCCGAAAAAATACTGCACATCTCTAGCTACAAGACTGTAATAATGGTAACATTTAACACTGCTAGGCATAGGGGCATCACTCTCTTGGCCTGTGGAGAAAGTACCAAGGAGTGCAATTTTAGTGCCATTCAAACAACATTCCTAAGCATGCAATCTTGTCAGTGCATTCTCCAATCTGATGTAGTCAATAGAGGCTGCCCCCACCCTGAAATCTGAGTCCAGAGACTTGGTACTTCCAGCTAATGTAAGATGTCCCGTCCCCGTCCCCCCCGAAGGCCACCTATGCTTTTGACTGATTACAGCCTGTTCTCACTGCGTTTCTTATTTTGTGACCACCCTCCATAAATAAGTAACTATTTGAAACCTATAAATGCTTCAGCTTGCATCAGTGTCTGGGTTCTTCTAAGATGCTTACGTTGACACTCAGAATGTTTAAATGCTGAAGAACCATTTTCTGTCCTCCATTGTGTAGGCAAAACATGTCCTTGATTCTTTCCAGCAATACTAGTGAGATCATTCCAGTACTAAATTACAGCACTCAAACCCATGACATAACCTGACCCAAATAACTCTATCAGGTTTTGTCTTGGTTCATGCAAAACCTGTTCCAGTGAGTACATCACCAAGGCTTACAATACTTGTTTGGATAGACAAGCTGTAAATCACACATAATTAAATTGTGTCAGGCTACTTGAGTATGGCAGCTACCAAGTCCTGCCTTGTGGATGTGTTGAATTTGCTCTGATTGAAATTTTCCCCGTTGGAAAGCAATCCCATTTCATCTGTCCCCCAGCTATGCAGAGGATGGGCTAGGCTGTATGTGGAAGAATTTAGTTTCTAAACTTAAGCAAGTGGTGAAAGCATTTGCTTGTCTTGAGACCATGAATCCCAAGGATGTGTCACTGCAGGATTTCCAAGATTTAGAGTTGGAAAGGGACTGCAAGGGTCAGCTTGTCCAACCCCTTCAATGCAGGAATCCTGCCCACAGCCAACCCTGGTTAATAGCCAGATGCACTGACCCATTGCGCCACAGGAGGCCCGTATATGTAAGCAATGTAGGTTATTTTCACTGGAATACATTTAATTTTAAATATTTGTTTTTCAGTTTTTTTAAAGCATTCTCTTGATGTGTGTTGCCTCTCCAAAACAAAACAAAATAGTGAAACAGGATTACATATGAGTAAACGTACATGAAACAGGAAAGTGTATGACTTAGTTAGATTTTCACATGGTAACTAATCTCATGAAGACAGACTAGGGACTGCCATTCATATGTTGAAAGAGAGAATTAAAATCTTGCATCAAACATGATCTACTGTTTTAATTAAGGATGTGCACAATTGTACGCCTGCTCACAATAAAATCAGTGGGACTTTGCTGCAGAAAGATGCATAGGATAGCACTGTTTGTGTCCCTTTAGACACATAAAGGGACACTCCTTGAAACTACTACTGTGCATGTATAGGAGAAAAATACAGCATAATAAGAAAATTTTATTGAAAGAACACCAACACGTCACTTAACTCTCATATACAGTGGTACCTCTGGTTACGTACTTAATTCGTTCTGGAGGCCTGTTCTTAACCTGAAACTGTTCTTAACCTGAAGCACCACTTTAGCTAACGGGGCCTCCCACTACCACTGTGCCGCCGCTGCACGATTTCTGTTCTCATCTTGAAGCAAAGTTCTTAACCTGAGGTAATATTTCTGGGTTAGCAGAGTCTGTAACCTGAAACGTATGTAACCTGAAGCGTATGTAACCCGAGGTACCACTGTATAGCAAGGTTTTTTGCTGAAAAGACATGGATCAATGATTGCAGTTACAACCACTTTCTGCTGGCAGTAGTTTCTGATTTGCACACAGAAAGGGAGGTGTATTGTTACATTACAGGCTCTTCCCAAAATGAAAACAAAAAGGCAAATGTACCCCTAGAGACAGAATGTATATAATTTAAACAGCAAACAATCATTGCAGTGGGTATTAAATGCCACAACAGCAAATGCTTCTGCAAATGATTCCTAAATGAACAAGGTTACAAGCTGAGTAATTATTGCTGGCAGCTGAACTACTGATGGCCCTGGTCTGTGTTGCTACATGTTCACCTTATGCCTTGCAGCAATAAAGTCTCCAGTGACTTACTGAAAAATCTCATGGTCAAGCTGGGAGGATCCAAATCCCAAGTTTTGCTGGGCATGTGCCAAGCAGGGTGCAGTGCAGGGTTTGGGGGCTCGCATGAGGCAATGCCGAGAGTTCTGGAGAGTCGTGACTGAGCAGGGTGGCCCTCCTGTTTAGACAAGCCGTGCAGTTCAGTCCACCATTCATAGTTAGTTAAAAGGCGAGGCTGGCATTAGTTTGACTCTAGCCAAAAGTTCTCCATGCACAACACAGGCCAGGATGCGGCTTGTGTGTCTCCCTTGCACCCAGCTCCAGCTCTGCTGCAACCAGAAGCCTTCAGTCCCCGCTGAGCCGCAGGTAGGTAGCTACACGCTGCCAGGGCGCTCCCCCGCAGTTTTAAATCACGACAACGTGGAATTGATTCGCAAATGCAACATTGAAAACAGCAAACAAAGGTAGTCCTCAGGCAAAACATAACCTTTAGAACACCAGGCAAAAGCCCTGGCAGAATAAAAGTGGTGGGTTGATATCTTTTTTTGCTGGTGGTTCCATTATGCGTGGATAGGTAACTGCACTGGCATTTATTATTTTTTCCTATCGTGAAATAAGACCAGTTAGAGCAGGAACTCTCTTTTATTGTGGGGAGAGGAAGGTTTTTCGGCTGTTTTCAATGGTTAGCTCTCTGCTCCGCCCCGGTGGAGAACAAAGAAGGCGGGTCTCTGCAGCGGAGTGACGTATATACTGAAGCATATGTAACCAGAGGTACCACTGTACACTCTCACTTTTTCTATGGGCAGCAGAGGGAAGTACTCTTTCACTTTTCCTATATCTTGGGGCCGTGAGACGCCTGCTAGCTCCGCCTCCCTCCCGCCGGATTGGACATTGTCTCTGAGCACAAATAGAGCGCGGGAAGGAAGACGAGGAAGGCGGAGGAGAAGGGCGCGGGGACTCCGGCCTGCGCGCTTTCCAAAGAAGCGGCTCGGCTGAGATGCAAGAGGGACGCGCCTCCAAGCAGGACTTCGCCCGGGCCACACCGGTAGAGGTAGCTGCTGCGTAGTTTGACCCTTTTCTCACTTCTCTTAGGATTCAATTCTATTGAATTCGGTGAGGTTCACTCCCAAATGTGCGCCAGATTGCAGCCTTACAGCGCGACCCTACTGTGCGTGTCTCCTCTGAAGTAAGCCCCGCTGAGTGCAATGGGTCTCCTCCCCAGGTAAGTGTGCACATGCTTACTAAATAGGATTGCAACCTCCATCCCGGCTGCGATTGGATTTACCTTTCCGTTGGACGCCAGTGGATCGGAATTTTTGACCAGGAAAGCGGCGCCTCTGCTAAGGGGCTTCTCTCACTCGGGCAACAAAGCAAAAAATGCAGTTTAAAAGATAGTGTCGGTTACTGCATTACTGTTTCCCCCCATTATTCGACCCAAGAGCATGTATGCTTTAGTTGAGATTCCTGCATTGCAGAGGGTTGGACTAGATGACTCCAGAGCAGCGGTTCTCTGGGGACCCACAGGTTGAGAAAGGCTGCTCTGGAAGCCCTTCCATGATTTTATGATCAGGCTCCAGCAAGAACAGAATCGTCTTACAGAAAGAATTACTTATTGTAGGTAGCTTCAGTGTTCTGGCAGTATGCTGAGAGGAAATTTTTTTTGTTGGTTTGCTCATTAATAGATTTGCAGTCTTTATGAGTAAGTCCCATGGCTCTTGGAAAGATGAGGAAACTGTCAAACCCCCAAATTTCTAGAATGGGTTTGTCTTGAGGAATCACAACTTTTCATTTAATGTTTGACAAAGACAAATACTTGGTGGGAAATACCTCGTAGCTAAGGATTGATTGTGCTCAGTCTTGAATGTGTGTTTGTGTGTGTATATAAATGTTTTTGAGCATGTGCAGAGTACAGTTCTACATCACTTAGTAAGCATAACTAGGAGGGCTTCTGCAGAAGATGGCAGTGCTTGCTTTCTTCTTCCTCATTCCTTTTCTCTTTTTGTATTTTTCTAGTAGATTGTGAGCCTGCAGACAAATACTGTACTAGTTTATCATGTATGTATAGTGGTTCGAAAACGTTATAGGTGAAATACAGAACATTGCAAAACCCGGAGTTCTGTGGGTCCCACTGTTGTAGTGCATCTTGTTTCCTACCACCACTTGTGATGTGTATTATTATTACTTAGAAAGCACTTAATATATTCTAAGCACAGGGTGACGATTTAAGGATGAGCTGTTGATTGTGAAAGAAATACTTGTCTGAAAAGCTAGAACGAGACCAGGTGACTCTTGGGTTCATCCCAGTTCTGCCGTTGATTTGTTTTGTATGCTTTTTATATTCATTAGAGCTTGATCAACAGTGCTATCAACATGGATGGTCCGCCCGTTCCTTGGTTGCAACGATTTGATAAAGCTTCTCGTCTCCTCCTCTGCACGCTGATGTCTGGGCATTGGGGGGCCCTGGCTGCTTTCCGCACTCTTCAGCGCTCCCTGTCTGGGCAAGGAGCAAGCCAGGGCTTCAGCTGGTGGACCTTCACAGAGATTCTGTGTTCTCAAGAGCCCGTCCTCACAGGCTCTGAGAAGACCCTCACCTTGTGAGTTGCTCAAATCTCTCATTTTAAAAAGTATGGCATAGTGTCCTCATAAATCAGAATTATTTCAGGTCCTAGGAACCCCAATCATGCAGCATCTGACACTTGCTTCAGTGATGATCCAGTAGGTTGTGGGACATGCTCAGAACCAGAAAAGGTTGTGTTGAGATGTGTATTCTATCCCTGCTGATTTTAGCAGACAATCTGGGTTATGAAAGATGGTAGAACTGGTCCTCTGGGCATGGGTGAAAGTTTGTGTGGCTTTAAAAATCAATTTATGCGTACTGGATTCTGGATTGTTTTGGTGAATAAGTATAATTTGCAGATAATAATGCCTATAATATGCAGTGTTGGAACGTCATTTTCTTTTCTTGCATTCATAGCCTCTCAATATTCTGGTCTCGTATTCAAATTTTGGATCCTAATGCTGCCGGATATCTAGAAGTGACAACCTGAACACACTTGTTAAAATTATGCCCCAGGTTAACCAAGGTTGTATCTACAAAGGAGAAGGAACCATAGCTCAGTAGTACAGCATAGGATTTCCATAGAGAATATTAATTCTGAAGCATCTTCAGTAAAAGAAGATCTCTGTTAGCTGAACTCAGAAAGCCCTCTGCCTGAGAACTGCTGACAGTCAGAATGAACAACACTGGGATAAATGGTTTAGCTTCATATAAGGCAACTTCATATGTTCATATAATACCATATTTTATGGTGTCATATAATGGCTGGGTCTTGTTCCTTCCTTTCCCCCATATGTCTCAGAAAAGCACACATCCAGAACATGCTAGAAAGTGACTATACATTGAGGGGAAAGGACTACTCAACACAGAGAATGTATTTTAGGGCAGAGGTGGGCAACCTGTGGCCCTTCAGATGCTGCTGATCAACTTTTCACCATTCAGCCTGGGGCTGATAGGAGCCCGATTCCGGCAACAACTAGAGGGCCACAATTTCTCCACTTTGTTTTAGGGCCAGATGCTCATAATCCAGTTTCCATCATATGGATATAAAATCCCAACATTTTATAACGGCAAAATAATAACAAACACCATTAAGACAGGTGGAAACCATTAGCAATAAAGCAACAGTAATAACAACATTCAACCCAGTATAATGTCACCAAATATTCAGGTGTACTGCATGTTGAGTTGTACTTCCTATGTTACTATAGAGTTATCATATTTCCCTGGTGATGATCTTGCTTTTCTTCTTCCAAATGGTTATTTCAGAAAACCGTTGCTGTTGCTGCTTCCAGTGTTGTGCCAAAGAAACCTCTTTTCCCTGTTGCTTACAGTGCAGTCTACAGTGCCAGAAGCATGCCTCCAACACCTACTTCAAGCTTCTAGGCAGGATCCCAGCCCTGATCTATGGGTGCAGAGATTGAGGGATTTACTACAAGTGAGGGTGCAAGAGAATAGCTCTGTGATGCCAGTCCTACTATCTGATTCATGTCGGCAGCAGCTGAAATATATTTGCCAGAAAGTTAGTTGCGGCAAACCTGGATTAGAAAGGAAATTAAGCTGGTGTGCTAAACAGGCAAGTCCCTACATAGCATGGACTGGAGATGCTCCTGGTTCTGTGCCTCAGATAAGGGAAAATAAGGAAGTAGCTGAGGAACCACTGGATCCTGAAGAAAAGGTGCTGGAGAAGAGGTCCAGACTGGAAGTTGAATTGAATACAGAACTTTGTGAACCACATGGTCTAATGCAGGGAGTTGGAGTTAACACAGGGAATGAAGTCATGATGGAGGTGTCTGAGAATGAAGGTGTTCATAGCACAAGCAATGATGTATATCAAAGTTGCCCAAAGGAGGAAGCAGAAGAAGCAAAAGTTGCCAATTGGAGTCCCCAACAGGACACTGCAGCCGGGGTCCCTGATTATATCAAGGTATGAAAAACTATTAGATTCTTTTCCTTCTTTGGCAAACTAGCAGTGCGAACATGGAACATAAGCCCTTCTTACCAGGGATGCTTCACAAGTATCATTTATCCTCCGCTAATGCCCGTTAGGAAATATTGGCCCCTTTGACAACAGAATGATCCCTTGGACAGTTGGAACAAGTTTTGCAATTGCAGGAAGATTTTGTGGGATAACCAGCTTCATATAAACAACATACTTAAATCTAATTAATGCATGAAGGGGTTAAGACCATAGAGTATGCTGTTCTGCCAGGCTTAGCTCACCTTGAGAGGAATTAGATAATCAGTACTTTGTTCTTCAGTCTACCTGAGAAGCTCCCCGTGTGAAGAGATTTGAGCTGGTTGCTTCAGCTCAGACTGCATGGCTCTAATGTGTCATTCTTGAGTTCCTATTCCAATAATCTAGGAACTTTCACCACTTTGTAAGTAAGTTAATCAATTGGGGACAATTAATTTGGTATGTATTTATTATTGGTTGTTTACATGCAAGCCTATCATTTCAGTCTCTATATTGTAATTGAATGTAATGGATTTCATTTTATATTATTGCCAGCTGATGAAGAATTATCATTGAAACTGTTCATTATCCTGGCAGAACTGTTCTGTCTGCTGCTGTACTTGGAGCACCCTATTACTACGTTTGGAGCGCCTGTCATCTCACATTTGTAGGATATTGACTGTGGAAAGGCATTCTGCCTCCATTTCAGTGATCTTTGACAGTGACTTACCACTCCTACCATTCCTGTTCATGGAACATTTGATTCTTATTAGTTTGTGACTCCATAAACGCATGTGTTTTGTTTATGAATTTTGAAACAGTATAGTGTTATAAAAATGTTGTCAGTATATTATTAGCCAATGTGTTGCTTGTTGTTGTTCAGAGTGTGCAACTTTCTGAAGCACATAAACGATTTAACCATTTTTCTCTTGTATTTGAGGACCATGTACCAAAACTAAAAGAACTTCTAGAGATGCAGTTTGATGTAAGTATTTGTTACCGCATTTCTGCTTGGGGCAGATGCCCTGGCAGACTTCCTTATATATCCCTTGAATAAAGTTCTGTTCAGTTGGAGTAGTTTCATTTTAAGGAGAAGCAGATTCATACCCTGCCTTGTTACATTATCTGTATTTCCCCCCCCCCCCCTTTGACTTTTAGCTTTCTGATGGGATTGCTCCACCTGAGCTACAAGTTTTTAATGAATGTACTCCAAGCCAGGTTAGTAGGGCAAAATGAATGTAAGTAATTTACAGCCTGGTCTTAAGTAGGTTTACTTGAAATTAAGTCCCATTTAATGCATCTATTTTTTTTTTTAAATGTCCTTATGCCAATTGAATATTCACGATGTCTGTCTTATTTACTTATTTAAACCATTTATATACTGCTTAACTACAATCCTCTCTAATTGGTTACAATTGCCTCTTACTGCTGTGCAAGAAATACAATACAGAAAAGTTTTTTTTAATGGTTAAACTATAAAATTAGACCTCAGTTAAAATGCCTGCTGAAATTAAACAGAAAAAGATTCCAGTAGGCTCTGGAAGTTCAACAGGGAGGGAGTCTGTCTGACCTCAACAGGAAAGTAGTTTTGCAGAAGTGGGCCCACGATACTGATTGCATGACTCCTTTTGGATATGAGCTGTGCATCCAAGCAGTGGGATACCACTAACAGTGACTCCCCTGAAGACCTCAGTGATCAGGCAGGGATTCAAGAGATTAAGGCAATCTTTGAGGTATCCCGAACCCAAGTTGTTAAGGGTCTTGTACATTACCATATTTATTCGAGTCTAATGCGCCATCGAATGTAATGCACGCCTCAATTTTCAGAATCTTGAAACACAAAAAATATTAAATGTAAATGTGCCATCGAATCTAATGCACACCTTAATTTTTGCAATGTAATTTGGCCAAAAAAGGTGAGCATTAGATTCGAGTAAATATAGTAATACATGTATGTGGGCAGCTGGTGCAAGCAAGCCTTTGAGCACCAGAGTTATGTGCTGGCAATCATTTGTCCCCTTCAACATTCTAGCCACTTGTTTTTTTTGTGAGAATAGGGTGGTTTTACTATTTTATGCAAGTTGTAATGTGATTTTTTAAAAAAAATTCTGTATCCATTTTAAGACACATTATTATTACTATTATTATTACTCTTATTATTAAACAGCATTTAAGAAATTTAATTAACTAACTCACTTAATGAGACTCCTTCCCAAGTAACTATATTTCCAAACCTTGCTGAAACCAACCTGCCCAGGTACTAGTGATATTTGGGAAACAGACTATTGGGTAATATTTCATGTCCTCTTTTCCTTTAGTTGAAAGTTCTGTGCTCATTACTGCAGCTCTCGGAGTGCCCAGAAAACAAACTTCTGCATTTCTGCACTTGGTTAGTCGCACTCTCACCTGATCTTGGCTATAGTAATGCAGCAGTTCTTGCTGAAAAGCTCTTTCTACCTCGGGTAAGTACTGAGAATATAAATCAGGTGAAGAAGAAACCTCCTTCAGTGGTTTATTGATGTGTGTAATGTTAGCTTATGGATGGTAGAGTCTTTTCCAGTTCTTTTGGGAGTGAAATCTTCCAGGCCTACTACCCTGAAAAATGTTTTGTTTTTTTAAAAAAATAATTTCTTTCTCATATATATTTATATATATATATATAATAGCAACTTTGTATTAATGTAATATTTTTATATGTAACTGTATTTTTGTAAAATTTTAAGTTGTCTGTTGTTGCTTTAGTTTTCTGTGCGTTGCTTAGAGATATTTTTAATATCTTAAGAGGCATAGAAAGTAAACAATCCATCAGACACAGAATTACGGGGTTGGAAAGGACCTTTATCCAATCGTCTGCTCAATGTAGGATCTGCAGTGTAGGATGCATAATAAAACATCGCCTAGTTTTATCTTCTCCTTTAACAGGGGCTATGGATTTTAATGGAGTAGTACTATATAAAGCACATATATTTCCTGCCCCGTCCTAAGTCAAAGCAGTAAGGTATATAACAGTCTCAAGTTTTTTATATTCTCTGGCAGATTTGCATGTGGGGGAGGAATTGAGTGGGAAAAAATCTGGAAGAAAGAGCTGAGCAGCCACCACCCCAATTCCTTTTTTCTTCTTGATTGCAGCCTTTCACAGCTACCTTTCATGGTTTTAAAAGAAATAAACAAACCAGGAGACTGCTACACTTTTGTCTCCTGTGGAAATATCTTAGCTTGGTGCTAAAGAATATTGCATTCCTCTCTCGGCAGCCTATTATCCCTGCTCCACATACATGTTGTTTCTTGTCCTAAATATGCACCTATGAGTTTAAATGTAAGCATTCATGCTCATTTTTTTGAGAAATTAAATTAGCCAGTTAATTCAAGTGTTTACAGCAGATTAAGTCAGGAATAGGCAACAGAGATCTGTGCATCAGGATTGAAATGCTGGAGAAATGTGAGGACTAGGGGAGCCAACCATTGAACCTAACAGAAGTGGTTTGAGGAGCAGAAAAAGGTCAGGTTGGGTGGGTGGAGGGAAGCCAGCTAATCCGATGATGGATGCAGGCAGCCTTTTATACAGACAGTTTTCCTAGGATGCTGATATGGGCTGTGAAACCTGTGTGTCTCTGTTTAGGTAAGTTTTTAATGTCTGATGCTTTATTGTCTTTTTAATTTGGTTGGGAGCCGCCCAGAGTGGCTGGGGAAACCCAGTCAGATGGGCGGGTTGTAAATAATAAATTATTATTACAGTCATACCCTGGAAGTTGAACAGAATCTGTTCCAGAAGTCTGTTCAACTTCTGAAACATTCGACTTCCAAAGCATGGCTTCAGATTGGCTGGAGGAAGCTCTTGCAGCCAACTGGAAGCCCTGTCGGACCTCGGCTTCCAAAAGAACATTCGAAAACCAAAACGCTCGCTTCTGGTTATTGATTGTTCAGGAGCCGGAATGTTCCACTCCCAAGGTGTTCAGGAGCCAAGGTACGACTGTGTTGTTGTTGCTGCTGCCATATTCTGTGTTTTAAAAAGAGCAGTTCATTTAGTAAGTAAGGCACAAAGCAAACCTACCTTACAGTTGGGAGAAGCAGGATGGAGTGGCATGGCAGATTCACTGTTACGATCACATTAGAAGCCTACTGCTTGTGTTGTCTAGAGCTGGCACAGCTCTGCAGGGACCTGCATCCTGTGGATACAAAGCTGTCAGTGCTCCATGCTGAAAAGTCCCCTTTGGGGGCTTTTTGTTGACAGTAGCCTTTTACCCACTAGCACAGAGCCCCCAGAGTGGCCTGTAGAAAGGTGACTATGCGCCATCCTAACTCCTTTCCCCATCCTTTAACTTTGGGGAGCTAGGACTGCACTCCCAAGTGAAATTATTTGGCAAAAAACCATAACAATATTATACCAAAATTGGGGCTTACAAACATAGTTTTCATTTTTTAATGAGTGGCAACCACCCTGAAATATTATGCTTTATGCTACTCCGAGTGCAGATGCCATAGTTTCCTATGAGGATATGAACGTTACTGAAACTACTTTGAGCTGAGTGCAGTACTGGAGATTGCTATAGACCAGTGAGGCATTCTATTCGCAAATATCAATAGCTAGAGGATTGCAATTATTTTTGGTGCTACCAGGGCTGGCCCACCCTTGTGGCAAGGCATGGTGACTGCCTGGGTGCTATTGATCTGTAGATGATGGGACAATGATCACTAGTTATACCTATTATCCATAACTTGAGTTCTCTATCCTTCAGTGGAATAGCGGAAACACAGCTCCTGTAGATGTGTTTTGCATTTTGAGTTTCTCATCTCGTATGATATGTTGCCATCCAATTTTAAATGCAAAACAACCTGAAGAAGGTTGTCTGCTTTCCCCATCAGCCTTTTTCACTCTTTGTTAAAACAGAATTATAGCTGCCTCTGTATCCCCAAAGTATTCAAGGTTGCTGCTGATCCAACAGTATTATCTCCCTGCTGCTTCTGGTCTGTAGGTTCTCTCATTGACTGAGCCACCTTCCTGGCCTCTCACAACTGCCCTGATGATGTTCTGCTCCAAATATTCTCGCCCAGTCTGTTGTACCTTGATTTCTTCAGTTATACAGGCTCCAGCGAAAGGTGAGCTTAATTTACCTGAGCTTCTGTTTGTAGAGGTGGCATAAATCCTTCTCTCTAATAGAGAACTCGAGTGGTTGAGCGGTGGCATGATTAGAGAGGAAAATGGGACCTCTAAGAAACAGGGTGGTACTGACATGTTCTGGTAAACAGAACATGAAAAGGGGTGCAGGGCTCAAGAGCCTATTGAGGGCTGAGCAGGCCTCAGGAGATACAGAATGTTGAGTATCAGATGGAAAGGGCTGGAGGGAGAGAATTGACCTGCTTTTACATCTTACTGCTCGCGACAGGAGTGGGGAACCTATAGCCCACAGGTTCTAGGCAGGCTGGCACTACATTTATTTTACTTTTTTAAGAATCAGAACTACTGGCAGTAAAGTACAAGACACTTGTGAATCACCAGCCTCTGGCATTTAAGAAATGAGCAGATAAGAATGTCCACAATTTAGCTAAATCATCAGATTTCTGAAAACAAAGTTCTCATTAGCCCCTTAAAAATATATAAAATGCAAATTTTTGGTATCTTTGCTTTTGAAGGCCTTGAGCAGATGAAGCTGGTGTGCAAACTAATTGAGGAGTGTTTGGAGCCTGAGTATGTGAGGCTGCTATTCAGGTAAATTCTCCTAGTGTAAAATGAAATGTAATATAGGAATTGCATGAAAGAGGATTTGATTTCCAATGACGGGAATGAGTGTCAAGGTGTTCTAGAATTCTCAGTTGCTACCTTCCGATATATGAAACTATATACTGGGGAAGTTTCTGTGTCTCCCTAATGAACATAAGTTGCAGAGCAACATTGCAAACCTAAGCACTTGCTGCATGTCACACAATCTCTTTTTTTATTTCTGCTTTTTCATTATAAAGTCCCTCCATACTATCACACATATGACAATGAATAAATAACAGTCACAAGTTTTCTTACTCCTATTCAAAAGAATTGACTAAAACAGAGGAATTTGTTGGACTCCAACTCCCATCAGCCCCAGCTAGCATGGCCAGCAGCCACAAATGATGGGAGTTGTAGTCCAACATCTGGTGGGCCATCCTGTGTCTTCCCTGTGGACCTTTTACTTTTATATGTTTTCTAGGACTAAGATTAAAGAAACCTGAGTTGATTAATAAGATGTTTTAAAATCAATGAATAGTCATAAATTTGCATATGACTAAAATAATAGTTGAGCAGGGGAGAAGTATACAGTGGTACCTCGGGTTAAGAACTTAATTCGTTCCAGAGGTCCGTTCTTAACCTGAAACTGTTCTTAACCTGAGGTACCACTTTAGCTAATGGGGCCTCCCACTGCCGCCGCTGTGTGATTTCTGTTCTCATCCTGAAGCAAAGTTTTTAACCCGAGGTACTATTTTTGGGTTAGCGGAGTCTGTAACCCGAGGTACCACTGTACTTTTGTTTGTTAGGTGGTACATGCATGTCACAGTAGGAGCAATTTTAGAGGCATTTCTGTCCTTTGCGAAAGTTAAGGTGGTGCACCTAAGATGCTGCCTGCCATCTGCAGTTTTCATTACTTACATTAAAAATAACTTTTATTAAAAGTTTGTTGTTCATTTAATTAGAGATGCCCTTGAGCTGTTTTTTATCCATTATTCAAAGGTTGCAGCCCTAATGTTACACATCTTCTCTAACCACTGCTCCATAGAAGAGACCTGAAATCTTTTCAGTACTGCAATATTGTTATTAACCACATGGCAATTAACATGCTCTTGAGTCAGGGAATAGCCTTAGTGAGTGGCATAAAGACTACCCCTCATATAATTTTGTTATCTTTCTCCCTCCTCTGCCTTTCTTTGCAGCCATATTATAGAAATGCCGTGGTCAGAAGATCTCCTCGTAGCTGTGCATTCTTTGCTGGGAAGACAGGTGACTATGAATATAAGTCTTCCTGTGCTTCCATATAGAGTTTACTAGCTGGGTAGCAATAGAGACTAGAATCTGTTCTCTCCAAACTAGCATTTTGCCATTTCTCTGCTGCCTGCACTTTTGTCCTTTGTCTTGACAGCATGGTGTGCACCTTTGCTGAATATGATTGAAGTAAATGCCAGCATCTCAAACTGTAGTGCAAAGCTAGTTGTGATACTAGTTTCTTTTAGTGTCTAAGGAAGCCTCTGTCTGAGCAACATTTTACTGTCCTAGTGCTAATTCATTCTTGTCCAGTATGGCTTGCACCGAGTCTATCTGAACAACTAAAATGTACGCAAGGGCAATTAATATTTAGGCTGCCTCTCTCACCCCTTCCCCCTTGTTTATCTTCTTCACTTTTCAGGTAGTGTTATCCACTGAGCTCTTCAACATGTTGGTCTTGAATCTTTGCCAGATGGCTCAAGAATTTGCCACATCAATGCATTATGCAAATCTGGTTCTGACAGTGTTGACGAAATACCAAAGCAGTGTGAGTTACTTGCAACAGGCGCTTGAAAAGAAATGAAAAATGGCAGCTTGCTTCTTAAATATTTCTATGGAGCTTTCCTATTCTATTGCGATAGTGTGTACTGTAGTGTTTCTTTCACTTACCTTCCAGCATACATTTGAATTTCCTCTTGAGATTGTGAACCTAATTATTAGAAGTGCTGAGCAGCCTCTTTTCCTATAGCAGAACACAGATGCTCCTTCAGCCTGATAATGAAGTTTGGGCATTAGGCTGAGTTTACAAGAATTAATCTTACAGTATTATTATATGTTTCTCTGCGTGAAAAGTATGGTTATTTTACTGTATGTGGGCAGGGTGGTGACGGGGGTTGGGGCAGAGAGAGAAGGGTCGGCGATCCTCCATATGTTTTCTTTGCTGAGTAGAAAACCTGGTTGAAAAAGCTGGTAAGACAGAACCAACATAGATAATTTTGGTGCTAAGACATAGTAGCAAAATAGCAATCCCCACTCCTAGGTTCTTAGAGAGTATGGCACCACAAGGTGTGACTTTCTTTTTATTAATGCATGATGGGAATATCCATGTTGGGTTTGGTCAATTAACATGCTTTGAATTCAATGATATGCAAATAATCATAGACCACAGTCAGTATACCAATCTGAAATTAAAGGTACAAGTTTATATAAACCCTCCAGATGTGCAGTAGCTATCCACATGAAATCGATGCCTATATGAAATATGTTTGAATGTTGCCAGAGTAGTGAGGTCCTCAGACCATTGTGGAATAGATAGTGATTGTCCATTCTTCCATGCTCAAAGTCTAAGTCTCTTAAGCCACCATAAGGGCTTGCAAAATCCTCTTTTGTCCTTCCAACTTGTGTGTTTACTGTAGACAATCTAGGCAACTGGGGCAGGTCATGAGAGTGGGATCAACCTGCATAAATGTAGCAAAAGGGTTATGAGTTTTTACCAGCACGCGCTAAGCAGCTACATTTTGTCCTCCTTTTTAGATTACATTGGCCCATCAGCATCGCTTATCCTGTGCCTTGGACCTCAACAGAACAATCTTGAAGAAGTCTCTTCAGGCTGCACTGAAGCGAGTGCCTTCAAATAAAGAGGAAAGCTGAGTTCCTTTCCTATGTGGAATAATGCTAGAAGGCGACCTTTCTTTAGTATTGGTAACCATAAGATGGAGAAGACTAAAGACCCATTGAGAGGCTGGGGAATCAAAGAGGACCTGTGTCTTTTCAAATGTTAACTCTTTCTCTTGTCTTTCAATAAGAGCCAGCTGGATTTGTCTGAACAAACGGTGTGCACATTGTCTGGAGTGTACCTGATTGCCAAGCAATTTTGCATCAGTAGTTGTGAGAAGTGAAACTTCTTTCATTGCCATTAACACTGGAAGCTCATGCAAATAGGGAGCTTTATATATCTTTGTCACTTTCCTGTGGCAAGGATGTGCCTCCTGAGAACAACAACTGCTGGAACTGCCGGGGTTGGAGATAAAGATGCCTCTAGGGTAGCCGTAGTATGAAATAACTACCCCCCCCCCCCATAAAAAATAAACACTCCATAATCTGGCTATTTGTGTGAATTCTGCAGTGACAGATAAAAATCAGTTAACTAATTTGTTATCTTTCAGCATGAAAAGCCCACAAGGAGTTGGTCCATGGTATAGTCAGTGCAGCTGTAATCGTCTAAGTAGCAACTTGAATTGCCTGGTTAAAAAAACTGAACACACCTGAAAGCTGGTATTTATGAACTACATCACTTTTCCAACAAGTTCTGTTGGATCATGAACCGTTTCACACCACTCAGGGGGGAAAACCATGTCTGGAGGCAAAGGCTGGCTGATGCTCTAACTGCAGCATGGATTTTAGATGTGACCCATGCAACCATTTCCCTCATTCTATGGAGCACCAGCCCACCCAAAAATCAGCTGTGACCAAAAAAGAGGAGTAGAAAAGTATATGAGGAGACCTTAATGCCTTTGCATGTTTTCTCATGTAATTCAATCAACTTAAAGCACTAGACTACTATATTTACTACACTTTTAAGTATAAGATAAAAGGTTATTTGGGCATTTGCCCAACAGTTATTGCTTAGGGCCAAAGTAGTTGCAGCAGAGGTAAGTTCTATATTGTTAAGCACAAAGCTTCCTTTGTCATGTTCAAAGGGCGTGATGGGGATGCAACTTGAGCTTAGCAAAACAATTAACAACAGCAACAACAACAAAAATAATGGTATTAGGGTACAGGGTACTAAACTTCCCTGTCATGGGTCTCCCCATGGCTCTTCACAAGTGCCGTTAACATCTTCAAATACTTGCAGTGTTGGAGATAAAACTGGACCTGTTTACTCTTCTTCCCCCAAGTGAAAAAAAGGATGCTTGTGTGTTTAAATATACAGAATGTGCTTCGGGGGGGCCACTAGGGGGTGCATTGGAAGATGGCCGACAATACCATCTCTCCGACCCACACGGGGTAATTAAGAGGCTGTTATGGGAGTAGGAAGCCTCCCTTGTTGCCCCAAGGAAATGGGGAACACTGCCCTTGCCTGCTGTGCCCATAAATCACCCCCTAATTCGAAATAAGGGGGTGAGGGCCCTAGGCAGAATGCCCCCCTGTGGACCTTGGCTCTCCTGGACGCTGTCTCTGATCGCGCACTAGTTGCAGCAATTTGGAATAATTAATTACAAAAGAAGCAAATGCACATATTTCAAGTGAAGAAGGGGAGTGAAGTCTGCTAATTTAAGTGACCTCTGCAAAAGAAGACGACGGGCTGGAGAAACAGGAATATTTTACGATGAAGATACACCAAAGGCGGGGTATGTTGACAACGGGGCTGAATGGGGGGGGGGAACCTTTTTTACTTTCCTTCTATGTGATTTACAAGAACCCCTCCTCATTAGAACCGTCAGTTGATCTGACCCAAGCAGGATGATTAAGGTCTGTGTGGAGATAAATTTTAACCAAAAGTATGCTTTATGGAGACCGAGAAGCAATAAGAGCTTTTGGGAATGGCGCAGCAATTAATTCGGAGTCACCATCTTGCCAAAGGATTTACACCCGGGAGGAAGAACGGATTTGTTTTCAGACTGCATTCCTAGTGAATCTCCTGAGAGGTTTTGAGAAAGGAGGCAGATTGGTGAAGATTAATGATGCTAAGACTGTTTTGATGTATGGAAGTGATGTTATATGGAAAACGTCTGGATATGGCTACTGGATAAAAAAAAAAATATCCACGCAGGATTACAAACTGTTCTAACCAGCTTGCGGAGACTATCAGAGGTCACAAAGAGAAAGGAAAAATATATGAAAATAACAACAAGAGATGTGGAAAAATAATAAGAAAGGACTGGATAGTACTGTGAACATCATAAGGTTAGATTTGTGGACATTAAAACAGCAGTAAGAAGCAAGAAGTTGATTGGATCCCTTCGGAACTTGAAATATGGGTACCCCCAACAAAAATTTAAAATTCGGCTGTGTAATTTGGAATTTATGTAATTTGGTTTGATTTGATGTGATTGGTCGGTTAATAAAAAATTATTCTTAAAAATATATATATACAGAATGTGCTTCGATTAGGTTTGACCTTAGATGTTCACAACTTAAAAGCTAAGTACAACCATTTAACTAGAATATCTCCTGTCCCTTCCCAGGTTTGTAAGCTGTTGTCCAATTGTTGAGAAAAAATGGCCCAATGCTTTCTTATACAAAGAGCACTTATTCATACATGCACTACATGCTATAACTCCTGTTACATTTTTAACAACAGGATTTTAAACCATCCATAAGATGAATGAGAACTGGACTTGGGAGCCTGGTATGATGGGAAAGCAAAAGCACATTACAGTGGTACCTCGGGTTACGAACTTAATTCATTCTGGAGGTCCATTCTTAACCCGAAATTGTTCTTAAACTGAAACTGTTCTTAACCTTAGGCGTGCTTTCGCTAATGGCGCCATGCCGCCACTGTGTGATTTCCGTTCTCATCCTGGGGCAAAGTTTGCAACCCGGAGCAACTGCTTCCGGGTTAGCAGAGTTTGTAACCTGAAGTGTTTGTAACCCGAGGTACCACTGTAGCTTGATTTTTGCATCCATGCTATTCACTGCTAGAGATGGTGGCTGCTTTCCTGTGCACAGACTGGTTCAAGCAAATATGTCTCCATCTCATAGGGTCAAAGCTACTTTCATGGGCGTACCTGCCCATGTGAACTGACATGCATACAAGTTCCGGATAGGCTGATCTAAAAGCTAGTAGCAGGTCCACTATCAGGTCTTACAATAATGAATATTAGTTCAACATTCCTAAGAAGTTAAAGGGGCATTTTGGAAAATAGCTTTTAATTTTAATTCTCAGCCAAATGCAGCTTCCACCTTTGTTTCAGAATTGAATTTCACAATTGGAGATCTAGAATTTATACATCTAGTTTGTCTTTAGTCCTTGGTATGTGGAACCTGTGAACCAAAGATGATATTTGCATACTTCACAGATCCTGAAGAGATCACACCAGGAGAGCACTCTCCTGGAGAGGAAAGCTCACTGGGGTTTTTGTTGAAACTTGACCTTAATGGGAACTTCATGTTGACATATGTCACATCCTCTGTCATTGGCTTCTTCAATATGGCGTATACCGCGTTTGTTTCTTTGTCCAAAGGATTGTCGGTAGCAGTGCTTTCATGTATCTGAGCATGGATAAGAAACAAAAAGGCTTGTTTTTTTGGAAATAGACTCTTAAATGCCAGCCTTATTTCACCTCCAAGACCAGATTCCCATTTTTGGTATTGTGTCTGCATCTGTTAAGGGTTTCTATCTTTTTTAAAATGTGTAAATACAAACTGGCTCTGACAGACTTCTTTCAAATAAGACAAACTGAACTACTGCTAGGATAAATAGTAATTTTTGTAGTAATACATTTATAGCCCAGCAGTATAGGCATTTAAGCAGAAAATGGTTAATAGAATAATCCTATAATCACATTTCCACTAAGTGGGAGGGGGACATAGTTAAATCTGTAGAATACCCATGGCATCTCTGCCCTGGTCTAGAGTCATGCTATATCTGTGAGTGTAACTGAACTGGGAGTGAGGGTGGGTGGGAATAGGAATTGGCTTGGTGTCTGGGTGGTGAACAATGCAATTTAAAAGCAAATAAAACCTTTAGGGAAAGCAAAAACACATAATTGCATTTAAAAATAGTCCCACCAGCAGCAAACCATATATAAAAGTATCAAAAATCACCTAAATGCCTGGAAAAACAAATGCATCTTTACTTGGTGAAAAAAACTTAATGTTGGTGCCAAGGGAGCCTGAATTAAATGCATTTCCCATAGACCATATAAAATACCCAGTACTGAGAATGAATTATAGTTGTATATTACTAAAGTTTTCAACATGGCATTCACAGTCAAGGTTACTGCCTGGTTTGCAACTTAGTGCTGGGTCTAGAGTCATGCTATATTTGGGCAACTGTATATTTTCAGGAAATGGAATGACAACATGGATTCTTTCTTATCCCCCAGAAAGAGGTGGAAGCTGTAGTCCAGATGCCAAATGTGGCCCAGGATCCCCATAGATCTGACTGCAAAATCTGAGTTGAATGTGATAATCTAGCAAAGCAAAGCATATTTGAAGGTGGTTTTTTTTTCTATGGGAAATGATAATGCTCATGATTACTATATTTCCACAGTGGAGAAACTGCCCATGGTCAGATTTTCTCCTAACTTGTGAAATGGTCTCTTACCTGGAATGTTATTATTCTACAGTTTGGGTTATCACCAAAATTCAGGTCATCTGCTGCTATTAAGAAGAGAGTCTCATTTTAGTATATAAATGTGCCTGTCTGTGCGCCACTTCACATGTTAAATTTTTAACTGAACACTAAGACGTAAGTGTACACCTTAAAAATGTGAAGATGGCGAAATGTAGGGATACATTCATCAGACAACTGACTAGTTGCATCTCTTTGTTGAATGTACATTCATTGGCTGCCTCTGCATAATATGTGAGATGGTTCTGTTTATACAGTCATCCCTCGTGTTGTGTTGTGTTCCGCTCTGGTTATGGACTTTCAGCTTACAAATGCAGCAAACCTAGAAGTGTTTACTTCCAGGTTCACCACATGCGCAGAAGCGATCTGCGTGCTTCACGCACATGCAGAAGTGCTCAATCACGCCGCACACATGCGCAGAAGAGGTGCTCTAGTTGTGGACTTTTCAGGGTGCGAACAGCACCCCGAAATGGATTAAGTCCGCAACTAGAGGTACCACTGTATTTACTGATTGCCAACAGTGTGACATGGATTCAGTGCATTGGCTTTCTCTGAGCTATGAAGAAATGGCATCGTTGAAAGTCGTTTTGTCAAACCTTTTTGCTTAAAAGGTGACTGTGGGAAGTGTAAAAGCTATTGAGTCACATGAAGTAAGGTGATGTACTGGATGAACATAGCTGTCAACTTTTCCCTTTTCTTGCGAGGAATCCTATTCGGAATAAGAGAATTTCCCTTAAAAGAAGGAAAACGTTGACAGCTATGTGGATGAATGGTTTGAGATGGGTGGTGATGTGCATCCCCCATGCATCCAAAGCCCATCATGTCACAGAGTGGGATAATGTCAGATGTTTTGCCACTTGGTGCATTTATGCATTGCACAAGCACGTAACTCATAGAGGGAGTGATGAGATGTAGTCAGTTGATGCTTGCGAATTTCTGTTGAGCAGAGCCTCAGATTCGCTTACTGTTTTGTATATCGTAGAGACTTTTCAGCCTTCATTTAGAAAGGCAAATATTGACATGAAAGCACACAGTCTGTTCAGATGAAGCCATTTAGGTGTGCAATCCTGACCATCTTCAATGCTACAATACTGCACAATACTGTATTCAAATCCAATCCATCCATTTAGATGCCTGCCAGGTGCTATTACAGTTATGCATGTAATGAAATCTTTAAAATGGCTGGGCTACATGAAAAACAAAAGCAAATCATACCTCTTGTTTTCTTCTTGATGAGCATTGTGACAACTAATATGAGGGCTGCAATAATTGTTATGCCAACCGCAATGGAAACCAGGACTAAGACAATGTGATAAAGTCTGAAACAATCCATAGTGCATTAGTTAAACCTGCTTATTAATTAATTACATTTTAAACCCCACCTTTCCTCAAGATGGTGAAAATTGTCCCCTGCCCCTATTTAATCCTCACAATAGTGTTGTGAGTTACGGTAAGTTAGACTGAGGGATATACTGACTGGCCTAAGGTCATCCTATGGGCTTTGCTAACAGGTACCTAATATATTTGTTAGACTGTCATTTACATGTACTGTACACAATAAAGTTTGTTTAGCTTTCAAAGTCAGACAGAAGTATGCAAAGAGCTCAAGGTTTTGTAGCACAGTTGTGCAGCAGAGAAAAGGCACATGCAGACTGCATGTTAGATGCAGATAATCATACCATGGTTTTTTTGTAGAGGATATAAAATTCTGGAAGTGCCATAATATAATTATTTGAATGGAAAAGTCAAATCCTGTAATTGCCTCTGTTCACATAATTTTTTTGGACCCAACTGCAATACAGTATAGAGCGGTGGGAGGAATAGATACTGTAGCAAACACAAATCCCTAATCCAGTTGCCTTTAAATTAAAAATAATATAATGTTGGTACCTTTGTTCATTTTCACTGGTTTCTGTCACAGTCCCGTAATTTTGCTGCCCTGAAAATAAAGGAAGAGAAATAAAACTTTTGTCTTTATTGTAACTCTTCCAAGGTGCATTCAGGTTTTGCTAACTTGCCTTCTTTTGCCCCTTATTCTCTTTAGTAAAATGTGAACGATTTATACGATCTGAAGAGAAGCCAGAGTATTGTCCCTTATTAGCATGATAATTAATACGTTAACAAACAACACAGGCCTCCTATATTGATCTTTGAAACACTGTCTTTGCAGCTTCCTTTTACGAACACTGATGCTGTTACCATTTGTCTCAACTAAAGAGCCATTGCTTTCTTATTCCAGTTGTGGATGTGTTGCTGTGGTGGTGTATCTCAAACTCTATGCAGCTCTTACTGATGGGGAACCTGCACATGCAGATTCAAACTAGATGGGATAATCACATATTTGGGTGCTTCCACAGATAAAAAAACAATCTACTTGGAGATTTAAAAAAGTGTCAAGTAAGGGCAAAGGCTATGCTAGAATGCATTTTTCCTTGACAGGCATTTTTTATTTCTGGAAGAATAATCAAATGTGAACTCGGTTATATGCAAACTAAACTGCTACATTCCAAGGGGGACTATACCATGTGATCTAGATCAGTCCTGAACTACCACAGGAACTAGATCCAGTTACCTCCATGTGCTCACCTTTTTGAACAATGACTTTGATTTTTCTTAAAGGGGTGATGTTCAGGCCATCAAGAACCCCAAACCAGTATATCCCCGAATCTTCTACTTGGAGAGCTGTTGTGAAAAAAGCAGCGCAGCCATTTCCCAGATCCTGTAGTGCAAATTTCTGGCTTGGTTCAGAAGTGAGATACTGCCATCCTCGGCCCGAGAGGCTAGAAGGCTCTGTAGGGTTACATTCTTTCAGCAGATCTCCTTTGCACCAGACTCCCTCTTGTTGCAAATATTGCGGTGAGCAGAAGCCCTCTATGCTGAGGGACTCTCCTTGCACCTTCATCACCACTTCTAGTCTCTTTCCTGGCTTACTAGAGCTTTTGAGGAATGGAACATCGGGTGTTGGAGGTGAGAAAGTATTGGTAGGTGCAAGAAGGCCTAGGAGAATAACAGTGAAAGTACGTCTTGTAAAACAGTGTTGACTTTCCACGTGCCCATTATCCCAGTACTGTAATGTCCACCCTTGCTGTCAGTGGCTCTCGAGGACATTCTCAGCACTGCAACCTACCTTCTTAAATGGGTAATGCTGGGGATTAAATTTGACACTATGGTACAATCCCAGAAAAGCTATATCACGTGATCCCCGCGCCCTCGTGTGTCTTGATCATCCCTGATTTACCACAGGAACTAGTTCTATTTACCTACATGTGCTTACCTTTTCGAACATTGACTTTGATTTTTCTTAATGGGGCAATATTCAAGCCATCAGTGATCCCAAACAAGTATATCCCTGAATCTTCTACTTGGAGAGCTGATATGAGAAAAGAAAAACAGCCATTTTTCAGATCCTGTAGTAAAACCCTCTGGTTTGGCTCAGTAGTCAGATATTTCCACCCTGGGCCTGAGAGGCTAGGAGACTCTGTAGGGTTACATTCCTTCAGCAGATCTCCTTTGCACCAGACTTTCTTTTGTTGTGAACAGAAGCCCTTTATGCTGAGGGACTCTCCTTGCACCTTCATCTCTTCTTCCAGTCTTCCGGGCTTGCTAGACTTTTTGAAGAATGGAATTCCATGTGTGGAAGGTGAGAAAGTATTGGCAGACACCAGAAGACCTAGGAGAATAACAGTAAAAATGCACTTTGTAAAATAATGTTGATCTTTCATTTGTCTATTTAGTTCAATGCTGTGCTGCCTACAATGGCTCTCGGCCCAGTATATCTGAAGGAGCATCTCCACCCCCATCGTTTAGCCTGGACACTGAGATCCAGCTCCGACGGCCTTCTAGTGGTTCCCTCACTGCAAGAAGTGAAGCTACAGGGAACCAGGCAGAGGGCCTTCTAAGTAGTGGTGCCTGCCCTCTGGAATGCCCTCCCATTAGATGTCAAGGAAATAAACAACTATCTGACTTCTAGAAGACATCTGAAGGCAGCCCTGTTTAGGCAAGTTTTTAAGGTTTGATGTTTTATTGTATTTTTAATATTTTGTTGGAAGCCGCCCAGAATGGTTGGGGAAACCCAGCCAGATGGGTGGGGTATGAATGAATGAATGAATGAATAAATATTATAATTATTTATTATTATTATTATTATTATTATTATTATTATCCCACCACTGCAGCCTAACTTTTTAAAACAAACTGGAAATATTGGGGATTGAACTGGAGACTATCTGCATGCAAAGTATGCTGTGCTACATAGCTGGTTCTCAGGTGAGTCAATTAAATTCATCTGGAGATGCAGATTCTGCCTACAAATTATGCTCTACCACAGAGTTAAGGACTTACTCTCTTAGGTAAGTAGACTAGAAAAAACCCTGTAGTTGGTGATCATGTGGAGACACCGGAGCTTGATCCTGAGACTGCATGCAAAGCATGCATTCTAGCACTGAGGTACCAGCAGCCCTTCATCATGTTAATCTGTTGCAGAAAGCAACAATGGAGTCTTGTGGTACCAGAAGACCCTTTGCCTTTGTTTTCCTTGAAGCACCACTACAGCCTTCCTTTCAATCACATTACATGTCCAGACTCTTTCGCTGACATTATAGTATGAACTGAAATAGATAATCGGGATTATTTTGGTTCATAAAGGAAGGTGGTGATGACCAGTCTCCCTGCTGTCCGACTCCCACAAGCAGTGCCGGATTTATGTATAAGCTATAGCTTAGGGCCCCACTCTCTTGGGCCCTCAAAAATTTTTTAAAGAAAAAAAACCTAGATGTGCATTTCCAAAATATAAGATAAAAAACAAATAAAATAAAACCTACATACAGTTAGAGCTTAACAATTATTTCACTATTAATATACTTCTTAATTGTATTTCATTTCAACAATTTGTTGTTGTTTTTTAGTTGTTTAGTCGTGTCCGACTCTTCGTGACCGCCAGACACTTCTGTCTTCCACATTTCAACAATTACTTTTATAAAATACCTATTTTGTTATGTGCAAATGGCTTTAGAGACCTATTAGGTCCATAAATTACCATATAGCATATATTCAACACAAAAAACCGTGACAATTTGTTGTTGATAAAGGACAGCTGTTGATAAAATAATAATAATAATAATAATAATAATAATAATAATAATAATAATAATAATAAATTATTTATACCCTGCCCATCTGGCTGAGTTTCCCCAGCCACTCTGGGGGGCTTCCAATCAAGTGTTAAAAACAATACAGCATTAAATATTAAAAACTTCCCTAAAGGGCCCCATTACCTTCAGTAGCTTAGGGCCTCATCAAACCTAAATCCAGCCCTGCCCACAAGAGAATTATGATCTGGCTAACATTCATAGTCTTTCATTTTGTGAATCACTGGGACTGTATAAATGACAATGAATGTTTTCTCTATTTAAAAAATGGGAACAAAACTTGTTTCTTGCTTTCAAACAGTAACTACAAAAACAAACAACATATTACTTTTAATTCAACACCAAACTTGTGTGTTCTGTACTGATGGCCATGAATGGGTGTCTCCCTCTGTGCCTTACCTGTCAGCATCAGCCTTAGCAGAAGACCTGGAAGTCCCTCCATCTTGTAGCTGAACATAGTTTAGGTTGCTGAGCAGTGAATGAGTCAATTTGCACTTGCAGGAAGGAAGCAAATGCCCTTTGTCATTGCCTGTTCCTTTTCTTGTCCCAGATCAGCAGAGTTGGTTTGGCGCTGTGGGAAGATCTTCTAAACATGTTTTAATTTTAGTGCTGAAGAGTTGCCCAACTTGGGTTGTGGGCAGTTGCTGTCCAGATGCATCGCACCAGACAAGACAGTGGACTAAGCAGCGACTGATAAAGCCAGTTCTGCTTTCTGCAGCTTCCCATCTCAATATGATGTGACCGCATCTCAATTTGCATGCATGTGGAGGCTTAGATGTAGGAGTTGTAGTAACAGAGCTCCTCATTTGGATTCCCTTAAATGGGGCATGAACCACAACATTAAGAAAAGAGTAATTTTGTGGCATGTTATGTTAGAATAAAGCCTTAAGAAAAATTGTTGTGCTGGCTATTTTGTAATGATTTATTAAAGCTGTGTTTTATCCCCACAACCATTCTTTATCTGTATTTATTTATGGATCCAAGAATATTACAGGCCTGTGTAGGTTGCGGCATTTTAAAAGTATGTTGATTGTTGGATGTTCTTTCATCACTTCACCAAGTTTTGAAGTGAGCAAAACAACAGCATCTATGAACATTGTTGGTGCCCAGCATGATTTTTTAAAATTAGCTTTTATTGGGGTTTTTTTGTGTTACAAGAGGACAGATAAACAGGGAACAGTACATCTATTGTCTCCACTTTCAATTCATAGTCTTTTTCACAGTTTGTTTACATTTGGTGAGAGACATTTTTGTCATAGATATCTTGCAGTTGGGGAAAAGGGGAGTGGGGAGAGAGATGGGGATATTGTTATTTTGTTCTATTGTAGGGGGGTTTGTGTCAGCATCACATGGGTAGGTTCTTTATGTATTTATTTGTGTTTATTGATATTGTGAGAGGTTAGGGGTTCCGGGTGGCCCTGTGGGTTAAACCACAGAGCCTAGGGCTTGCCGATCAGAAGGTTGGCGGTTCGAATCCCCACAACGGGGTGAGCTCCCGTTGCTCGGTCCCAGCTCCTGCCAACCTAGCAGTTCGAAAGCACGTCAAAGTGCAAGTAGATAAATAGGTACCGCTCCAGCGGAAAGGTAAATGGCGTTTCTGTGCGCTGCTCTGGTTCGCCAGAAGCGGCTTAGTCATGCTGGCCACATGACCCGGAAGCTGAACACCAGCTCCCTTGGCCAATAAAGCGAGATGAGCGCCGCAACCCCAGAATCGGTCACGACTGGACCTAATGGTCAGGGGTCCCTTTACCTTTACCTAGGGGTTCCCGAGCTTGGTTGGTTGTGTTTAGTTGATTGCAGTGTGGCTTATTTGTGTGAGGGAGGCGGACTAGGGTGTTGGGTCAGGTTAGCCGTATTGATTTGTATGCTGTTGTGGTGGGGGAGAGGTCATTGTCTTGTTGTCCTGTGTATATAAAAAAGGGGAATAACACTGGGGTGAAGGCATCCTCCGTAGCTTGTCCCCTTGCTAGTTTGAGTTTGTTGGTTAACTTTTCTAGTGCGGCAGTTTCTCATACGTTTTGGTACCAGTGGTCTAGGTTTGTGCCCAGCATGATATTTGTGGATATCTGTGTCAACTTTTGATTTGGTTGAAGTGTTCCTCACCCAGGTATCAAAAAGACCTAAGTTGACCATGAGAAGTGGAAATCTTTAGTGCTGCTGCTGATTTACTCAGTTACTGGCCTGTCCTTCCAACCTAATAACAGGATGCTCATATGTTAGGTGTCAAAGGCAAGGATGAAGTTTCTCTCCCCCAGCTTCTGCCTAAGGTGGCTGCCTCACTCCATCTAATGGTAGGGCTGCCCTGTTCACCTCATTCAATGGACCTGACCTTTCAGACTCCTTGCCCTGAAGACTTTGAAAGGGGTTTGAACCTGAGTTCCCAAGGTTGTGACCAAGACCTGTATGTTTTATAACATGCATCAATAAGCTTCCAAGATTCTGCCAAATCATGACAAAGGACTTCATTCTTCCCAAGTTACCAGGGACATCTCTGTTTGTCTGTCCCTCTCCCTGGCAGCTCACCATCCCTGGTCCTGTCTCTTGGGGATGCCTTGTTAAAGATTTGTGACAGTGCTTTCCTATTCATGTTTGCTCAGGAGCAAGTTTTATTGTGTTCACTGTGACTTACTCTCAGATTACTGTGTCACAGGATTGCACTGTAAACATGATTTGCTAGAGTAAGTGTTCTTCAGAGTTCATCTCCCTCCCCAAAGTCTCTAGAAGTTAAATTTCTAGGTTTGGAGTTCTAAGTAAAGATGAACAGGATTCCATTGTGAGGCTGGTGTGGCAGGAGACACCTTGTCTCTGGGCATGTGTACGTAAATGGCCCATGAACATGAGGGTCTGATGTAGTGTACAACCTAACCCCAATGCCATCTCTAATGCAGCAGTTACCTTTGAGTTAATTTTTTACATACACTCATAATTTTCATACTTAAGTTTCAAATTCACTCAAGGAACTATTATGTGTTCATACTACAATTTGTTTTTATTATCTTTGTTTTGAGTTCTTGCAGTTTATATTGTGTGAGCCATTCTTTTCTTTTTCTGCATGTAATTATTGTTATGCTCCCTTTGCAACAGAAAGAACTTAGAGAAAGAGATGTACATTCTTACATTTATTCTTACACTATACAGATTGTTCTCAATATAATATTAAAAGTGCTTCTGGGTGGAGCATCCATCTGATACTCTTTATTGTCTACAGCAAAGCTGTTTAGTTTGACTTGCTGGCAACATCTGGCTTTATAAATGGAACCACCACAGTCCTTGCATTGGTCATGCGGCACAGGCCACAGGATAAAGCAAGCATGTCCTTCACATCTTGTCTATTGGAGCAATTTCTATGCACCTATCTTTGAATTCTTACTCATTCGTCTTTCCATCACATCCCATTTATGCCAAGCTTTCCCTTTTAGCCTGGAAACGAGAAAAGACATATGTGCTATGAAATTAAATGAAACAAGCATCCAAATATAACCCAAGGTCACTACTACCACATGAAGTTATCTTCTCTATTTAATATACAGCACACCAAGCTTTCATTTTAAAGAAATGAATTTGCAGTTGGAATATTGGGGTGGCGGAGTAGGAGAATGAAACAGTAATTCATTCTAAAAGCTTGTGAACAAACAGCAATGCCTCAAATGTGTCACTTAGAGAACTCGTGATCTACAAGCCCATTGCATCACACTAAATTCCTGACTCATTATTTCCATTTTGGGGTTAGCAATGCCATGGGTTTTTCCAGAAGGCACAACAGGGCTTGATTGCTGGATGTCTCTCAACAAATTTATAGCCTTTTCACAGAACTTGTCATCAGGATTCATTGTGGAAAGTCATGAATTTGTATTGTGAATGTGGGAGGGGGCAACTGAAAAGCACGGCTAGAATAGGCAGCCACCAGGAGAGCCACGATTCAAGGAAGCAATGTAGAAATCCAAGATTGTGTGCTGTTTGCACTGTGGGTAGCTCTGCACACTAACTGAAAACAGGCCCCAGAATTCAGTGATGTCACAGGTGATTCTGGGCCGCATTAAGTTCAGGCCTAGACTAGACGTAGGCAACTCAGCTCCAGGAGGCACTCACTTTGCTGGAAACAACATACACATTTGGGCTCCCATCTTAGCATTTTTGGCTCCTTGTGTAAGCTGGTTGTATGCCGCCAAAATGCTCTGCAAGGTGGTCTAGGGTACAGAACAGTGAGGCACTCACCTTGACACTCCCTATTCTACTAGGTTGGCACAAGATATGGCCAGCCCCATTCATGTTCTGTGGAAGTCATTTAAAAAGGACCTCTGCAGCAGCCCTGCTCTCAGTAGTCTCTTGCACTCAGAGTACTGACATCACCTGTGATTGGGAAGAGCTGGTGCTCATTTTCTCCATGGCTCTCATCCTTTGTCTGTCTGCTGCACTGGCTCTTGGCAGCGATCAAGATGACTACAGCAACCAGGAGCTTGAAACCCAAGAATCCAGCCACAAGGAAGCGAAGATTGACTTCAGCATCTGACAGGGTGCTTTGGAAAGATACAAATGCAACAGGGCATGAAGCAGGTAATTTATTGTGAAAAGAATTATAATAAAGAAAAGGAGGGGAAACAATTTCTCAATTGAGCCACAGGAGGTTGCTTGGCATGGCTGTTGCTATTTTACATTGCAGCCATTTCACTTGGGGTAGCTAGCGACTGCCAGTTCTAATTAATATGTCCAGGTGTCATTTCCTTTATGTATTTTTTCCCCATCAAATTTATATACCGCTTGATCATAAGTCCTTCAGATTTACTCAGGGAACTATTCATTGTACACAGTGGGACTTGCTTCTGAATAGAATTGCACTGCAAATGCAGAAATCGTGAATTAACGAAACTGCAGCGGTTTTATTGGTCTTTAAGCAGTGAGGACTCAGGCGCAATGTTCCAAAATTATTTTTGAGCTTAACTAGTTAACTATGTATGCAGTAACACAGGGAGGAGGGGACTCATGGAGCTGCAGATGATGTTGGATGACAACTCCCTGCCCGTGGACCATGCTGGGTGGGGCTGCTGGGAGTTGGAGTTCAGCAACATTTGGTGGGCAGTTTCCCCGTTGATGCACTAACATAAAAGCTCAGAGAGCCAAACTCTGCAGTGCAAGTCTTATTTCCTTTTGCTTGATGCCCCAACTCACATTCAAAGTTGCTTAGAGTTGCAGGGCTCATAGACATTGCAAGAGCCTAATGTAATGTATGGTATCAGAAGCTGCCCTTAGATGGTTTGGCTCTACCTCAAAGATCCCTCCAACCAACTCTTGTCAATATTTACATGCAGCAATAGCAGCTGTGTACGAATAACCAAAGTTCAGTATCTCCTATATATGAAGAAGTCCCCAGCTCTGCTTGTTGTATGCCACTTTTAGGAGACCTTGAATAGTTCCCTAGATGATGGATAACAAATGGACAGTGAGCCTGACAATGAATGAATGAATGAATCTTTATTTGCATCAGCCACCAGCCATAGCCTGACAAGATAGAGGTGCTGAGGAGTAGGTCTTGGGGTTTGTCCTGTCCTTGATGGACTCACACTTTCCCTTAAGGAGCAAGTAGGCAGTCTTGGATGCTCCTTGATGCCACTCGATCTCATTGAGCTTCAGGGGAGGGCAGTGGGAGTGCTTTTTACAGATCTTAGCTGCTGAGTTGCCTTCCCCTGTAGCCCAGGCCATGGGCTGTGTGCACATTCCCATTCACTCAGCATTCAGTGGGGTACCACTGCTGCGTTGGGAAATGGAGTACACATGGCATTAGCCACAATCCGTATATATTCTGTCCTTTCTTATGAAATACAGTGTATGATGTGTTACTCCATCCCTCCCAACAGGATTTAGTTCTTGCATTGAGAAAAAGAATGACCCGGCTGTGCTTTAAGATGGCAATGTGTACACAGCCACGGTCTGAAGGAATGTGACGCAGCCGTGTTGCTGAAGCAAAGCTGGTCTGAGCCTGGATGGAACATGGAGCTCCATGGAAAAAGAAGAAGTGGGATATGGAACTGAGGGTCTTAACATTCACATGGAAGAGGAAAGTTAAGATTTTTTAGCTTGGCTAGATTTATGAGGTGCTTTTGCCTTCCTTCACAGTTCATTGTGTTTTGAAAATGTTCCTCCTGTCGAGTTCCATTTGTTTAACATAGCTTTTGGCAAGTATAAAATTCATTTTGCTGCCAAGAGTTTGCATTCCACATGGAAGCCTAATGAAGGGTGGAAACTCTTCCTACAGAGACTGGAAATATTCTGTTCTCTAAGGGCCAAAGTACACATGATGGCATCAATCCCGAGTGTCAAGACTGGGTTCCTGACAAATCCCTATAAAGCAGGGGAGCATGGATTGGGTGTGGGGGACGAACCTTTCCCCTACCAGTACCCCAGCAGTTCTTTTAAAAGCTAACTTTACTGACTTTAGGGGCGGAGGGTATAACAGGAAAGAATTCCCACCAGTATGGAAATAGTTAAAAAGCACTTAATTTACAGCGTTTTCATACCATCCATTAACAGTAATTTCTTTGGATGGTGTACATTTAAAACACCCACACCTAATAAAATATAAAAATATTATAAAAATATGAAATCAAACAGCAGTTAAAACAACTTTAAACTAAAACCAATAGGTCCGAAGGTCTAAAAAAGTACCCAAAACATGCTTTTAAAACTGAAAAGCCTGGGGAAATAAAGAGGCCTTGTCCAGATGCAGTAAAAACCACAATGTAGGTGTCAAGTGAGCCCTGCTGAGGAGGGCTTTCCACAAGTAGGGGGCTACCACTGAAAGGGTCCTGTCTTCAGTAGTCTTCTGCCTGGCCTAATGGGGTTGGGGTGGGCAGGTGGAGAAGGGCCTCTGAATATTATTTTAGCATGCAGACAGGTATATGAGAGTTGTTCCCTCAGGTACCCTGGCTGCAAGGTATTCAAAAGTCATACCAGACCTTTGAACTGAGCCTTGAAATAGGCTAGAAGTCAGTGCAGATAGCAAAGCACTGGCATAATGTCACCATTTCAGCCTGTTCACAATAATCTTGCTGCCCTATTTTGGACCAGCTGAAGTTTCCAGATCATTTTTCAATGCTGGGGTAGCCAATATGGTGCTCTGTTGGACTACAATTCCCACCATCCTGGCTGGGGCTGATGGGAGTTGTAGTCCAACAACAAGCCTTAGGAACGGTTGAGGGAATTGGGTATGTTTAGAGGAGACTAATAGGAGATATGATGGCCACCTTCAACTATCTAAAAGGGCAGACACATTGGAAGACGGAGAAAGCTTGTCTTCTCCTGTTCTTCAGGGTAAGACTCGAACCAATGGATTCAAGTTACAAGAAAGGAGATTCTGACTAAACATTAGGAAGAACTTTTTGATAGTAAGAGCTGTGGAACACATTTCTCCAGAAGGTGGTGGACTCCCCTTCCTTGGCATTTTTAAGCAGAGGTTGGGTGGCTATCTGTCAGGTGTGCATTAATAGAGAATCCTGCATTGCAGGGGGTTGGACTAGATGACCCTTGGGGTGCCTTCCAACTCATGATTCTATGACATATTGGCTACCCCTAGTATGAAGCATTGCATTAATTCAAGTTTCATCAGGAAAGCATAGGAGAGGGATGGAGTTAGCTTTCTCCTCCTGCCTCCTCATACTGTGCTTTAAATCTCCCCCGCTGCCTTGCTTTATAGGCCTGGCTTGGAATCTGCTACCAGCATGTCTGTTTGTGCCTTACATGGGCAAATAACAGCTGAATGACTCCTGAGATGTCACAGCTGAAGAGTCCCAGTGAATTATGTTCAAGGTAATCACATTTAGCAGATTTATTTGAGCCCACCCTTTGTCACTTGCTAGCAACACAAGTGTAGGAGCTGTAATGAGAATGGGTAATTTCTATGTCAGAATCATCTTTCATATCCCTGGTGAGATGTGCCAGTCAAGAAGAGGGGAGGATGCAGAGAATCGGAAATCTCCAAGGAAATACAAGGTTCAATAGGGCCTTGAATACATTTTCCCTTCTGCAACACAGGGGTGAGATGATGATTAGGGTAATTTCTTAAGAGATGGTCAGGCAAATCTAATTCCAAGGATTGGAAACACACCTGAGTCCTTAGAATCCCCTGCAGTTTAGTTGGATGGGGTGCTCCATGACATAGTATTATTATTATTATTATTATTATTATTATTATTATTATTAATTTTATTTTTTTGCAGCCTACATGTTGAACAGGAACAGGCCCAGGTTCAGTGAGGTGAGGTGCGGCATCTACTCTACTAACTTCCTATAGTCCATGTGCTTGTATGCCCTCACCTTCCCTTGGAGACATGTTTGACACTCAAGATTGTGAAGGAAGCTATTGTCTTCCTACAGTGAAACCAACAGGGCAGGAATCTGGTACCTCTCACTCACCAGAATGAGCAGAGAGATCTCCAAAATCCAGCAAGGTTAGACCACCACTAATTGATTTATACACATTGCCACCTAAAAACCTGCTGGACCAAAAAGCGATTAAGTCCCAAGGAAGGACGTAAGTCTATTAAAGCCATTATATCTGTCTCTCATCTCTGCCATCAAGTTTCATCAATGGGCTGTGTGCACATTGCCAACTTAAAATGCAGCAAGGTTGCTTACCTCCTCCACCCCTTGCCTGAAAAAGTAAAAGGTAAAGGTAAAGGTACCCCTGCCCGTACGGGCCAGTCGTGTCCGACTCTAGGGTTGCGTGCTCATCTCGCTCAAGAGGCCAGGGGCCAGCGCCGTCTGAAGACACTTCCGGGTCACGTGGCCAGCGTGATGAAGCTGCAGCTGGCAAGCCAGCACCAGCGCCGCACAGGGAAACGCCGTTTACCTTCCCGCTATAAAGGGTACCTATTTATCTACTTGCACTTAGGAGTGCTTTCGAACTGCTAGGTGGGCAGGAGCTGGGACCGAACGACGGGAGCTCACCCCGCCGCAGGGATTCGAACCGCCGACCATGCGATCGGCAAGCCCTAGGCACTGAGGTTTTACCCACAGTGAAAAAGTACCTGCATGTTATTATACACCTCAATATGGCTGGATGTGCTTCCGAGTCACTCACTGTCTACCCACACCAGTGTGTGGGGATGTCTTAATACGTCTTAACATTTTCAGATCAGATCGAAGCTGATTTGGAGGGGAAACACACCAAAATGCAGCACTTCTTATTAATCTGCAGGATAGACATGGATTGTGGCTAATGCCATGCACACATGGCTTCACAAACTATCTGTGGGAAAGAACCTAAATTCCCTTAATCAAAAACGAGGCTTCAAATTTGACTGTATTTGTATCCTATCTATAGTAAGAACTGCCAAGCTTGCTACTTAAAAACCTGTTGTGCACTCCCCATACCAGAGTAGCTTGGCATGGGATTTATTCATTCCAGCTCCCCACCCCCCCCAGCCTCGAGCTGATGAAGTTTAGGTGTGTGCTGAGATGTTTCCTGAGCTGCTGTTATTTTTGTGTTCTAATGGTTATTATTCATTTCAACTTGCTTTTTATTCAGATTTTGCCATGTAAGCCACCTTGGCTGAATCCACACAGATATAAAAACACACTGTGAAAATGTTTTTTTTTAAAAAAATGTTTTAAAATATATATGGAGTTTGCCGTTATCTCATCGGAGCCATCTAGCGTCACATTTGTATAATGCACTTAAAATGTTATATTTGCAGCTGTATAGCTGAGTCCCTTGAGAGTACTTCTCACAGAAGGACAGGGTAGATATTTGCATATAGGCAAAATACTTGTATATGCATATATTTATTTGCATATATGACAATATGCCTGAGGCTTACCAATAAAACAAATGTACAGATTTACCTGGAGATGCTGTGCACTGCTCTGGGCTCCTCAGGTGCCTCAGTCTCCCATAGACCTGGTGGCAGAAACACAGCAATTTAGCTGGCAAAATAAGAACATCTTAAGGCAGTGGTGGGCAGATTTTTTACCAGAATCATGAGGTCCACCAATCACAGCTGGTGCAGAATAGTGGCCCAGGCAAGTGGACATATGTTAAGAATTAAGGAACAAGGTACATCTGAGCATATGCTCTGCCCAGGGATTTGGGATTGGTGCTAAATTCTTTTTTTTTTTAATCCTTTCACACAATAAATCCACTCTTGGTTTTCTCCCAAGACTTGTTTTCCCAGCAACTTTGTACAGAGGAGGAAAGCTTTTTCTAGTTGTTGTTGCTGCTGCTGCTGTTGAGCAAGGATTTCTGACTCCAATTGTCTATCAACTGCAAATCAGACAGAGATTGATCAGAGTAAACCCCTATTTACCTTCCGCTCCTTTACCCAAGGCAATGATTAAGAGCAGGCCGCTGTTGCAACCAGGAATAAACACATGACGGGCTCATCCATACTGTTGCTCATTGTGGATAGCAAGTTTCCCTGTACCTCCATCAATTCACTGTTGGTCATAGGATGTTCTCCAAACCACTGCTTTCCTCTCTCTCTCAGCCTGGATTTTTGCATGCCAGGGATACTCCAAAAAGGAGAAGGTATTAGAAAATCCAGATTGAGGAAGAGAGAAAGATGAGAAGACAGTAATTTGGAGAAGAATGGCATTCAGGCAACACAGAATTAATGGAGGCACAGGAAGCTAACTATCCCCATTAAGCAACAGTATAGCTGAGCCCAAAGACCACTTGTAGGTTTTGGACTAGGAGTGGAACCCTATACATCTCTACTTGGAAGTAAGCCTCATTGTTCTCAATGGAACTTACTCCCAGGTAAGTACCCTAAGTGTGTAGACTGCAGCCTTAAGGACATTGCTCTGTAGCTTAAGTCTTCCATCTTTGTTGAAATAGGGAAGGCCAGTGCTTTTTTTCTTTAAAAAAATGTTCAGAGGTACTCTCATTTTCCTACTCATATTGAAATACTGCCCCTCAAAGAGACCAAACTAAGATTCACAAAATGTTTAGGGGGTATGTGTACCCCTGCATCCCCCCCGAAAAAAAGCACTGGGGAAGGCTATACAAGAAGAGCGAGAAAAAAGCTCTTCCTCATCCTCCTTTGTGCTGAGCAAGAAGTTTACGCCTGTGCCTGCTTTAATCATGTCTTTGTACAGTGGGTCTAATATCTTATTTGGGGTCATAATTTTGTATCATAGACATGACTATTTAGAAGGCAAGGCTTACAGCTGATTAAAGACCCTGGTGGGACTTACCTGTCAGAACTTCCACCTTCACTTTCTGCAGGATATTCGTAAGCCCCAAGAATTCCGTCTTGCACTGATACAAACCAGCATCCTCTTTCTGGAATGGGTCAATGGTCACTGTGAGAATCCCCTTCTGGATGTTGTCAGCAATGGCAGTGCTGCCATTCCTTTCTTTGAGGAACGGCATCCAAAAACGCCGGGCGCTGACAATATTTTGACATGACATCTCACTGATGTGCTTGCACCAACTTTTCTTTCTCCACTGGTTCTCCTTGGGGTTGTAAGTGCAATTGATGGTGATGGGCTCTCCTTCAACACCATACACCGTTGGAACATCCTCAGTCGCGTATGCTTCTAGGAAGGAGAGAAGGGTTGTATTCCATACTTCCATTTTTGTAATGGGAGGTGACCATATTACAGCACTGGGGCCACATCATCCAGAGCCCCACCCACATTGCTCAGGTATATGTAGCTTACAATATACATGACCTGCATAAATGGGGAGGAGATCCCTCAATGTAAGAAGGCAAATCCGCCCACCCACACCCCAGCTGATTTGCTTGCAAATTGCTTTAGTCAACCACTCTTCAAAATTCAGTTTGTACCAAACCTTGAGGTCTCTGAAGTCTCTGCATCACTGGTGGGAAGATTACTGGGCTGTTTTAATAGATGCGAGACCTTGGAGCCAGGTCTAAGACCTATTAAAAACATTGTTATATTCATGCTTTTTCACATTAAAAAAAAAATCTTGCTTAAGCTGGGCATTTTGTTTGAAGGAGCTGGGCATTTTTGTTTGAAGGAGTTCCTGACCTAGATCAGGAACATGTTCTGGATTAAGGCCCCACACAGCTGCTGAGCTGTGTGGGGCCTTAATCCAGAACATGTTCCTGATCTAGGTCAGGCCCCATGCTGATTTCCGGCTGAAAATTCTCCTTCTCCTGTGGCTGTTTATCCCCCCAAGTGCTGTTAACTTTACTTACGGTGGCACAAAGCAGCTGGTGGGGGCAATATGCAGCAGGCTGTCAATTTGGACCAGGAATAAATTCAGGATCAGAAGCCCACAAATCTGCTTCTTGTTCAAAATAAAAATGGCTAGCTTAAGCACATTTAAAAAAAGAATGAGTAATGTAAAGTATGATTTGGTCAGATGTGACTCACGCATGCTGCCTCTGCCTTAAGTCCTGCTCCAGAGTGGTGCAATATGGGGATTACGGAAGAGCAGGCTGAGGCTGCTTCCAGTCTGTCACTATTTTGTGGGTATGATTCAGTCATACGGTGGGAAAGTTAGGTTGAGCAATCAAAGTGGATTTGATGGTCTGGCAGAACAAATCCTCTCCCTGAAACCCGCAGATTTGGGGGAGTTAGAAAAATAATGGGGAAATGTAATGCAAAGTGTGGCATAATGGTGATGTTTGGTGATGTCATATAACCTCCACGCAAACAAATCAGGATGCATGCTCAGTATAACCTTGTACAACCTCTGTGCAAATTTGTGCAACAAATTGGGATGAATGCTCAACAAACGGGTCTTTTGGAAGAGTTCTCTGCCTGCATTGCAAGGTTGGATTATCCAACCCTTGCGGTCCCTTTCAGCTCCACAGTTCTATGATTTAGCAACCAATTTTGAGAGAAGGAAATCTATCGATATAGACAGAGGAGCTCTTTCTAGTGCATCGTTTTTTTGACACGGGCGATTCTACTGCATAAGGAAATTTCTTAGAGATTTTTGCAGTTGAATTCAGAATCGCCTTCAACCCCTTTTCTGAGCTGGGACAGGGAAAAATGGAATCTGCTGCCTGAAGAAACAGTTTCATGTTGCTTCATGGTCCAGAATGCCTCTTGTTGCAGCTTTGAAAGCTTGTGTTCACGCCAGTGCAACTCCCTTGCAATCAATAATAATCTGTACATGTATTGGTCCTTTTCATTCCCTTGCAGAATGATGTATATTTTGCACATTGGTAACCTTTAATAGTGTGTGTGTTATGTTCTCCTTAGAGGTGAAAAATAGTGGAGGGGAGGATTGAGAAGAAGATAAATGGCTGGATGAGAAAGGGTTTAGCATCCCCTCCACATCACCATCCCTTAAAATCACAGCCTCCAATGACTGTTTTTAACTACTGCTTCTGGTCCACGCAAAGATTTTTGCTAAACACATCCAGTCATGATTCAAGTGTTTCTTATCTCATCGCTACCCCATTCCTTGCCCATTTTCAGCCCTCCCCTGTGGGAAAGAGGAGGGTACAAACATTTAGATAAGCTGCTGTAAACTGCTCTGCACCCACCAGATATAGTGGGATGTGAAACAAGCATGCAACCAGGTGGAGCAAATGGATAAATAAATAAAAGTAAGCATAAATATCATGGAGGATAAGGCTATCAGTGGCTAATAGCCATAATGGCTTTTTTCAGCTTCCACTGTTGTAGCGTTAGCATAGGCATCTGGTTTGCCACTGTGAGAACAAGACGCTGGACTAGTTGGCCTCTGGCTTGATATATCCAGGTTTTCCTTATGTTCTCATCTAGCACAGAGTGCTTCTGCTTTGCCCTTTGGCTGATCACAGTTTGAGGTTTTCGTAATCTTGTATCTGCTGTACAGAATGATAGAATGTTGGGTCTATACAGCCAGAGGACAGACCCAACAGACTCCTTTAGCTCAGTCTCTTGCACTGTGGACATAACTTACACACTATCCCTAGCCCATTATCCCATTCAATGCAATTTGCAAAGCGTGCCACATGGAGATAGCAGAAGCAAGCAAGATGTACCACTGGTGCTTGGCAAATTAAGAATGACATTTCAGTAAAAAGTTTCTTTGTTCGGATAGCTTGTTTTCAGCTGGATCAATTGTGCCTTGCCTTCAGCATCATGCATGCATATCAACCCAGTCCTTATCTGACCCATTCATACTATAATCTGTTCCTATAGCCTGCTTATCACCCGCTTATCCAACCAGCATAGGATTCTAAATCTCATACCTGACAAGGAGACCAAGAAGATCAGATGCACAAAGTTCTCCATCTCACTCCAGCAGATAAAGAGAGAAGATTCGCAAGTAAAGATGAAAACAGAGTCTTGCACAACGGCAATTTTTTTGCCTTACTAGACACAAAGGACACAGAAGAGGAACATCTGTCACTCTCTGTTGTGGATTAAGCAATACACCAGCAAAATGTACTGAAAATGTAGGGATCAGCAGTGCTTTGCCAGGGAGAGGGATCTAGAACCTGACAGTTTTCTTTCTCCAAACCTTTATTAGGCATTACAGATATAGACCATCTTAAAACATCCATATACGAAAATTTAAACAAAGAAGCAGCCATAGAAGATATATAGTAACAGAATTTTTTATTGGAGTGTCTTCCTGCTAAACTGCGTCATTTACCACTCTAAGAGATACTATCGACAGTAACTCAATCACCCTTGTAGTTACCTCCAGGTTAATATCAGACAGGTGGAATCTGATATTTTCATTGTGCCATGATGTTTAACTACCCAAAAAGGGGCATAACATGTGTTTATGTAGCTGGTTGTGCAGTGGACAGTAGAAAAGAATATGTTCTACAGTGTCTGGCACATTCAAATAACATCCTCAATGTCTATCATTTCTAGGGATGTTTAAATATCTGCCCTTAACAAAATCTGAGGGGGAAATGGGCTGGAATTATTCACTTTGAGATATAAGTGATCCTGTTATCAGTTGAATTTAAACCATAGAACTTGGGGGGAGCAGCTGACTCAATGTTTTGTTTTTCAATATCCCTTAATCTAATTTGGATATTGCGATAAATATATTGCTCACTAGAATTATGCAATAATAGAATTATGCAATAATTCCAAGTCAATATCAGTACAGTAGATCTAATTCTGCTATGTAGGAGTTGGAGCCATCTGGATTTATAGGAGTCCTTAAGTAAATCGGAAAGCATACTTGAAGGTTGGGAACGAAAATGGCAATGTGGCCAGTATTTTATAGTGCTAGTCCACGCCCCATATTCCATCATGTGTATACCTAATTTTGCACACATTGTCTCATACTCATTGAATTTGGGAGCCCGAAGAAACTTGAGTGTATCTTATTTAAAGCACTATTATATGCTTGTATCCATATTGGGATCCCAAAAAGTAGCTGGGATGACACTTTAGCTTGAAAAATCTGAATGGCAGCTGGTATAAATTGGTTACCTAGAACTTGAAAGCGGGAGAGGGACAGCTGTCTCAGAAGAGGAAGTCATGATGATAGGCATGGACCCCCAGCCACAACCCATGCCTGCTCATCATTGCTGATGCACACCGACGTCCCATTGACTTCCTTGGCAATTTGCAAAGATTTGTGCAAGTTCTTGAAATCTGCAACTGATAGCCAGGTTCACAGGTTATATAAGTGAACCTGATTCAGTGTGTGTTATACTTATTGCACTGGGTTCACTTGTTAGGTACACAGTCTGTGCACATATAATTGGACAAAACAGAGAATACTACAGATATGAGATCCTGAGAGCAATTTCTTACACACATGAGGGTGGCAGAAGTGCACTCCATATCTTTAAAGAAGTGAACAGGCTTGAGTACGTGCCATCGATGATGATTGGTAAGGCTTTGTGGAAACCTGCAAATCATATCTTTCTGTGTTGGGCATAGTCTCTGTGTTCCTGATATGTAGCAATGCCACACAAGGTTGGCACGAAAGCATCTTATTTCCTAAAACCAGACTGTCATTAGAGGGCCCTCTTAAGTTTTGTCATCATTGAATTTAGCATCTCAGTTCCTCAGGAAAATAAGGGGCTCCTGGAGAGGTATTTTGTGTTAACCTTTGATGGTGTTAACCTTTTGTGTTAACCTTTGGTGGTGCTTTCTGGGAGCTGGGTATTGACAAACTTGGGAACTGTAGTTCCTGATCCTCTTTTGTCCCCATGATCCTTGCCTGCTCTTTGCTTTGTTTAGCAGTTCCTCTTGTCTGCTTGCATCTGCAAATACCCTACGCATTCCTGCCACTTCTCCTTGGTTGCCTCTTTTCACAGCTGTACTCTGTGGGTGTGCTTGTGTAAGAAGGTTTAATGACTCACACCTCACAGCAACTGTGTACAGTGTGTGTTGCTTTTGTGCCTCCATCACCCAGTGCCTTAATTGCCACAGCCCCTTCCCCTGCTTGGGTTTAGAGCATCACTGCTTGGAGGGTCTCTAGACAGATGAACCAGGCTGGTGCATTTTGTTTCTGCAAATTAGCTGCACTCGTTTCCACAGAGCTCCAGGCCAGTTGCACATCTTGCATTCTGTCTGGGGGATCACTTCTGGAAGGTCTGTGGCAAAGTTGTCATCAGAGCTGCATTCACCTGTTATATGGCTGCCCTAGCACAAGTAGGAGCAAAAACCCACATTCCTTGGCTTAGAGTCATATCTGCACTGGGGATCATGGTTTGTTTCATCCCCAAACAAACCACAATGTGAAGCTAAGGTTTGTTCTTGGCTTGAGTGAAATAAACCACAATCTCTGGTTCAGCCATAATGCTGCGTGTGGTTTGTTGCCCCCAATCGCTCTAGGGGAGGAGCTAAGTGGGGAAAATTCCTTTGTTTGCAGTAAATCATTCATTATGGCATGGGTGGGCAAGCTCAGACCTGGGGGACAAATGCAGCCCTCCAGATATCTTGAAATGGCCCTTGGGACAGACCTGGGAAGATCTGTGTGCAACCCCTCCCCCTCACTCTCTGACCCACTCTGTGCCCACACAAAAGCTCTCTCTCCTGAGACTTCATGGGACCAGGTCCATGCAAACCCCCTCTCTCTAACTCCTACCAACTCTGTGTCCACACAAACTCTTCCGCCACTCTCCACCACAGCAGGCCTGTGCAAACCCTCTTTCTCACTCTCTGCATCTCACCCTCTGCCCACACTAAATCTCTCTCTCTCAAACAACTCCTCCAAGACCCACCGCACCCTCTGCCTGTGTCCTGTGATCACTGTCACTCTGCTTCTCCCATGGACCAACCCTCTCCCTTCACAAACTCCTGCTCAGCCTCTCTCGCTCCCTTCCTCCCACCAGTGACCGGACCCATCCCCTGGCTGCACAGTTTTGAGGAAGATGAGGTCCAAGTTCAAAAACAGAACATTAATGTTTATTTTTTAAAAAAAAGATAATTTTTTTAAAAATGATTTTTTTTTAAAAGGACAGTCCCATTTTTCAAAGGGATGGGTGGCAAGCCTATGAAAGGTAAAAATTACATTCTTTGCTTCACCCACTTTTGCCTCTGGCTCCGCCCCCAAAAGTCCGTTGGACGGGTTGCCCGGAAGAGAATGAGCTATGGTTTTGCCAGGGTGTGTGAACTGGGGAATTGTGTTATCCCAGATACAGGATTATGTACTCAAGAGTCATATCAATGGAACCAAAGCTAAGCAGAGGAAGAGCAACTGCTTCCTCCTCCTCCTCCTTCTCCTCCTCCCCTGGTTCCTGCTAGTTCTACCAAGATAAGGCAAGCTTCCTCAGCGGAAACGTAGGGTGAGGCCACCCAGCTCCTAAGAATCTAGTTGTGGGTTGAGGCCAAACCTGGGACAATTGAAAACACCTGCTTCCCTGAAGAGGTGGGTTTCTGTGGGTATCCTCCTGCAGCGACCGCAGGCCCTGCAGCCACTGTAGGAACAGCCAGAGCTCAAGGAAAGAGACAGAACACGGCCCCCACCACCCCTGTGTTTTTGCTGTTGAAGTTTTTAAGACCTGCGCCAGAACATAGTGAGACATCATCTGGTAGACGGCGCAAGAAATCTGCTTGCTATTTCCTGCCCTTGGCACTTTTGAGGAACTGGCTGCTGCTGGTTATGGTTTTGTTTTTGTTTTTTTAATGCCTGGCTGCCCTGGAAAGTTTTCACAACAGACTCTGCTTCCTAAATTTGAGCAATTGACAAATAATACTGATAACAGTGGGACACGGGTGGCACTGTGGGTTAAACGACAGAGCCTAGGACTTGCCAATCAGAAGGTCGGCGGTTCGAATCCCCGCGACGGGGTGAGCTCCCATTGCTTGGTCCCTGCTCCTGCCAACCTAGCAGTTCGAAAGAACGTCAAAGTGCAAGTAGATAAATAGGTACCACTCCGGCGGGAAGGTAAACGGTGTTTCCGTGCACTGCTCTGGTTCGCCAGAAGCGGCTTAGTCATGCTGGCCACATGACCCGGAAGCTGTATGCCGGCTCCCTCGGCCAATAAAGCGAGATGAGCGCCACAACGCCAGTGTCAGGCACGACTGGACCTAATGGTCAGGGGTCCCTTTACCTTTACTGATAACAGTGGTTGTTGCTTTTTAATATATAGAATGAATTTAAATTGTTATGATGCTTGTGTTATCAAAATTACTTGGCTTGCTCCATTATGTTTCAGAATGACTTGGTATTTAGACTGCTTACTGGAATGAAGGTCCATAGCTCAGTGGCAGAGATCTGCTCTGCATGTAGAAGGTCCCAGGTCCCTGGCATGCTCATGTAGGGGATGTGAATGCCCCTGTCTGGAATCCTGGAGAGCCCCTGCCCCTCTGTGTAGCCAACCCTGAGCTAGATGGACCAATGGTCTGGCTCAATATATTGCAACTTCTTATGTTACTTATGTCTTGACATTTCCCATTGTGTTGTGAGCTTCTTCGCGGGACATTTATGTGGATAGCAGCACACATCAAATTGCAGTAATAATCATAGAACTGTCTTGCTTTGGCAGGCCAAAGGTCTGTTTCATCCATCATCCTGTCTGTCAAAGTGGCCCGGTTTCCTTGATGCACAAAAAGGATTTGGGAAATGTGTGTTTTCAGTGGGGGAGCTGATGATGTCCGTGCTCATTGGAGTGAAGGTTGCCTTCCTGTGACTGAGGCTTTTCAGCCATTAGAGGGCAGACAAGGATCAGAAATAAAAACAATTCACACAACCCGTAAGCAGTCCCTACTGATGAGAGGCTTGTAATGCAACCAGCGACCACTAGATGGAATTCTGTGACCACACTGCTGGTAATGACCAAGGCTTGATCGTTCATTGAGGACTCAGAAGCGTACCTGGCAGTTTTTTCCATAGCTAGCTGCACTTTGCTGACTTATGAGAAGTAGAAGCAGCTACCACTGCTCAACTTGAGCCAGTCATTTTGGGCTTGGTGTGACTGGACAAACTTGGAACAGAGATTATTTCAAACTATG